CCCACGCACCCCCACGCACCGCGCGTTATGGCTACAGAGGTGCCATTGAGAATTTGTTTATGGCTACAGAGGTGCCATTGAGAATTTGTATAGTTCTATAGTTGAATATTTACGCCCAACGGAGAGGTTGAGCTTTTTTTTCATCGATACATTTGTCTGATACCGGGTTCCAATAGTGTGCGTTACAAAAACACGATAAGAATAATATATTTACAACAATAGTATAAAATAGGTAAAATTTGGTTAATTTAGTTTTTAAAATATTACAGCACCTCTAAAGGCTGAGCTTGCGCTGGGGGAGCTATTCTTATAAATTTTCAAAATACATGAAACTAGTCAAATAAAACGAAAAATTGTCAGTCCCATATAAATATATAGGTAATTGTATTCAGTGGCATGGTGAAAGGGGTATCATGACGCTTGGGCGTCGTGGTAAAAAAAAAATCGAAGGGTGAGTAGATAGGCGACTACATTAAGGTGAAGCAATAGTAGTATAATACAACAATTACATTTAGTTATAACAATTATATATTTTATACTATATTTAAGGGGTTAACGATGGATATGCACTGAAATTTATGCTATGCATCGTGGTTTATAAATGTTCACCACGCTATTGATTGTATTAAGAGAAAAACCTAACTATACCTTACAACAATCTAGATTTGTATACAAACTACATTTAAATACTATATAGATATGGATGTTTCACGTATAATTTAAACAACTTAAATATTTTAAAATGATCAATATTGGTGTTTAATGAACGACATAATCGTAATCCAGTTTAAAACACTATTTTTACCGAATTCTTTTTTAACGTGTAATAAATTTATATTAATATTTTTCTTATACCTAATACTGTGCTCGTGATTTATTATTGGAATTAAATGCTTATGCTTGTATAATTGAATCAAAACAGATAAATTATAATTAAATTTAATGTCATTCACCTCTAATTCCTTTTTAGCTTTTCCAAGCAGTTTTCATAATATCAGGAAAACTCAGAATAAAACGTAAGAAAAATGGGAAAATTTACAAAAATAATGCTTTTATTATTTTCAATTTTGTTTTTGTTATAATTCAGTTTAGAATATTCGTAGGGACTTGATATTTGGACATAAAACTTATATTTGTCTTTTCTTGACGTGGTAAAAGTTTTGGGCAATTTATAGACATTTTAATTTTGCGAGTTTTGTATGTAATTTTTATTCGGTAGGTATTCTGTGGATAAAATTGTCGGACCAAACAGAAATGCTTGAGAATTTAACATAAGGTCCATTAAAAGTCGTACTTTGTGGTAAAAAAAAAGTTTTGAGCAGAGACTAACTGACTTATCACTTTTAAATATTCATCGAAATGAAAACATTAATATAGAAAAGATTGTTAATCAAACCGTCTGCAAAACGCTGCTTAAAATAATATTATTTGGACTTGGTCATGTAACTTTTATTAGTTATTACAATTATTATTTTTTGTTAATCATAATATCATGTCAATGTTCAATATAATGTAACAAAAACCGACATATTAATTCCCTAATATATTGTAGATTTCTATCTAAGAACCTCTCCTATGTAAAAAAAAAATACAAATGTATTCATATTTCAATAAAATATTTGTTTTAGTTCCTGTTTTCTGAACCGACTTTTTTAAATGTGCACCACCAATTATTTTACCTATGAGCCGCCACTGGTCAGTTACGTGAAAACGGTAAACAATTAATATATTAGAATATCAAAATACGATTTTTTACATTCGTCACCAGCTATAAGAAAAATAAATCACACACTTAATATCTAGTGCTATCTACCAGATAAATGATCAAACATCCGAGGGAATTCCGTAATGGACCCTAAACTGAGGATATTGAAATAAAACATGATTTTCATCAGATATAATTTATTCAAATACTATTTGCACGGTTATGGTATTAAGCAAATTTATCGACTACAAAGATTTGATATGACAATCAAAAAAAAATTAACTTTCTATTATCATGGCGATATATTCATGATAGTAACTCTGTAATACCATCGGCGGATGGCGGATGCCATAAGCCCATAGAGTAATTATACTCTATGCAAAAACCTCAGGAAGCCTATTCTTGAAATTGTTTGACCTTTTGTCGCGTTGTTACAATTACAAAAAATGATAACATTTAATCGAAAAATCATCGCGCGATAAGTTTAAAGCCAGTGACAAATGTTGGTCGCTTGATAATAATTATTTATTCATGATAATTGTGATAAATATTGATAGTAGCGGATGGGTGTTAAATATCAAAATTTGTTATTTTCTCGAATTTATTTTTGACTTTGCTATATTAATGCCGTTTATCCAGAAGATCAATATTTTACATTGATAAACTTTCAGGAGATGGCTGTACTGTTCGCCATGACAATACCAACATAAGAATTTAATTCACGTGATAGGTGAGACGAGTGCATAAAACAGAATTTATAACGGACCCGGTCACTCTGTCAAATAAATTATTTATGAAAAACTTCTTATTTCGATGGAATTATTAATACCGCACATAGAAATACAAAGTCTCGTGTCTCTGCTATTGATTTAAAGACAAAAGTAAGTCCATAATCAGTTTGACCAATATATTTATTTATACAATTTACTGGATCAAAAATTGTAGGACTTTGGCCGTGGGCTCCATTAAAAGTTGGGCTTTGAGTCGGTGTAACTTTAGACATTATACGGACTAACAAAAATTTAACAATTACGAGAGAAAAACGGAACAAAAAAAACTCATGATTTGATGAGGATTTGAAAATAAACGGATAATTCGGAAATTTATTTGAGGTTAGAATCTCGGATTCCTTTGTCCATGGATTTCGAATTGTTACCGCGGCGATACAGTCGGCACGCTTAATCGCATTCGACGAGCGATAAAATCGTGCGGATTCGATTGGAGAATACCGACAATTGTACACGTCGCGCGCGATATAATCCGAAAACTTCCAACGAACTGTTTTCAAACAGCCGGCTTCTCGCAATTCGACACCCTACAGTGCTGCGCTCTGCGACAGCTGAGGCTGCACCCGGCGGCACCAGCACGGCGTCAGGCATATCGATCCGTATTGTTTACCGTCCCTGCCCGCTCGCCATACCGTTTCGCCGTACTCTTCACCGCGATTGTTTGCTCGCGTCTCCCGCTCGAACGGTACCCGCACGCGTCTACGAAAACCGCTCTACAATCCGAAACGGCGTACGTTACGCGTTAGCGCCGACCGGAATTCGCCGTTAATCCGTACCGATAGGCGGGCATTACCGTTTCGTGTGCGTCCTCTACGTTTGTCTCGCCGCCGGCGTTCGCAGATTGTCAGGTTACAGTGTCAGCGCCGTCGTCCGCCGTCAACGACATGGTCAACGATATAGAAATGTCCGAGGACAATCAAATTCAGTCCTCGCCGCTGTCGTCGTCCCCCGCCCCCGAGTGTAATGCCGAACAGCTGCAGCAACAGCAGCAGCAACAACAACAACAGGACATGATGGTGAAGGGTAAATTTTGCGCCGTGTACGAGGGTACCGCCCCTCCGGGTTGCAAATTCAAGTTTTTCAACGGACCGGGAAGGAGCAATCCGGAAAGCGTAATCCTGGCCGACAAACTCAACGTGAGTATATCTGTTGGTTGATACGACAGGCCCTCGTTTAAAAGAATAAAAGTACCTATCAGACTATTATCATCCCTGACCCGACACCCGACATGTCACGGGGTTTGTTTCGCGTGCGGTTTACAGGGTTGGCTAAACGTTCTCTATTCACGAACGTCCTCGTTAATCCGGGCTCTTTAACAGGAAATTTCCTATTTTTTACACGTATTTTGTTTTTATATATTATACCTGTATAAATATATAGAATATATACAGAGCTGTATACAAACTATGATTTTGTTTTATCTAAAAAAAAAAATAATAATAATTTATCAAAGTGGTGATAATGTAAAATGTAGACAATACATTAATTATACTTATAACATTATATACGTCTATGGGTAATACAAATAATACAATTTATTATGATTATAGGTGATAATGCGATATTGTGATAAGATTTATAATTACTTTTCTGATTATTATTAAAACCATTCGAACATCTTATATTGAAAATTGTATGGGCTATGATAGAAGTATAGAACAACAACTAGGCTTTCCTATGATACACAATTATGTATAACATTGATAGGTTTGATATTGAATCAATAATTCTTAAAATTTACAACTATTTAAACTGTTAGAACAGAAAGAATTGTGAGTTTACAAATATTACACATAGAGAATTACTATATCACAACTAGACAATCGTATGCATTAAATTTTTTTTTTGTATAATAAGACCAAACACCTAAAACACTATTAAATTATTTTTGAAAATGACTAGTGAACATATTCTTTCTTAAAATCCCTAAATTATTTTATTGATTACATAAAATTATTTGATCAGATTCAAAATTTGAAAACATTGATAAGCGTACAGGTTGATACATATTTTTTTTAAAATCTAATAAGTTTGCTATTGTCTTTTCTTCTAATCATAGCATAACATTATTTTCTGACATTTTGAAAGTTACTCAGGTTTTTTTTTTTTTTTAATATTCCAAGACATAATGCTAGTACAGAGAAAATATTTTCACTCATAATTAGTTAATGGACTAAAGAACGTAACCGTTTCTGTTTGAAAATATTAAAAGCGTTATGATGGTTCAATTTAATTTTAAAAATTTTAAGTGTGCTGATTTTTTTAAATATTTGAAACATAAAAAAAACAATTATCTTTGTAAAGAAATATCTAGTTTTGACAGATATGGTTTGAGTTCTAAATAATATTAAAAAATGTCTAATGTAGTTTAGTTTTAAAAATTTAAAATCTAAAATGAATTTTATTTATTTGTTTTGAATTTGTTTAGTTATGGTTGATATTATATTTATAAATATTTTTATTTATTTTTTTTTTTTTTTTTTTTTTTTTTTTGTTAACAGCATTAATCAAATATACTGTATATTTAACCAATGCCATTAGATATGTTAGCCCAGTAGGTTTCAACCTGTATATCACAGATCCCAGGGGGCATCGTGGTTTATTAAGGGAGCAGTGTCTAAAGTAAATATAGTTCAGTACCACGGTAAATTTGTTTATTTTAAATTTTATCATTGTTAGTTAGGGAGCCGCTAATTTGGTTTTGAAAATCAGACCCATAGACCCAGAAAGGTTGAAAACCACTGTGTTAGACTATATGTTGACATGCTGTTTAAACTATGTTTTAATCGGCAAACTGAGCGTAATAGTATGAAATGCACATATGTTTTGTATATTAGCAATAATTTGAAAGTACTCCTAAAATAAATTAACAGTTATGTAATACCAGTTGTGTAAAGGAACAATAATTTGTAAAAATGTCCTTTTTTTATATAAATATATATATATATATATATAAGACCACATCTGGTCACCCTATGCGCAATAATTCTATCCATAGAAAACCTTAAGGCTGAACTATAATTTAAAAAAAAACAATTCAATTTGGCTTATTGAAGAACTTTTTACAAACATAATAGGTATTTTAGGTTGTTACCTAGAATACACAATATTATCCAAAAGCATAATATATTTAGTAGTTAATCTTACTTATCAATAATAATAACTACTAATTCATACATCTTGAGTTTATTCAATATTATTTAGGTACCTAGGTATAATTTGTAACATTCACCTACCCCTAATTTTCATAGTCCCAAACAAATAATAATACATCTGTTTTGTTTTCGTTTGATTTCTGGATTACTTTGGATACCTATAAGGAAAAGATATGATAGTTAAATATCTAATCTTTCCGGTCAAGAGGATGTTATATCCGCATCTATGTCTCAGTCCAACTATCGGGTAACATGCAAAAACAATGCTTACACAGAATAAGTGAAACTAGCTTAATTTTGATTTTAGAGTAAAAGTCCCTATTAAGAAATTTATAGAGAACAATATTTCAGTGTCATAGGGTTTTGTATTATTCAAAATATACAACCTGATATAAAAGATAGAAAAACCAATTTTTTTCTTTTTAAATAACTGTAACTTTTTATTAGTTCATAATTCAAAAAAACATCTATGATTTTCTCTCCAAAATATTGTTCTCTATAAATTCAATAATAGGTACTTTTACCTTAAAATCAAAATTAAGCTAGTTAGTAGTTTTACTTATTCTTCGTAAGCATTGATTTTGTATATTACCCGGTAATTAGACTGAGATAGTAGATGCGGGTATAACATTATTTTAACCGAGTTCCACTCAATAACTGATCACAGTTTTCAGTTTATAAACTAAATTATCCTATGTCCAACTTCCTAGTTGCTAACTACACCAGTCTATCTACTCATGGAAGTGGTATACTAGTATGTTTATATGATATTTTATGACAATTTTACTATTTAAGGCTGTTCTTACAATGTACTTTAAAGTGTGTTAGAGACTTAGAGCTAACCTACAGTTATATTTGCCTTCAAAATGATTGTTGGTTTATTGGTGGTTAACACTAACAAACACTTTACTGGACTTTATAAGAACAGCCCTGAATATTTTAATTAATGTTTTAGAGTATAAAATCGGACACCGAAAAAAATCCAGTCGCCAAACTTAATGAAATGATGTTAATGTTAAAAAAGAAAAATGTTCGTTATGAGATGATAGACATAGGAGGTTTTATACACTCTCCGATTTACACAATACGTGCTCAAAATGAAGATATTTCTGGTATGTGATTATATATTATTATATCTTATTAATATACATATTAAAAATGTTGTTAATTTTAAATAGTTTTTGGTACTGGTTCTTCAAAAAAAGAAGCCAAAAGAGCAGCAGCGATTGCTTTTATAGAGAGAATGGATTTTAATAATGAAAGTGATAAAATTACATCAACTACTTCAAACAATAATAATAACTCCAATGAGTAAAACATCAACTCTATAAAACTATGAAAAAAATACCTGTTATCTATACTAAACATTTTTTTTAATTCTTTTTTTAGGAAAAAGATAGCAGATCAAGTATTAGATGATATAAAATCAGAAATAAATCCTATTGGTCTACTGCAGGAAGTCTGCATGAATTATCATTGGAAGCTACCTATTTATGATTATACTACAGCAGACCTTGCTCTTAAACGAGGTAATATAGGATTTAAAGCAAGTTGTTCGCTTTATATGTACAAAACCAATAGTAAGTAAATAAATATAAATATCTATTTATACAAATTTATAATATTGAATAATATCAATAAATAAATATTTATCAGGTGTTCAAAGAACCAAGCAATCAGCTAAAAGAGAAGCAGCTCGACTCATGTATGAAAAAATCAAGAAGTTTTCTGCCGATCATATAAGCAGTCTTTCTCTAGATAAATTCCCAATACCAAGTTCAGTTTTGTTCCAAAATAATAGACCTGGAAAAAAAAATAATGAATTAGACTTGATAAATTCGCCTGAAAATATGAAAACCATAGAAAAATTCTACGAAAAATTAAAAATGTCAAAAAATCCAACTGTGAACAAAGTGAAGGTAATATATAGTATTTAATCTCAACATTTAATTTAAACATCTTATATAAAAGGCCAGATTTGTCTATAACACTTTACATATATATATATACTAAATGTACATTGTGGCATTAAAATTAAAATTTGAGTTTAAATACAAATAACAAAAACACAGAGGAAAATATGTTCAAAGGTGTTGCTTATCTTTAATCTAAAAGATTGTCATACAAACAAGAAACTGCCATATTACAATGTATTCTTTTGTTTCAAGGAAGACAAGGTCAAATAAATTTTATAAAAACAAAAATGTACTTTAGAAAAAAATTAAAGAAAATATATAAAAATTGACTAAAGACTTTTTCCTTTGGACCAAAATATTGGTTGTCACAGTCAACTTTAATCAATAAATGTGATTGATGTACAATAAATTACTGTCAGTTAATCTTTAATAATTTTACATCATTCATGTTTCAATGTTAATAAATAAATAAACTTTATTTCACTAAATTGTATATGTATTTAAGTTTTTGTCATTAAGATTTGCAGCATTTGGATTTAGCACTAGCTATTTTAAGCATTTCAATGATCATTATTATTCATTATGTATGACAGTATTTTAGTTGAAATAATGATTTATAAAGGAGTTTATAATAATATTTACATTCATAACCATATATTGTAAAGTACTACTTACATTTTTTGAATAATATTGGCTAGTATAGATGTGCCTATTATTTAATATTCATATTTAAATAAATAATAGTTTATATATATTTATCATAAAATACAGAACAAGTCCAGTTAACAGTGAGTGTTCTTATATCTAACATATATTTTACTTATAATAGACTAATGTCATTCCTATGGCTATTACTATTTCTACATTGCTTAACATTTTATTTGTTGTGTTTTATAATTGAAAAGATAGGTCATTATTTGCGGTTTTCGTTGGACGATTTAGGAGGGAGTTTTGAAGGAAACTAGTAGAAGTATGAGGAATATGAAATGAAGCATGGAAGCAGGTGTGATGAAATAGGACTTTAAAATTGACGAGGGAGAGAATAACGGGTGAATTTATTTTGCCAATTAGAAGATTTGAAAGGAACAAAATGTTTTTTATTTGTCTACAGTTCGCTAAGCTTGGGAGACCCAGCTTATATAAAACAAGAGAATAGTTGTGGGATATAAGACAGGGTATATTTAGATGATGAGAAACGGCATGGAGAAACCTTTTCTATATACACTCTACTCTTTATTGACTTCAAAAAAAGAAAGTTACCCTGGATACCATCCGGGCTGGGAAACCTGATATTGTGAAGAGAAGGAAGTGCAGCACTGACATCGTCCACTAAAAAGGATATGTTGTTGGTGAGGTTGAACGCAGGGGTTGCGGGATAAGTCGGATAGGAGGTTAAATTAATAGTAGGAGAATTATATATTGTTGAAAAATACTTTGAGAATAGTTTCACTGCATTTGAAGCATCCAAACTTGTAGAATTATTGACATTGTGAGGAAGGAATGGTTGGCGAGGAGCAGGATTTGTGGATAAATTACCTAAAATAACTAGAATTAGTTAGAAGGGCAGATTCTGTGTGAGAAATGAAGTCTATATGATTTTTTTGATAGAAATTTGTAACACGCACAAAGAAGCGAAAATTAATGATAGTAAGAGAAAGTTCTTTTATATTTTACATGGGCTTTTGTTGTTTGCCACGCGAGCTTTTTAAGATCATTGTGAACCAGGGTGGATAGGTAGAAGGTCGGGTGTATACTTTGGGGACAAAGACTAGAAATGATGAGTAAATAGCATCCTGAAAATATTTTATTACGTTATCTGAATGGCAAAAAAGTTTATTCCTATTTATACGAACTTAGAAAGTAGTTTATACTTGGGAAAAGTTAAGGAATGATATTAAAGGGGGTGTAGTAGTAGATAGGTATCAAGGATTGAGCCGTAAAGGTTTTGGGAAGTTGATGTGGATGAGTAGCAAAGACCATGGTTGTTGTTTAACCAATTTATAAATGGTAAATTGTATATATATCTTTATCAATCAAATCAACCATGTAATGATATATTGATAACTACGTACAGACAGACACAATGAGGATATAAGTTGTTTAAACTTGTGTTTAGAAACCTAAAATTAATTGATTTATTTTTCATTTATCATTTAAGTATTCCAGAAAAATAATAATTAATTATTATTAGTATAGCTAGTATATAATAACTTATTATAGACTAAAAGTTTTTTATTATTATTAAAATTTTATTTTTTTCAGGGATTAGACTTCACAAAATACCCTGGAAGTGCTGTTGAAATTTTAGACCAAATAGGAGAAGAAGAAGGATTTACTTCAACTTATGTCTTACTTTCTAAATCGGCTTCCAGTATGAGTTTTCTTTAAGTTGAAAAAATTATCTTAATTAATATATATATATTTGTTTTAGGTGTATCAGGAATTTTGATGCAGGTATCTATTACTCCCTTTATAATACACTTGGGTACTGGAAAATCACTGTCCGAGGCTCAAGAAGCTGCTGCCAATGTTGCTCTAGTATACTTGAAACTTTTTTTAGAGTAATAAGAACAACTAAAATATTTGAATGGACATTTGCCACCTAACATTTATAATTCACAGAGCATTTTTGCTTTTCCTAGCCATAAATAGTAATGTTATAACTTAACTATTTATCACGATAGTACTTATGACAAATGTTATTAGGGTCAAAAACCTATGAATAACAATTGTTAGGTTAGGTTAGATTAAATCCTATTATTATTAAGCAAACTAATAAAAAATCTTAATGGATTATTTAGCATGTAATATTTATATTTATTTGTGTATTTTGTTTTTCCAATTAATTTGCTTTTTTTATTTTTCTATTTTTCTTCAACATTTAAAATGTATAGAAATATATACAATGTACAAACATGAGTGATAAATATGTTATAACACTTTATCACAATAGTAGTCTATGAAAATTATTATTAAGATCAAAAATCCCAAATATTAAATAAGTATACTAATTAATGCTATAAACAACAATTATTATTGATTTATTTTTTATGTATGTAGTATTATTTCATTTTTCTTTTTCTTTTTCATAACATGTTTATACATACATTTATTTTAAAGTTTGTTTAAATCATTTACCATGTAATATTTATTCGTGTTGAACTTGCTTTTCATTATAAAATATGAACCCATTATAGAATATTGAAAAAATTCTTATAATTGTAATAATGAATATTTTTTTTTCATATAGATATGGTTATTTTTGATTTTTTTGTAAATTGCTTACCTATATAACATTTTTAACAGTTCTATTGCTAATAAACATCAGAATACATACATTTTCATTTATCGTCGTATAATTTTATATAATATTTTAAACCTACTATTATTACAAAGCAATTTACAATTATAGTTATGCGTGTCAAGTTATATATAATATACATACATAAGTAAGCACTTAAACATTTAATTCTACTCCTGGCCGTGCGTAAGGTAGAGGGGTACAAAACCTTTTTTTGCTCCTTTTTTTTCATAATTAACAATTATGTATTGATTTTATCATATTAAGATAAATTTACTTCTGCAGACTCCTGCAGTGTAATGTGTGGTCAAAATAATAATTATTTATGGTTTTGACTTTATCTTCCTAATAATTGATGTATTTTTAAATTCCCCCCCCTTATGAAGAAATCTTGTCCACGTGCCTGTAATATTAGTGCTAATTGTAATATGTAGATAATAAATTGATGATTTATTTAATACATTTTAGTAATAAAAAGTGTTTAATATTTATATTGTATTATTATAATAATTATATAATATTTACCCATTTATTTCCCTTGGTTATGGATTATAATGCTTTATGTAATTATTGTACATTTTTAAATATAATTCTGTAAAACCAAGTATATTTCAATGCCAGAGTTTTTTATACATATACTCAGTGTCTGTCTGGTCATTGAAGGACCAGGCAAGATTTTTGTTTTAGGGGCCCAACCTACCTGACCATTTTGCACATTATTGTTTTCATTATTCATATTTGTATTAAGTAGATAAATTAAGTAATTAGATAAAGTTTATTCAATTTTTATTTTTTAAGAGTTAATAATAGTTAATATAAATTGTAATTTATTACAAATTAAAATAAATATCACCTTTGTATATAATACTTTTGTGTAAATGACCACGTTAAAGTACCTTCCCAATCTTTTTAGAAAAATTGGTTTTACCCACAAAAATAAAGGTGATAAATAATAATATAAATATAAAATTGTAGAGCATCTTTTTTCTTAAATGTTCTAAAAACAAATTCTGCAAAAAGTTAATACTTTACAAGATAATGAGTGTACCTACTTAAATAAATCACCTGGTACATGAATTCTTTACAAAAACAAGACACTATGAGATTTGCTAATATGTACAATCTACATAAGAATAATTTACATTTTGTAATTATAGAAAATAAATAAAAATCACATTTTTAAGATTAAAATATAACAAATTTACATACAACACACATATATAACATTATAATTAAGTTTTACGTGGTTTATTAATAACATAAAATGTAAGTATGATAGGTGAATTATGATTTCAACAAATGTTATGAACATAAAAACTACAATTTAAAAAAAATTGCAGAAATATGAATTTTCGGTATTAAAATTAAAAACAAAATAAATAAAAAATGATTCTTAGAAAAATCGAGCATTTTGAATTTTTTGACCATAACTTTCTAATGAAGTTTTTGAAAGTACCATCAAATAAAGCATTCAAAATTACATATATTGCAAAAAAATCCAAAAAACTGTTGTAGACTATTCTTAAAATCCTGTTTTTGAGTTTAAAATCTGAAAAGTTTACATTTTTTAAATTTTTTTTTTTAGAAATGGTATTAAATATATACTTAATGTTTTAGTGAAATTAGAATTCACTTATCATACTTACTTCTTAAAAATCAAACATAAAACATCAAAATGCGTTAATGAACATTCTATTAGTCTCAAGTTATGTTTGAAAGTTAATTACATTGATGGATATGTATGAAGATGTTGAAAATATTCCTTGGATTCACAAAAAAAAAAATTAATTTTAAAATTATTAAATATTTTTTTATTTACAACAATAATTTGACCTTATAATCGTATTAATTTCACCATGCCCCTCAGCTCTCCCCCCCCCCATCGGTTTTTTAAAAATATTTTTCTAAAGGTAAAATGTGATGTTTATGTAACCTTAAGAAAAGATACATTTTTCCACTATTTCTTCTAGACCAAAAAATATTAGTGAGTTCTGATTTCACCAAAAACTTTTTTATGTTATTACATAATGAATAAAAAAAACTCCAAGAGTTGCTTGTGAACTAAATTGCATTTGTTCCTTGTTTTGATTAGGTATGGAGTTAATAATAAACAAAACTTACACACTTATACAAAAACATTACTCTTCTGACTTCTTTATGAGTGTTAAATAAAGTTTAATAATATGATAGTATGAACTCATACAGTTATTAAATATTTTAATTATAGTTAATAAAGTTTTTAACTATTTCACTTATTAGGACTTATATAAGTACTTTATACTTGAATATTTAATAATTCTATAATTTCATAATATATTAATTAAGAATTAAATTTACAATTATTATATATAACTTTAATAAAATTATTTAAAATTATATTAAAATTTACAATTTATTTTTTTTAAATAAAAACTTTCATTAAATCATTTAATAATTTTTAGAGCCCAAGACTAATGCATAAGTCAGAATGCATGCATAAGCATTCCGATTTTCTTTTGCTCTAATATAATGTAAAATTTTGGGTATATCTATATAAATTTGTTTATTTTGGGATGTAAGAAAAATTCTAAGGTTGCTTATGTCGAATGATGAAAGTTCAACAAACAAAAAAGGTGAGATAATTAATATTTAATAATAATATTAATATCTAATAGTTAAAAGATATTTTATATCTGACGGACCTGACTTGCTTAAACCCGTCGTATGTCGCACTGTTAAATAATATTTACCAAACAATAAAAATTTATTTATTTTATTTTATAATATTTTGAACTTCAATGATTTTTTTCTTGTTATTTTGATTCTTAAAATACCTACTGCTTCGTGTCTGCAGTCGACTACAGCAGTCACCGATGCGACCGCCGCACGCATTAATTTTAATCTATTTTAAAAAAAAAAGGTTAAACAATTTTCCTGCGAATAAAATCGACGTGTATGTAATATTATTATTATTATAATCACTTTCCGTAATAATAGTATTCGTTTACTATTCAAACACGTTACATACCTATGGTGATATACAGAGGGATTCTATGGTATACAGAGCGATTTCAAAATACAAATATTTACAAATGGTTTTCAACAAGAATATTGCAACTAACGACGGGTTCATTTCTATAGCCATATGACTATATAAAAAATTATTCGAATAATCATAGTTGAAAATTATTCGAATAATTTTTTTTTATAATTAGATAACATTTTGCCCAACATTGACTTAGATCTACTATATTGCAAATTTTAGATTTACCTGCAAATTGTAAAGTTGGAGGTGACAACAAATATACTGGTTGGGACAAATATGATAGTACGTTAAGTTCCAACGAAGCTGAAGATTCAGACCTAGATAAGGATTATGTGCCAAGAGGCGACGTAAACTCTGCAGATTCCGATCTTTTAAAACCATCTACTTCAAAAAAGGTAAGAAAGAAATTTACTACTACGAAAAATAACGATAGTCTAAGCAAAGAAACAGTTAGTGTTTTGGCGAATGATTTATACCTTACAAGTGACGAAGAGTTAAATGAATTAACTCCTTTGAATAATGACTCCTGCAGAAAAGTTAAAAACAAAACATCCATTGTACAAAAAGGAAGAAAACGGATGAGAAACTCATGCCTGGCTTTGCAATATACGTAAACAAAAGTTAGCAGCAGGCGAAGAGTATATAAATAAAAAGGGTAAAACTGTAGCTGGTAAAGTTATGAAACTACCATGTTCTTGTCGTTTGCAGTGTTATGCAAGGTTGTCTAATGATGAAAGATCGCACATTTTTAATGCATACTGGGACAAAGATAAAAATTCTAATTCAAAACGGCAGTTCATTTTATCTTGCTTAAGTAGCCAACCTATTGAACGTTGAAGAAAAATGAATGCTGTTCCTAAAAAAGCCAAACATTATACTCTCCATTACTACTTTACAATTAACAATAATAAAATTAAAGTTTGTAAGGTAATGTTTTTAAACACACTTGTAATTTTAAATACTGTTGTTGTAAATATTCTCAAAAACTGCCAACCTGGAGGTGTGGTAAAAGTTGATCAAAGAGGCAAAAATATTCCAACTAACAAAACGTCAGCACAGTGTATAGAAAATGTTATTCAACATATTTCTTCCGTCCCTTGCTACGAGTCATTATTGTCGGGAAAAAACACAGTATAAGTACTTAGGTCCTGAGTTAAATAAAGAAATAATGTACGAGTTATACTTACAGTTTTGCAAAGACAACAACATACCTGAAGAACTTATTGCTAAAAAAATGGAAATACTTTGAGGTTTTTGATACACAATTTAAACTTTCCTTCAAGCCACCAGAGGTAGATACATGTGACATTTACGATTCGTTTCAGGTCAGACTTAAAGATAACCGTTTAAACCAGGAAGACAAAGACAATCTCACCACTGAATATGACTCGCACCTCACAGAATCAAAGAGAAGGTACAATCTAAAAAGTGAAGATTGTAAAATGTCAAAAATAAATTCCGCACATAAAGTTCTAACTGGGGTTATAAACTAGTTATAAACGGAAATTGTGGACGCTTAACTACACTCTCTTTGATTCTTCAGATAACAGTGTTTACTGCATGATGTGGGATGAAAGTAAAGCTGGAAGAGGTGGGGAGGAAATATCATCAGCCATTTTTAAATGGGCTGACAATGTAATTCTTAATTCAGCTGGTGTTAATAAAATCACACTATGGTCTGATAATTGTTTTGGACAAAATAAAAATATTTCCATTATTATGTGCTTCTTCTGGATAATGCAAAAATATCCTCAAATAGAACGTATCAATATGAAGTATCTCCTCAAAGGACACACACATATGGAGGCTGACACCGTGCATGCGTAAATAGAGAGAAAGCGAAAGAAACTTAAAAACATGATGATCCTGACACCATGGGACTGGCAGCAAACGGTGCGCCAATGCTTCAGCAATTATAATGTACTCAACATGGAACAAGATTTCCTACAATTTAATGCACTATTTAAAGGAAAAAATGCACCATTCATTCATAGAAAACAAAATGTTGAAAAAGAGAAAGTACTTCTTTCATCTTCTGTTCACATTCAAGTGCGACAGGAAAATCCAGGTATAATTTATTTAAAATCATCATTTGATAGCGAGTTTGACGCAGTTGACCTGAATAGAATAAAAAGGAGAAGTAGAAGATTAGAGGATAGTAAGGATAAGTTTCTTACACATCTACCAATGAAGTCGGCAGTTTAAATATCCCAGCAGAAGTTTAATGACCTAATATCACTCTTATCTTATGTACCAAGTGTTTGCCATTCATTTTATATGAATCTGCCAAAAAAAAGTAACGAAACCAGGGATTATCCTAACAGTGATGACAGTGATCATTCAGAGGACTAGAATAACTTAGTTTATTTTACTAAACTAAAATAAAATATTGTGTTAGTTTGAACTTATTTTCAGTAATAAACTCTATTATCATTAATTTATCCTTAGCCTATTTTTATATATATTACAAATTGTTAATATTAAGACTATTATGAATATTTTAACTAAATTTAAAAAATTAATAACATAAATAATGGTATTAGTAACTAATGTAATAAGAACTATTCTTGATATAATATAACATTTTGTCCAAATCATCACGGTTACATCTAAGGTGTACAGCACTATGTCCACAACAGATACATTATTTTTAGAAATTATCAAAATTTAGTAACACAATTAGTCTTCCTATCTTGTAAAGAATACTAGTAATATAGTACTAAAGTGTGCACTGTAGTAAGTGGTCATTTGATTGGTCTTCGCCACATTCGCATACTATGTCCAATTCTTTCTGATATCCCCATTTCATCATGTTTGCTTTTGTTTTTGCTACTCCAGTTCTCAACCTATTTAATGTCTTCCATNTAGTCCATGGTTGGTTTCCTCCACAAGGTAGGTGCTCAGCAAACGGGACAGGTTTTTCACATTGTAGCTCTTCTCTCCATTTTAGTATTTCTTTTTAAATATACTATATTGAGGTGTTGTTGAACCTTTCCTGCAGCGTAGAGGTTTGATGCCAAGTTTTTATCCTACGCATGGCTGAAAAACTCTTTTTACAAGTGGAGGTACTTATAGGAATCGTTAAAGCAACTTGAAATAGTTTATATTAGGGAAAGTCTGTTTTGTTAAAACCTTTTTCACGTCATTTAAAGTTATATAATTTTCATCGGTAGACTGCAAATATCAAATTCTTTGCCATTTCTATTTCTGACTGTCATACATCTTTAGATACATTCATCAAACCCTGAAAAATATACAAAATACAGGTTCACTTTTAATAAAACTAGAAAACCAGAGCATAGGTAAGTAAAAATTAATTTCCAGAAACCGACACACGATACTTACTTTATGATGATCTACAAAGAAAAGGCTTTCCTCAAAGTTTAATTGAAAAAATTGATCAACAGCTGTGGCCATTCGGAGGATTTCAGTAGAAAATCTTTTTTCCAGATTCATCAAGATAGCATCGAATAGAGGAAAAAAAAAGTATTTTTTCTAAAATAATCTTCAATGGTTTCAATGGTGTCATTAATATTTTGTTCAGCACTTGTGGTTGCAGTAGTATCAAAATGTTAAAAGATTGTGTGGCTCTTGTCTTTTTCTTTTGCGTCCTAGTTAAGTAAATATTAGCTTAAAATTATTATAATTGTAAATACATATAATATGTTCATTAAGTCTTACTTTAAGATGGCGTTTGTATTGATATTTCATAGTCTTTTGCAAAGATTTCTATTACGCACCAAAGCTTAGAAAAATACACTGCTGTTCTAGAATTTTTAAAAGTCATCATCACACCTTCAATGATATTTTTAGATTCACCTAATGTTGCATTTTTTTCTTGAAATTTGTTTGAGGCAATATTAATATTAATTAATACTTTATGCAAGATAAATAAATTGTTAATATACCTAAAACAAACATATTGGAATTTGAATACTTTGAATCATTAATTATTACTTATTATATTATACCGGTTGCTTCATTTACTCCACTGTCGTCTTCGTTTTCAATTTCTTCTTCTAAAGCTTGAATAATTGCTTTATAACGGTTTTTAACAGACTCTATATTTCGATAACGGCAATTCCGTCCAGTGTCACTAAGTCTAATCAATGTCCAAACCAATATTTAAATATTCGTTTCAGATTCCAGTGTTGTAGTTGACGAGGAATTGGTAACAACTAATTCTCGTTTTTAAAAATATTAAAGACATCAGACATTCTTTTAGCCATTATCGACTTAATTACAATTGATAATTTAAAATGAATTCAGTTAAATACGTAGTTCACGCAAATAACATAAAATCGTATTGTTCGTTTAGCGCGTCACTTCCGGAAAACCACGCGTGGGTATTGAAAACAATGAAATGAAATTAAAGGCGATCACCGCACACGTCCCGAAAACGTGATCGACACTAACCGCTGTGGCGGCCAGCAGCTTGCTGCTATTTAAAACTTTACAGGTACCGCAAACCAGTACTAGAATATTCGCGATTATCACTAATGTACCTACAAAATATGATTTTCCCAACAACGATAAGCGGTGAATATTCCAGACCGTACTCGTATCTCATAAAACAAAAATTATAAATATCAAATATTGAAACGCACAATTTTTTTATTTTGACGTTTACATTCTTGAGGGGGGGGGGCTTAAGGCTGAACTTAACCGAACTATTGGTCTTGAATAAGGAAGATGTGGAACAGATTTAAATGTTCGGCTCAGATGCAACGCGTTTATGATATGTATTTGTACACGGTCCAGCAGGCAGCAGAAAACAGAACTAAATTGAATAAACGTTTTCTGATTTTCTTGTTATCGGATTCGGGTTTTATATTATCGGTAACGGTGTCTGCAGTGGTGCACGTGATCTCGGCGCCGGCGGTTTTCGGGGAGGCGGATTCTGCAGGGACGGACGTGATGTCGAAAACGGGTTTGTCGCAGGTGGCTAACATTTGGCGAAAAGTTATCGCGCGTATCCAAACGCGCGGCCGGCGTACGATCGGCGCCGGTGATAGCCCGGCAGTCGACGGCAGCGAGATTAGCTACGGGAATCTGGCGGTCGGCGGCCGGTCCGGCAGAAATGTACCGTGTCAGAGACGCCACAATGGCGTAACCGGACATCCGGTCTGGACGGCACTCTACGGCGGATGCTTGCGCGAACCGCTCACCGATCACGGTGGCCATCAGGCCGCCAGACGTCCCGCCGCATGGCATCGAAATAATAGATTCGACGACGCGGACGCGGACACGGGACGCGTCGAACTGCATTTTAACCTGTAGCCGGGTCCCCGCGACGGAGGCCGACCCGTCTGCGTAGACCGTCCGGCACTGGCCGCGCTCGTTGTAAAACTCGTTGGCGTACTTGGGTGTCCCGCACGCATTACGGAGTAATACAGTTCCGCGAATTTGTAACCGACACGAGGCGCGTATATCGCGCTGTGCGACGCGTCATGCTCGACCACCGCAACGGCTTTGGACTCCTCAACGCTCTGGCTGCTCGGATTCGGGACTCCGCGGCTGTTTTCCGTTATCAAACGAGAGTACTGAACAGCAAACGCGTGGTGCAAAATGTACCGGAAACATTCGATATTAGTTGTTTATTGTGTGTCACAGGTAGGCGCGGCGGATACTGCACAACGATAACGACGCGGTCGTTGTCGGCTAGTAACGAAAAAAATATTAGCGATTTGTTTATTTTATGTTCTGGCCACGTCGCGCCGCCGTTTCGATCTGGTAACCGTAAAGCGGAATCCAAACGGAAAAAAAAACGTCTAATCACCACGTGAAGCTTTTTCTCGTGTCTTGGCCGAAACATACGCGTTTCGACATCAAATTACTTATGTTTTCATTTCTTCGCCGTTGGGCGGAGACATAAGCGCACCCTTGCTCTCGTGCGCGCCTCGTTGATTATTCGTAATACGTAGTGATGAGTAGTTTCTGTCCGCGCGTGGCCACAAGGAACCGCAATCAGCACGGCAATCCCTTATCTTCTATTTAATACGAATCGCTTTCACGCCTATTATCTATACAATTGTAATTGTAATTGTTAAAGCCCGCTGACTATAACCGAGAAACTAACTATTATTGATCGGATGCGAACGCGTATTGCACATTAAAATTACAGCGATCCGCGTAACGGGGGCCATTAACTGAGCCGTTTTCCTGCCGGCTTGCGCGTGTTGATCGTGTAGAATCCCTAAGAGTACTGTCGGCGACCAGCGGTCCGAAGCTGCAGGAGCCGGCCGATCGACGTCTTCGTCGGCTTGGATGTGCGGCGCGCATCGTCCGCGAAGGTTCTCGCGCGATTATACGCGTTTTCTCGTCTGTGCTGCGGGCGCCCGCGTTTGTATCCGCGCGACAGTACGCATTGAGGTCCGCACCGGAGTATTTCGCGTCCACGGTGTCGCCGTCATCCGAAGCGTACCTCCCCCGAGAAAACGTTCAAAGCGACTTTACCGAAAATCGGATGGCTACGTTACGGAAATCGTACTACGGACGTGACCGCGTTACACCGCCGCTGTTAACGCGTATACGGTTCAACGACGCGTGCACCAACCGTTGTTATTGATGTGCGTCGACAGAATGATAACGCGGAGACACCGACTGTGTAGACCCTTGGGATCGGGTTCGAAGCGGATGAGGCATTTCCGGCTTCTACGTCAGCACACCGTTCAATTTTACACGGCCCGATCGTAACTTACGACCCGCTCGGTGGTGATGTACGGAACGTTGCGACATTATTGCGTTAAACCTTATTGCGTATGATTAACGTTACGAAATGAATAAAACGTAAATTTTTTTATCTAAAAAGTAAATAACCGTGTTTTAATTGAACACGCATACAGCGCCTGTTATATACATACAATTTTATAGTAGGAAAAAAAAAAAAAAAACCAACGGCGTTATTACGAAGAAAATTTCCGTTTGGCACCCCGTCCCGTTTCTGGCACCGCGGAATCCGATTCATCGTCTTCGTCCGCCCGTTCATCCGGCGCCGGTGCACGTGCGGTACATCGCGGCCCGTCGCTGTGGTCGGATCTCCCTGCGGCATGCGTTGGCGGCGCCGAACGGCTAGACGACGGCGTTATAACCGATAAATTACCCGCGCTCCGCGCGTTCACCCAGCACTCGGCCAATTGAGTGGTCGCGAACATTTTGATTTGTGCGGCGTAGTTGACGCCTTTTTTCGGCATGCTCGATACGATTTTTTCATCCTGAACGCTTTTTATAAACATCCGTAATTCATTCATGTCCGACGGCGGCGTTCTCATTTTGGCGATCGTTTTATTTATGTAATCACTGACATGATCGAATTGTTTTAGTACCGCCGGTCTGCTGCTGACGGTTTTTCGCGCAACCGTTTCGAGAATACAACGTTTCAAATTTTCTAATCTAAACAAATCATACCTATTTAATAACACACGGAACCCGGTTGCGGTTTTCAATTCTATTACGAGGTGGTTTTCTTGATTTAACACGCAATGCGACACCTTAAATAACGCGGTCTCCAGGAATAAATGACATTTGTACTTAGGAGTGTCGAGTACGACCGACAGGATTTTATCCATGAGTGAATAAATACGTGCTAGGAAATCCGGTGTTAGGTTCACGTACCGCGACGGTGTTATTATCCGTACTTTGACGGCGAACGCGTCCGTCGGGTCGATGCCTATATTCAAGAATTTACGTTCCATGAAGTTTAGAGTATAGCAACTGCAGTCGATAAAGTCCGTCGGTGATGGCGGAGCGACGCAATTGTGTAACCGATTATTGCTTGTAGTTTCATTTAAAGCGGCCATAATTTAAACACTTGTGAAATTTTTCAAACACTTCGCGAACACTTGCGGTTAGAGGAATGAGCACTACTCGCAGACTGTGACAGGGATAACGGTTCCGATGTTAATCTACTGGCACTGTTACGAGTCGAAATGTATACGTTTTCGGTGGGGGAAAGAGACCTGCCCCGACAAGCTCAAGCATGACTCATGGTTAAAAATCCCGTCCGTGATAACAATGGTTTAAGTTATTTTCTCCGCGTTAAACGTTATAAACGTAATACTAATATATCCAATGGCGTGTGGTAAGCATCAGCATAGAGTATGTACATCGTCTAATAGCACTGTGTTAATCGACAATGGGGTAATGAAATAATCGATTAATACATAGGTGATAACAATCTAATGATAACATAATGATAACCCGTAGGCGATTTTCTCTTTTCACACTTTGATAATAGCTGCGTACGTCATGTAATATAATATCCCGTCGTGATAACGTGAAACAGTAACAGCGAGTCTATTAAGCGATTTTCTCCAAATCAACGGATATTATACGGTAATATGTAATGTGCGGCTATCTAATCACGTGGAAAATAATATTCTGATGTACAAGTTATATTTAGCGGTGACTATGAGTACAGGATTAGGGGGATGAGGTAACGCGAGCACGCGAAGAAGAAAAATATCATAATACTTATAAAATAATAATCGTAGGTTTATGATAATGTCTCGAGAAAATATTTGGATAAAGGGGACGTAGTCTAAATAAGTCGAGTACGTGGTGCATGTTGGAAAAAACAATATTTTGAAAAAAGGAGGTGGGGGGAAAAATATTAATCGATGATGAGGTGGACAATTCGGGCGGCCATGTCAAAGTATAGCTCCTGGCATAGGTTAGATAAGAACGTGGTATTATTATCGTTGATAAGAACTTTGTAATGATACTGTGGCGAACCACAACGTTATCATTCTCCGAGAGGACTCACTTTCCTTTCTTCCCGCTGCGCGTCGCTCGTGGCGGACGTCGGCCGCGCCCCTCGCCGGCGGCGTTTAACGGTTTTTGCACACAGCTCCGCTCGACCGCTCCGCTCGCTCTCTACTCACCGACGCCATACGCGAAGCATTGTTCTCCGACTCCGAATTATTTTTATGTGTAATTGATTTTTTCCACTAATGTTATTTTAATTATTGCGTGCTCGCCCTTACTTCCGTCAAAAGCCGTCAGCTGGCGAACACTTGTATTATGTTTTGATGTTGTAAATAAACGGTACTTTTTACCTTATCATAAACCTCGTGTTTTGGTGTAACACGCCAAATTGGTGACCTCGACGTGATTCGAACACGTAACCTTCTGATACCGTTGATAAGAGATAAAAACTGATAATATATAACAGCTGATAAGAAAGTTGGCGTGGTCTATATGGTCGATGAAGAGCTGGATAATTCGGGCGGCTATGTATTAGGTATGGCTCCTTGCACCTGTATGGGCGGCCATGTATTAGGTATGGCACCTGGGCACCTGGGCTCCTTGCTCCTGTGGTAGAACTCCCTTTTTCATACTACTTCCACCAATACATGCATTTTTTCCAACAAATAAAACTATTACTCTTTTTAATTGCTTAATATTTAATGGAAATGTAATACATTACGGTGTTTCAAAATTACTCTTGACATCATTATTCTTCAATTATTTTTCGATTCTGAGCAGAGTTCAACTATCAACTCGATAGTGATGCTTTGTTAACAATACATCTGTCATTTTATAGTAAAATAATTAAATAGGCTTTACGTATTATCTTTAATAATATGTATTTAATGTTGTACCATTGATTATAGGATACACACACACAGCCCATGGCATAGAAATATCTGGTGACTAAAATTATGTTTATGTTTTTTCCCACAAGATGGCGTTGTACGTATCAATGAACAAATAATTTTACTTGAAATGACGTTTTTGTTATTATTGTCCGTGATCAATCGTGACGTCACGGCTGCGTAGCGGGGAGTTATTTATAAAACTGTTTATTTCATCTTTATCAGGGTTTTTTTTTTTTCTGAATTGACTATTATTTATATTTTCACAATTCTATTGTCGATATACGTCCTGTACTTAATAATAAGAGTGTAAACGCCACTGTTTGTAGACTGAAATGGAACATAAAAAATAATTGTTTGTCTACCAGACATTTTTCAAATTAATCGCGATCATATTTATACAATAAAATTATTCACAAGTAATACAAATTATAATAATATTATATCATTATGTTGTATAGACGCGTAATCGCAATCAAAAACGAGCGTCGCCTATGGGCTGGTGAGACTCGGCGAACTACGAAAACAATACGAAACACAATGACAATAAACAATTGTATTCGTATTTATTTGAACAATTAATTTTAATTTATTTTGGTACGGCAATGACGCGCGATAAGCTACCCTCCCGCACCGCTCATCGTTCTATGACGGCGGTACTACCTCCTCGCATCCTAAACTACACTAGCGCTTCATAGCGCTGGCATCCTATTTATAGTAGCCAAATATTAACATTTCACGGGTCATCTGTGTATTATCTATATTCAGTGTTCAAAGTACTTCCCCAGTCGGATTTACTTTTAGAAACATTGCAATCATTATAAATCGGAGCAAAACTGCTGGTAAAAAAGTTGTCCACAGAACAGAAAAAAAAAAATATCTTTGAAAATCCACAAGGTTTTCCGCTTCGATCAGAATCAAAAAATTACGCGGTCGATAACAGTAAAATCCGATTTTTCTCATTACCCAGGAGGAGTACAATAGCAGGCTACACAGTCTAACAATAATATAAGACAATGTCATATAGTACACAGCATAGACTTATAATTAAAGACCGGATCTGTGTGCGTTTTAAATTGAAAAATACGCATGCAAACATGCACTAAAAAAAAGCCAAGATACGCGAGGAAAAAAAACTCATGAATTCAATAGATCAACTTTGAACAACGTCGTAGTAATTCGTACTAACAATAAATTGTATCGGTATAAATTTAGCAGGAAATTATATCAACCTAATCTCGTTGATGAAATCATATCTAAGTAATAATAATCTTGATAAAACAGGTAAACCACTTTTCCGCTATTCAAGTTTAGTTGGCCCATTTTTAGCGTCCGAATATTTTTTGTAACGTAAACGTATTTGACATATTAACGTGCCTATTATCTTTTGGTTTTTGTTCGACACCTTATTAGACCGAGAGGTGTGTCTTTGTCAAAATATGCGAAAATTCGGGAATATAAAATGTTGATATTCGCGGACACTCGTCGACAGCACGCATATGATGACGAAAACAGCGACGCGCATTTCGTACGAAATCCGGTCTTTACTCATAATACTTTGGCGGGTTACACCAATACACGAGGTTTATGACAATAAAAAGTAACGTTTGTTTACAACAAGAAAAATATGGTACAAGTGATCGCCAGCTGACGGATGAAAAAGGCGAGTACGCAACAATTAAAACATAAGCTAAGAAAAACAATTATACATTAGGACGGTTCCGAGTCGAGGGAACAATGCTCCGCGAACGGCGTCGGTGCGATGGACGAGCGTAGCGGTCGAGCAGTCGAGTCGAGCGGAGCGGTCGAGCGGAGCGGTCGAGCAGTCGAGTCGAGCGGAGCCGGGTCGATAAACCGTTACACGTCGAGCGGAGCGGTCGAGCAGTCGAGTCGAGCGGAGCCGGGTCGATAAACCGTTACACCGGCGGCGGAGCGGTCGAGCAGTCGAGTCGAGCGGAGCCGGGTCGATAAACCGTTACACCGGCGGCGAGGGGCGTGGCACACCGGCGGCACGAGCGACGCGCAGCGGGAAGGAGAAATGTGGCGCGAAACCCGCCACAATACATATATAGACCGTGTTGTTGATTATAACCCCGAGGCCAAAACACGTGCCGGAGAGACGGACTCTGGCGTTACTTTTCCAAGGAGTTTCGTAAAAAAAAAGCACACAACAATCTTAGAGATTATAAATATTCATGTTGAAAAACGCGGGCAACGTGATTGATGACGCGCGAAAATAATTTCGAATTTTATTACGCGTCGACGACGGCCACACCGGCAATCAGTCAATTGAATATTACCACGGAGTATTATTAACGTTGCCGACGACCTCTTTGAAAAAGCGACACCCGGTGTCCGGGCGTCTCGCACGCGCGTCGGCGTCACCCGTGTTTGGTGTACGCGCCGCGGTCATTTCCGCTTCGGAACGCGCGTTGCGGACTTTCGCGGTGGTACTATTTTGAACCGCGGTCAATCCGTGGTCGGTTTGCCGCACCGCAACCGCGGCGCGCGTCGTTAACGCGTGGTTCACGTTCCGATTTCGGAACATTCTCGTTATCGGGCCCGCGCACGACCGCGGTGCTCGGCCGGGCCACAGCTCGGACCCCTCGGACCCCGCGGCGCCGCACCGGCGAATTACGCCGCGTGTGCCTGAATCGCGCCACTCGCGAACACCGGGACCGCGTCGCGTCTCGACCGCCCTCCGGCGACGGCAGCCACTGAATAGCCGCGATCGAGTGCACGTCGTGCACACACCGCACTCTTGTCCGATCGGAGTTTCCGTCGTTTTCATAGCTGTCCCGCAACGGCATCTACACGCCGACGCCGCCCGTTTCGTTATCCGCGCCCGCCGTGTAAGATAATTAAAGAAAAACACGCTCAGTTTTCTAGCCGTACAATAATATACGTTTTATACGTTTTATACGTTTTATACGTTTTATACGTTTTATACGTTTTTTTGCCGCGTGCGTTATTGTACCGTTACAAGTCTCGTTCGTCTCCGCGAGCACGTAAGTAAACACCGTCTACTCGTTTTGCTGAATATTTTCACCGTCGGATATTTCCGTAATAATTGAAATCTGTCGGCGCGTAACAATTCTTATGCCGCCGTAACGGGCGCAGTTTAACCTCTCGTTATTTTCACCTCTGGGGCGGACAGTATTTTGCGAAGTCGACTTTTACTAACAGCGACGGATAAATTTGACTCCCCCCCCACCTCTTCCACCATTATAATTTGTAAAAACTGCTCTTAGATTAATTTCATATTTTAAATTTATATTGATATTGATATGAAATTTTATATTTTTATTGAATAATTCCAATTTGTTAACATTAATAAAATGTTAATTAATTTTTTAATTTCTAGAATTCGTGTTTTTTATATTGACTTACATTCAATTATAACAGAAAAAACTTTCTTCCCCGCCCTTATTTATGGCTGTAATGCAACATCTAACACAAAGTTTTCTATTATTTTTCAATTCTTAAAGGGTATTAGTAAAAAAGTACACAAGTTGATGTAATTTACATGTATCATTCATACTATTTAACTAAACTTTCCAAATTATTCCAGATATTTATTCCATTTTATATTTTTATAATTTCCTGTATACAAGGAAAAACTAATTACATTTTTATTCTACCTGTACAACCATTTTAGTTTACTTAATATGATCATGGTATGTTTTTATTTTTATTATTTTAACAAAATTAGTAAATTTCAATTAAATTGTAAACAAAAATGTATCAGATATATGATGAGATAATCATACAAATTGATTGATTTATGTAAACATTTTTTATTTTCATCGGATTGAAGTATTATTGATAATTTTTTAATGTCATACAATAACTCGTGTTCATAATTTTTAGCCATATTTACAAGACTATGATACCCACAAAGCTTCAAAACGCAACCAGTATTGCAACAACTAATCATGTTGATGAACTGCAGAAAAAAAATATGCAAGATACCTTTACTAAATCGATAGATGTGAGTCTTTGGGTTGTAAATCTCAATGAAAAAGTTATTTTAGATAAATAATTGTCACATTTTTTACTTTTTCTATTCAACTAACCATCAACTAACTATTATGTGTTGTTGAAATATTGAATATTTTTTCTTAGTTATCATTAGTTTGTTTGTTAATTGAAAGTTAGAAAAAAAAATAATTTTATTATAATATACCTTTTAATTTTTCTTGTGAGTTGACAACTGTCTGTTTTTAAAAAAAATTTATATAAATACTTATTTCCCATAATATTCTGTCTGTACAATTTGCTCATATGAAAACTGTCGACAGCTTGGAAATCTTTCATATTGTTTATTTTTCAATCATTACAGAAATATCGTAATTTTATTTATTATGCCTATGTTTGTATTGAGATATCATTGTTATAATGTTTTAATCTATATAATCAGAAGTAAGAGAGGAAAATTTGATTGTTGAACTATGTAACTTGTATGAAATTTGTGTAATTTTTAGTTCATGTATAATATGGGTGTCCAAGAACATAATTAAAAATAAGTAATGTGGTTTAATGTAATTTCAGTTTCCCATTTTTAGTCTAATGTAAATCATAATGTGGTTTTGGAGATGTTTTTAACGATCAATAATAATGATTTTAACATTTGTCTAATTATTTTTATGATACTATTACTATTTAATAAAAACAAATTTCAGGTTATTTTGTCAGACATTGGAAAGCATCCAGTTAATAAAGTAAATGAAATTATGGAACTTTTAAATAAGAACAAAGTAGAATACACATATTTGGAGGTAAATGATAAATTTGAAGATGCTCAGAATTTCAAGTGTATAGTTAAAAGTGATTGCATAAATGGTAAATTATATAAATTGTATTAAACTAATTATTATATATTACTATTAATGTGCATAATAGTTATAAAGTTAAATGTTATAGCTTATGGTATTGGGTTTTCAAAAAAAGATGCAAAAAAAAATGCAGCAATTGATTTTATAAATAAATTGAAATCTAATTTTGACAACATTTTGAAAGAGTAAATAAACTACTAACCATAAAAAAACAATTGCATGACTTACATTTTGTTTCTTTTCAGTGAAGAGAAAAATTGTTTAGCTGAACCAGAGGTAAATTATGTTGGTGTATTGCAAAATTTTTGCATGGCAGTTCCTTCACAGTTGCCAGATTATGAATGTATAAAAGATGAAAGTATAAATAATATGTTCATAGTGAAGTGTCACCTTTATGGGTATACTACTAAAGGTATGTATTTTCAGAAAACTATAATACTTAATGATATATATAAATAAAATGTTGTTCTTAATTAGGCGAAGGTAAAAGCAAGCAAATAGCTAAAAAGAAAGCGGCAGCTTTAATGTATAACCAAATCAAAGATATGCCACGAGATAGAATTTTAAAGCATTACTTGAATGAACGCGGAATATCCAGTAGAGTTCTAAAGAAAATGAATTGTTCTGCCAATCATACATTGATGCAGCCCAGTAAATTCTCTAAGAAAACCAATAGTTATTCTGTCAATCATACACCAATGCAGTCCAGTAGAATTTCAGAAAAAATGGATGATTCTGTCAATCTTACATTGATGCAGCCCAGTAAAGTCTCAGAGAAAACCAATAGTTATTCTGTCAATCATACATCAATGCAGTCCAGTAAAATTTCTGAAGAAATGGATGATTCTGTCAATCTTACATTTGTGCAGCCCAGTAAAGTCTCAGAGAAAACCAATAGTTATTCTGTCAATCATACATCAATGCATCCCAGTAGAATTTCAGAGAAAATGAATGATTCTGTCAATCAAACATTGCAGTCCAGTTCAGATATGCAGAAATACTGTAATTCAAAAAACCATACAATAACTGAAGAATATAATTCTCAAAACTCTGTCATGTCGAAGACCAAAGATTCAGTTTTCAATAATTTGGATTTCTTTTTTGACCAAATAAGATCATCGAAAAAACCAACTCTCAGTAGACTGAGGGTAAGTAATTTATTATCTAAAAAATATAATATGCAAATTATATCATATAAAACTGTTATGTGTAGCAGCATATAAACAAATGGTATATTGTAGAGAACCTTATGGAAATCGTGTTCTCTGATTCGCTCTAATCCCAACAAGATAATAATTTCATTATTAGTTTGTAATAAGTGTTTTATGTTTTATTCATATTATTTTATTACATTAGCCTTGTATTGATTTTACAAAGATGTTTATTTTATGTGTACACATTTTCTACCAGAAAGCTTACTCCAATGTATAGGATGTAGACCCTTTTCTGAAAGGAAATTTTCTTGGGGTGGTATTTTTTACTAGGGCAGGATATTTTTCGATTTTGTTAGGAGTTTTCTCATCAAATGTAAAAAAACGGTAAAATATACATAGTATATTAGTTATAATACAATTTTTTTTAATTTTTAATTTAATTAATTTTTAAAATGTATATATTTAATTTTTCTAAAAGGAAATCGACTGGGCAGGTACTTTGAGGTAATTTTTCATTTTTTCCAACAAATGTGATAAACCGGGGATAAAACACTAAAAATCAGCACAATATTATTATTAAACTAATATATTAAAGAAAATATATAGTGCCTATCTAATTATTTTACCATAATATGACATATTACATACTGTTGACAAAGCATCACTATAAACTGAACTTTCTGCTCAGAATTGTTTTTTTTCACTAGCAATAGTTTATTGTTGTTTACAGATATACATTAAATTCCCTTCTTTATCCTACTTTCCTTCACACCTACAACAGTGGCTGCACTCACATGCAAATTATGTCTTGTTTTTTATTTATTTTCTTTTTCAAAGGATAAGATTTGAATTTTTAATTCATATTATTATTATTTTTTTATTTAGGACTTCTACGATAACTATTTTAATTATTAAAAACTGATCAGTAACATTAAATTATATTATTTGTTGTTATGAATAATAATTAATGCTATTATAATTTGTTTTTTTTTTTTTTAAGTTGATAACAGATCAATGAAAACAAAGTATTGTAATTTATACATACACTGTAGACTGTGAAGGCAAAAATGATTATCTATGAATGTAATGTGTATACTAAATTTTGTAATTTATTTATTTTCATCTAATGAGTTCTTCTATTTAAATTTTTATGTAGCATATAGAATAATGTCTTTAATTGTGAAACAATATTTAATCTTAAAATAATAATTTGATATTAAATTTAATACTTTAAATTTTAATAAAATTTAACACTTCTTTACTTTTTACAAACTGAAACATTTAAAAATCATAACTGATAATTAAATTGTTATTTTATTGGGATTAGATTCAATCGGACCACAGGATTTCTATAAGTTCTCTAACAATGTAAACTTTGCTTATATGCTAACAGTTAACAGTGTAGTCTACTGATTAACAATAACCTGGAATGTCTACCTACCTACTTGATAATAGTGTCTAACTTCAAACATGTTATCTACTAAATATAATAACAATCAGCTTTTTTTTTGAAAATTACTATAATTTTAGAGGGGGCTGATATTTTATAATATTTAATTGTATATCAAAGCCGCTTTCTTTAAACTTGCAAAAATCATATTACTTAAAACACCATGAAAAATGTATATGTGATTTATTTGAGAGATCTTATTACATAGGTTATAATTATAACCAATGTATATTACATATACGAGTAGCTATATATTATATTAGCCTTTTTTAATTTTTACTTTAAAAATTTAAGAAAAATAGTTAGATTAAAAGTTGATCTTATCACCTAAATAATTTAATTAATACCAATTAATTTTAATAACAAGATTTAAATTTACCAATTTTATTTTATAATGTTATAACTTATAAGAATTATTAAGAAAAACAAAAATACAAATATTTCTTTATAGCAACCACCTAGTTACAATAAAATATATTAAAAATTTAAAAACAAAAGACTACTTATTTTCCATAATGGGTGGGGCCCGTCTTACAATTGGCTCCCTGTTGTAGGACAGAAATTAGGAAAGTAAGATATAGAGTGGATATTAATGTATTAATGTATTCAGTTATTCATATTATGAAAGATCAAAATTTGATGTTAAAATTCTTATTATAATAATTAATAATATAAACATTTTTTTATTTTTACCTCAAAGTACTACTTATAATGAATCTCCTGTTAAATGTTGAAATGTTTTTCTTAATTTTAATTGAAAGTTAGGATACATTATTATATACTATATATTATGTATACTTCTGATTATTTAAAGTGGTGTTCAGTGATCACTGACCAGTTTATACTGTTTGAATTATAAAATTGCATTAAGATTATTTGTGATGGAATTGTTCATAGAAATGCTACTGATGGTAGTGGTCATGTCGCAGAGAACTACTATTTTGAAACTTGTCACTTTTTTTTACATGGTTGATCAATTTAAACAAATCACTTGTTTTACATTTTAAGGTTTAAATATTGATAGGTAATATAAATAATTATCTTGATAATTATAATATTTATCTTATTATGCTATATTGTGTGTATGTTTTTTTAAGTTCTGAGCTGAGTGAGGAATGTATTGGTTTTACTAAAAATCTTGCTTTGATATATCAAGTATAGCATCTTTTCTAAAAGAAAATTTTGTCTAGTTGAAGTATTAGGGAACATATTTTTTGATTTTTAAAGGGGTTTTCACAATAACTGAGATATAATGATATAAAAAAACTCCTGAAAAAGTGGAAAAGTTCGATATTTTATTGAAATTTTTGTGTGCTTTCAACTTCAATTAAAACAATATTCTAAGAAAAAAAAATTAGTTTACTTTATATTCAATTATTATTTGAACATTTTAAGTAGATACAGCAACCTGAACATAAAGGATTGATGTCTAAAAATAACTTTTTATTTCGGTCTCTAAATCCAATTGAAATTTTTTTCAAAAATTAAAAACTAATATTTTAGCATTTGTATGGTATATATAAACATTTATTTAAAATCATGTGATATATGAAACACTCAATGTATTATATTTTTTTGTCTTTATTATTACTGATATCTATTTTTCTTGTTATTTTCTCTTTGTAACTATCCGGATACAATGTACAGTTTTGATTTTTTTTTCTAGATATTTTTTTTTTTTTTTAATGTATTAGTACAATAATAAATGCAAAATTATTGGTTTTGTTTCCATTGCCATTAATATACAGGATAACCATCCTATTCAGGGGGATTCACTAAGCATGCTCACCCCATTTTTTTGGTTAAATTTTGCATATATTTAAATTATGTTTTTCAAAATTTTTAAGTGTAGTTAAAGTTGATATTTTCGAATACTTAGATTTTTTCCATTATTTAAGGAGTATCATGCAATAACACCAACTTAGGTTTTTCAAATGAAAACCTATATTAAAAATTCCATAAACAGATGATTAATGTATTATTTTAAATAAATTTAACACTTCAAAATTCCAAAATTCAGAATTTGAATTTATGCAAAATTTAACCAAAAAACAGGGTGAGCACACTCAGGTAATTACCCTGTATATACTCATTGTTTTTGTTTTACAGGAACTCAAACGTGTACAATTGTATACAATAGACACTGTTCAAATGTTGTATGACATAGCTAATGAAGAAGACTTTACTGTCAACTACGAATCGTTTCCTAATCATGTTTCAAGTAAAATATTTGTTTAAGGTTTAAATTAATAATTAAATTATTTTTATTTTTTTTAGGCACAATAAGAGTTAAGGTAAATCTATCTGTTTCACCAACTTTAATACATTTGGGTAATGGAAAGACAGCTATCAATGCTTTTAGGGAAGCTTCATTTAATGTTCTAGTGTACTTGAAAATGATTATGGATAAATCAAGTCCATAAAAGCTATTATATTCAAATTGACATTCATACTTAATTTTTATTGTTAAAGCAATTTATTTATGTTTGATATAACTTTCTTCTGATCAATAAAGTAAAGATATAATATTTTTAATTTCTGATTGTATTATGTAATAATAATAATATATAATTATATAATAATAATTTAATATTATGCTACGCATTCTTATTTAATATTTGATTGTTCTTATTCCAATTCTTATTAAAGTCTGGGTTAAATCATGTTTATCACTTATAAAAATAAAATTGTATGTTTTAAAGGTTTTTTCCAAGAAAATTCAAACAAGTTACTTACTCATTGCACACACTAGAAAAATATTTGCTATCAGAAATCATCTTTGAAGTTGTTGATAGAAAAGTTGTTCATTAATAGAAAAAGAATAACTAAAAAATTACAAGAAAACGAAAAAACCTTAGTTTAACGAGAAGTGTGAGATAGAATTCTAAGAAAGAAATTCAGGAATCTATACCTTAATGATCCCATTTAAGAAGAAAGCAAAAGAAAATATAATGAAAGTAGGAAAGAAGTTAGCCGTATTTTAAAGTACGAAAAAAGATCCTTTACAAAAAATGTATGAGAGGAAGTAGAAAAGAATCACAAGGAACATGATACACGCCAAATATATCAAAAATTAATGCAATAAAAGGAGGCTTTAAAAAATATGAACAATTTTTAAAAAATAACGTTGGAACTCTAATTACTACTCAATCAGATATTTTAGGTAGATGGAAGATGTATTTCGAACAACTTCTCAATTAAGATGACCCCATAAATACCTTCTCGGACAAATACGGAACCTAATCCAAGTGAAAACTAAGCACCGTTGAAACAAGAAATCGAGTTTCAAATAATGTGACTGGAGAATCAGAAGTCACCAGGAGAAGACCGGGATACAAGGGGAAAAGAGAATGACACATTTTAAGTACTTGGGTCACCTTCTAACGCAAGACAACAACTTGAAAATAGAAATCAGTACTTATGTATTATAAGGGTAATAAGAACTTTTTTGGTCTTTGAAAAATATTGAGCTCAAGAACCATATCAGCTAACCTGAAAATACAGATATACATAACCTTAATAAGAGCTTTAATACTATGTGTCTCGGAAACTTGGCCACTTAGGAAAATGGAGGAAACCAGATTAAAAGTTTTTGAAAGGAGAATTCATAGGAGAATCTATGGCCCCTGCATCGAGACCAACGCGGGAAAGTGGCATAAACGTCAAAACTGCGAACTAGAAGAACTGTTTAAAAGACCAGATATTGCAAAAGAGATTAAAAAGAAAAGGCTCACGTGGACAGGTCATGCGTGGAAAAAAATTGGCTCAATAGTTAGAAAGACTATCAAGGAGAATCCTATCGGTAAGAGGCCACTGGGAAGACCATGACTACATTGGAAAGACTGTGGGAAAGATTCGACCAGACATACCGTGAAGGAGTAGCAGCAAAGGAAACCCCCCCCCCCAGAAAAAGGTTTAAAGTTATAACTAATACAATTTATTTTTATTGTTTAGTTCCAATTAGATATTACTATCAATTGAAATTTATCAAAGTATTTATAAACAAACTTCGCGGTCAGAATCAACATGGTTGGTTTTTCTTCGCAACGATTCATCATTGTGATTATAAAGATTAATTATTGAACTACTCTATTCTACCTTTTGACTAACCACCCGTATCAGCGGCCCCCCAATTATTATTTTTGTGAGTTTAACTAGCACTACCACAAATTGTGCTAGGGAAATTCTCCTGATTTTTGCGCTGTTAAGAATTAATAACTTGTTCCTAGTAGAAAGTTTTACATTGTTACGTTATTTTCGCATATTAGGTGTTTTCTATTGTGGAATAAATAATTTTAAAAAAAGGTTGATAATTAACGATACATTTATTTTGTAAATACTTTTATTTCGTCAAATGTGCCAAAAAACTCGTCTCCAAATCTGAAACGTCTAGTGAAACACAAATGGCGAGTGCTTATCATACAAAATTATATACTATCGCGCACATATATAATAATAATAATAATAATAATAATAATAATATCCTATCGCGTCACGAGTAGTACAATATTCAAAACAACTCTTATAGAGAATACCTATAACATCGTGTTAAATATTTAATATTAATATAAAAATTTATCAAATATAAAATAATAAATATACATTTCATGGGAGCCGAGGAGGGAATTTATTTTATAACTTGTACACGGTGCAATGTTCGTATTCATTTGTCTGCGGCGATGCGATCGTTTGCGACGGATCTTTTGCGGCAGTCGTCCGAATTCGGACTCCGGGCGCTCTCGTCGTCCCTGCCGCGGCCGTCGACTCCTGCACCGTGAGTCCTCTTCGAAGCGGCGGCCGCGAATCCGGCCGGCCCGCAGATGTCGATGTTCGGTATGAACAGCCGGAGGGCGTTGGGCCCCGTCGGAAATTCGGTTCTGGTGAGGGGGTCGTCTATCGCCGCTGTGCCGGCGGGTCTGTGTTTGGCCGTCACCGGGTTCATGGTGACCTCCAGCGACCGTTTGGTCACCACTTCCTGGTGCGTGTCGAACGCCTTTACCAGTTGCGCCACCGTAAACCTATTATACAAGCAAACAGAAAACAATTATTATTGTAATCAGTCGGCCTGGCACACCCCTGGGCTCCTGGAACGTTTTGTTTTCAAGGGCCCCGTAAATGAAAAATTCAAAGACCGCGGATTGTTACGTATGAACGTATTTTGTTCGACAATATTTCTAAAAAATAACAATGGATTTCGCGGATACATATTCGTACATGTATGTTATGTTTGCAAAAAGTAATTTTTAGCGTCATATCAGTTTTCAGTAATTGGTTTATAAATATAATCACTGGCGGACGGTAATTAATCGTAATAAATTAATATATTTTGTTATTTTCCTACGGTCTGTAAAAATTAACTGAAGTCTAAATAATAGGTACTATGTGCATTTAATCTACACAAAAATGAGTTAAATGACGATGTTTTATAAATCCGGGGCTCGTAGAGGGGCCTCCAGACTCAAATACAACTGGAGGTCCCGGTCGCGTTCGCGACTTCGGTCGGGCCGACACTGATTGTAATGATATAGTAACGACTGTAAAACGTCGGATTTCACTCTAATGGTAACGTAAAACATTTCAGCCGGATGAAAATGATTTTTTTTTTTTTTTCAAGAATGTCCAATTTGGCAGCTACACACTATCCGATTTAGTCAGTTGGTCGGGCGGTCAAATGGCACGGTCACCTGATAACCCGACAGAATTTTAGTCGGACGACAGACACGATCAGGTCTACACACGACCTGATAATGTCATATTATGATATCTGACCAAACCAAATTATCCTGTCCGCCCGAGGTATTCCATTTTTAAGTTTTGTTCGGGGGAGAGTAGCGGTGCATTCTTAAAACGCCGCGCGTTGTGCCGCCACACAAATGAGAGCATCGTTTATTTTAACTACTACTCCGTCTATTCTATTGAATTTTGAATATAGGTTGCTATTTAATAATCAAAAGTAGATAGTACTTTCACCCACAAAAATTGGGGTGAAAAAATAACATAAATATAAAATGTCAGAGCTGCTTGTTTCTAAAATTTCCTATAAAACAAACGTCGAAAAAAGTTAAAAACTTTCCGAGATGATGAGTGTCTCATGATAGATTGATCATCCAGTGTACAGCAGTGGTGATATCAAATTAAATTCAATAGAGACCCTTTTTATAAAGCCAAGTGTTTTCAGAGCCTTACAGCAAGATTTCTCGTGATGATCGTGAAAAGTTATTTCTCGATCAAACGTAATACCTAGATCACCGTACTACCTGCACCAGTGCGTAAGAAATCATACAGAATATATTATTAAAACGCAGTGGGAACTTTGATTCTGCGAAAGGACATAAAATGGCACTTTGAAATATTAAACTAAACTAATGATTAAAGCCCGAGCGACTGACGCATCTAAGTCCTGAAGTAGAAGGAACTAGGCAAGGCAGTCATTAATTAGAGTAAATGAATCTCTACGAATAATTTTAAACCGTCAGCAAACAATTTTATTATATGTATATATATCTACTTTGAAAATTTCGGGGGAAGGTTGAACTCCTAATCCCACCCTCCTGTACATGTCCTTGAAAATATATGATGTTTTTCCATGACTTAAAATTTAAATATTTAAGTTTTATTGCAATAAAAATGACCGAACATGAAATAATACCTATCCTTAAGTTATAACCTACAGTAGTGAGGGAACCCCTTTTGTAATACTCCCCTACTGTAGCCAACACATTATAGTACCAAGTACCTTTAGTGTTTGAAAATGCATTTGAATATCGTCGAATCGAATCTATTAGTTTTTCAACAAATGTCGTTAAAGTTGCCTATACGCAACCCTTGTTACTGCCGATGTCACGGTTTTGGGGAAATTAAATGAATTAATTAATCAATTTAAATTACTCATGCTATAATGTCGGGTTTTTGAGATGACATATGAAGAAGGCGATTTCATCGTTCAAGATGTATTCAAGAGGAAGGGTGGACGGTTTTTTTTTTTTAATTCGGACACTTCGATTTTGTTTTTTTCACTGTCCTATCAGTCTACCCGCTTTCGATCATCTTGAAGTGATTGGTGACTAATTATTTCAATAGCTCAAACTTTTCCGAAGAACTGTAGGCTGATTAGCATTTCCTTTTTTCAATATATACATTTACATTTTACATCCGGATATTTTGTTAAAATCAACTAATATATTAGTTAATATACTTGAACTAACTAGAAATATATACTTGTGTCAGTATAGAATGTTTCGATTTTTTATTCAAATATTACAATTCCTTTATTATTATTCATTTTAATGAAAACAACACTGCCATATTATTAAATATCGATGTATTTCTTTGTGATAAATTATATTTTAATAATATTTAAAACTTCCGTAATTGCCATTTATAGAGATTTACAGTTATTTTAGATTCCGAGCGCAGCGAGGGAGCTATTGGTTTTACTAAGATGTTTATTTTTTTTTTCATTGTTCTTTGTTCTTAGTTCTAGTCTGTGGACACGTTTTTTCCTAGTAAACTTGCTTCGATTTTTACGTGTAGCAATTTTTCTGAAAGCTCAAGTTGTCTAGACTGTACTTTAAAGAAGTTATTTTCATGATTTTCGACGCTATTTTTTAAATAGAAGCACTTAAGTGGGAAAAAACATAGGAAAGCGTACAATTTCACGATTTCATTATTTTATAAAAACACGGACGACGTTTTCTACCAAAAAAAATAATTTAATCGAAAAATCTCACGATACCTTTTTTATTGCTTTTTTGATTTACTTTTCTACGGTATCATCGTCAATTCAAAGTATTTTTGCTGTTATTCGGTTATAAATACATGTAGAGACTTGAAACTTGGTAATAACACTTATATTGAACTTACCTAGACGTGGTAAAATTTCTAAAATCATCGAACGACTTTTTTTTTAAATTAAATTTAAACAAAAATCGCAAGAAGAAAAATTACGGCACATTAAATTATATATTACTGAACTGCGCTAAGAATCGTCTTTCGTCAAGCAATGGTTTATCGTTGCTTACAGATATTAATAAAATAACCTTATGTATCTCACCAGATCTTTTTTTTCAGTGCTGGTGTACAATTAAGACGAAACTTAAGACTGTTTTGCACGTTTCTGTTTATGGCTAATTTTTAGTAAAATGCAATACCACCTTGAATCAACCCATGGGACAGTGTTCCACTAGAATTTGTAACGAAAAACCGCCTTAACTATACATTTAATTCTCAGAATCGGAAGTTGTCTTAGTATTGCGTTGTGCATAGTTTTAAAATAGATAAATGAAACGAAAACAAAATAACGTGTAAGTTTCAGTGATCAGTCTTAAAAATTGTCACTCTGGATAATTTATTTGAAGTTTAAAATTCGTTTTACTCATAACAACAAACCTATTTCGTGTAGTGACGTTCTTGCTCCAAAGGAGCGATATAACAATAACAATTAAATATATAATTATAATTTGTCATTTTTATATAGGCAGTTTAAGGATTTTTCTTCTTAAAACTGACTATAATAATGACTAATTTGAGCACAATTATAATTACCATTGATTCATTATTATTATTCAATAAACATTTTCGATTTTTACCGTATATGTATAACGTAACATGTTCGCCAATTGATGATTGTTTTAGCGAGCCTCTGCAGTGTGCATTATTTTCATATCCTGCACGGATGCGTCCTACGGTTAAACGCGCGTATACAATACGAAAAACAAACTAATTTCAGTTTTTTTGCTTACTTATCAGCAGCTCGTTATAAACTACGCGCGCTCATTCGGGTCCTTGACATTTTCATTTAACGCGGAGTGTACTATACGTATACGTATATGTGTATGTAAAAAAAAAAAAAAACGTGGCGTGGCCTGTACAGTATATTATGTATATTTAGTGAGTGTATATACAATATAATGCTGCGTTTAACGTGTCCTAACTAAAAGCGTTTAGTAGTATTATATAGTAATGAGTGCGCGAATTAAACGGGGCGAGGAAAAAAATAAAAAAATAATACACGTTTGGCGTGGGACGGTGACGGCAGTGTTTCAATATTTCAATTAAAACGTGTATTTTATGTATAACATTATACTCGTACGAAGTTCAATGTTATAGCTTTATAGAAAGTAGGTAATACGTGCATACCTATAAATACGCATTAAAACTTACCGCGGTTTACTGTTGTGAAATTGATTTGAAAATAAATCGATTTCGCCGGGTCGATAATAAATGTACGGATTTTGTTTGTATACGCGCGCATTTCAATTTTCGTATACAATCTTGTTTTCAATCAGATGACGCGCTGCGTGGATGAATGAAAAAATTTAATCGACCGTTCCGAAATGCGTATAAATTATAATACACAGTGTATAATGTATACTATCTAATAACAGCGGCGCAGTCAGGACTTTGACTGTGACTAAATGCGTTTTTGCTCGAGACATGACCGAAGATAAAATGAGACGGGGAGTTTAGACCCTAGCCCCTCCGAAATGGAGAAAAAAAAAATTATAAAAGTGTTTTCGCCAACAAACATTTTAATGTAATACTTTAATTTTTAAACGAAAATGTATACAAAAACAATTTAACACACCGAATAAGAATAAAACAGGCAATATGTGTCTCAGACTCGTGGCCACGGGGCCTAGGGTCTAGGAGAGATTCCTCCCTCCCCCTAGGACCTAATCGTTACTCCCCCCCAACAAGTATTAGATTTGTTTATGTGGTTAATATTGTTCTTTTTCTAATGTCCCCCCTAAAATTTTAAAATTTGGTTTGCCCTCCCTGATGGCTACGGACCTGATGTTTCTTGGCATAACTTGTAATTATGTATATATTACCATACAGCTGTTTTTTTCTAGGATAATTTTAATTCCAGTAATTACATCAATTTTATTGAGTCTATTTTCTGGCATAACGCACCTTATTCTTAAATACGCTTTTATATGGTTCAGTTGAGAAATTGTTCTTTTAGGAGCAAAAGGATTAAATAGAAACGTAGTTGACGCTTAAACCGTAAAATAGTATACTAAACCTTATGTACATAAACATGATCCACGCGTGGGGGCTATAGCCCCCTTAGTGTCTCTCCCCTAGTTACGCCTGTGTCTAACAATATTGTAGTGGTGAGCCGATATGACTTTCGACATTCCAATATTATTGTTACCGATTTGGTATTTAAAATCGATAACTACGCGTCGATATTAGAATTAATCGATATATCAATTGTAAAGCCGATTTTTTTAAACGCTTTTTAATATTCCAGAGATATTTTAGACGTTTATTTTCCCGAAAATGTTGGGTCGAATATCGGATTTGAAAAAAAAAACATGGATGATATATATTTTAGTTTTTGTGTGCTTTTTTATGTCTGTGAACAGATTTTCTATTGGAATTTTCTATTTTCTATTTCTATTTTTCTCCGTGACCGTTGACCTTAGGAGTGATACCTGATAACGAATTTTCTTTGGTCGGTAATTTTTTGATTATCCGTTCATATATTATTAGCATTACTAGTTTTTTCTATAGAAGTGATACCGTTTTACTAATATTTTGATGATTTTTGATTTTTTTATAACTGTTTGAAATTGTTTAATCTTCTAAATTCTAATTAAGCGTGAAATGTATTGGTTTTAAAATGAGGTTTATTTTTTGTTATCTTTTTTTTTTTTGTGTACAACTTTTCAACCAGAAATTTTGTTTCAATTTTCAAGCGTTGCACCTTTTCTGAAGGAACATCATTGTAAAACCAATACATTCTTCGCTCTGTTCAGAATCTATAATATTGTTGAGACACCTTGAAAATTTGCTCTAAATGATTGTTTGAGAGCCTCGAAGAAAATTTAAAATCAATTATCATTAAGTTTTAACGGTTCAGTTGATAAAAGTATTCTTTTTATATGGTAAATTTTTTAGATGACCAAAAAGTGGTATGAAAATTAAAAAAAATATTTGTAATATAGTGTAATAATTTATTACACTATTGTACACTATTTTATTGCTAATAAAAAAAACAAATAATTGCAACATTTAAAAAACTCAAGCAGTCGTCATCAAACATCATAATAATATCTTACCAAATGTTCAATTTAATACAAAAGATTCAATGCGTTACAAAACAATGGTGGACGTTAACAAGTTAAAAAGTTAGTATTAAGTTTATAACATGTATCTTTTTTAACTGTACAATAAAATACAATTTTACTAAAAGAAAAAAAACTAAATCTAATCTAACACGTTTGTTTGCATTTTAACAACTTCATTTCAATTCATTGCGCGTTAACTTTTTACCGAATGCGAATTTTTCGTTGGTGTAAATCGACTAAATCAAATCAATTGTTTTGCTGATATTGTATACGCGTAAAAAATATTTGATACTGTCGCGGTTTTCGCACACAAAGTGCAGCTCTATATAATAATTTGCTTTCACGGTTTTGGTGTCGTTATTAAATTTACGCAAAAATCTCGCCATAATAATGTTATATTGACTTACCGTCTATACCTATACCCACTCGCGTTAGCGACTCGGCCGAACGAATTCAAGAGAATATGTTACCGTCCGGACAAAAAAAAAAAAAAACTTAATAATACCTATATTTTTCTTACAAGTTACAACCCTCCGGTGAAAACACCTACATAATATACCTACCTGTAAAGCACATGGGTGCGAAAAAAATCGTTTTACGTGGCGATAACCGGCTCTCGACATCAGATTCTATATATCTGTCCGTCGGTACGGTTCGGACGACTACACGTCGACGGGAGTCAGCCTGTGGGCCGTTAATAGAGTGGATTTCTTACGCTAATTTATGCGAACTCTCGTAGGAGTCGAACAAAAATATTCCATCTCCATAATATAGGAGGAATATGCTTCGCAAGAATATTTTCAGGGAAACTTAATAATTGTAAATTACGCGAGTTTGAATATTATTATATTATAATGCAATAAATAAATAAATATTAATATAAAAGTAACGAAAAAAAAAAAAAAAAAAGGCTGATACTAGTGACGGGTATGACTCTGTTTTAGGAGAGAAGTTGGAAGGGAGGATATTTAGAGTAATTTAATTTATATCTGTACGCAATGATAAACCATTGGCGACGAAAAAAAACAATTTTGAGCAAAGTATTATTAGTTTTATTTTGTCCCTTGTCGCAAAGGTCTCACAAGTTACACAAAACATTACAATTTCTCCCATTTATTAAGAAAACTAGAAAAAAAAAAAAAAATCAAAAAATTACTTTCAATGTTCCAAGAAGACCAAAAATTCTACAAGAAAGTTCCTTTATAATTTTTGATTGGAGTAAGATTTCTAAAAGAAAAATCATGATGATATTAAGTGAATTTGATTTTTTTTTTTTTTCAATCATTATTAAATCGTTTAAATAACAAGATAATTTTCAAACTTTCAAATACCATATACCTTAAATGAGTATCACTTTTGATTTTCAAATAACAGTAAATAGTAAATAATAATAATAATAATAGTTTTCTTGTTCATGACAATCAAATTGCCATCCACATCACCAAGGTAACCCACGAATAAACAAAATTAAATAATTAAACAATTAAATATTCGTATCAAAAATACCTAGAAACCCTTATTTTACCTCTTTAGAGGTTTAATTTTTAAAACTTCTTTTTTAGCGGATGCCTTCGTCATAATAGCTATTTATGTGTCAAGTTTCAGCTCGATTCGTCCAGTGGTTCGGACTAGGCGATGATGAATCAGTCAGTTAGTCAGTCAGTCAGTTAGGACATGGCGATGGATTCTGTAATTGTAGTTTTTATCGTAATAATTGAATTCCGCTGTTTTGAGATCAATTCTCACTAAAGTAGAGGCTCTTGTTCGATCAGCTTCATATCGTGCGTCTTGATCTTCAAATGTTTCAGCAGATCTATTGACAGTTACTTCAATAGCTATAAACCTTCTCCGGACAACGCAGACACTTTTCGAAAAACCGCGTTAAAATCGCTTCAGTAGTTTTTGGGTCTATTATTGTCAGGCAAACATTCATCTATTTCTATATATATATATATATATACACATAGATAATAGTTTTCATGTACTTTAATACCAATCCGTTATCCGTAGTATCAACAAGGTGACCCATGAATAAATATGAGTACTATAAACATGTGGTACATTATTTTTGATACCTTCGGTTACATTAATACAATTTTCGTAGGGATCTCTAACTGTTTTGAAAATAAAACAAAACCCATAATACTCGCTGATAACGTAGCATTTTATAAGTAAAATCAGTTAAGTACTCACCCATCGTGCGAAGTATGTCTGTTTGTTTTTTAAACACGTTAATAACAGGTCTAAAATAATTTTACATTGCTATTTTAATAATATTCTGTTATTTTCGGGTTTTGTTTTATCATATTGTCGATAAATCGAAATTTGTGTTTTCACAGATGCGTAGTAAAAATAAAAAACATTATTTTCGATGAATAATGATAATGCATATAATTACGTTTAAATATTATACGTAATACATACTATTGGCTCCCTCGATTTTTATCAAACCACGGACTTAAGGGGTTCCATATAAGCAATTTTGATGACATATTCGAAAAAATTATGTATTAACTCGATAATTTTCATATTCACTTTCAATCATTATCATAAGTTTTATTTACACCGACTTATCATGAACATTTCAAAAATATCAGATTAATAAACAACAATAACTTTTTAGTATTTTTTGAGATATCACAACTACCATAATTTAAAACGTTATTGCGAGGTTAATTTAGTTTCCTAATAATTACGATTTAAGAACACGTTCTTCCCCGCGCGAAATGATTTTTGTTTACAATTGTATTCAATATTCTTTTTTTAGCCCCCTGAATATATTATTAGTTATCGCTAACCATTATGGTTACTTTATTATTACCTGGGTTCCTCATCGGAGTGGTAAAAGTGTTCTACGCTGCTGGTGCCACTCGTGTTACTTTCGGTCGGCGAATCGGATCGAATTGGTTGTACGACGTTGGTTACCGTGGTCACGTCACTATCACCGTTTCTCACCACGTTTTCTTTGTCATCTTCAAAGGACGTCGCCGTCGTAATTGGTCGATCTTCGGAAATATAACTCTGGGACACGGATATGTTGGCGGTGGACGAGCACAGTGAGTTCGGCAGTGTGGACACGCCGGTCAGGCTCATCAGCAGACTGCCGACGGTGGCGATTTTGTCCATTTCACTGAGGTCTTTGATGCTCTTGCACTTGTCTAGCACGTCCTGGGACCGGGACAGGCTTTTCAGCCCATACAGCTTCTCCTTGGACTTGCTGAATGTCCGGGTTCCCCGACGGGACCGAGACACCAACGACGTGTGACTCTCACACATCCTGTTGGACGCGTACTGTGACTCGTGCAGCATCGCTGACCGTTTCATGTCGTCCAGCCGCGTGATATGCTTGGACACAATTCTCTCAAAAAGCGCCTCCCGGGACTTTGACAGGTACGACTGTTGCAAGCTGCCAACACGTTTCATTACTGGAGGTGGTGGTGGAGGTCCGCCGGCGCACGTGTTACATCCCGTTCGCTTGGTGGTCGGTTGCTGTTGGTGATGCTGTGATTGATGGAGCTGTTGCGATGACGACTTCCTCAAGTTGGCAAGCCACGGGTGTTTCAGACACTCTTTGGCCGTCAGTCTCTCCCGGGGGTCTTTCACCAACAGTTTTCGGATAAAATCCACCGCTTCCTCCGACACGTCTTCAAAAAGTTCGTCGGGGAAATCGATGTCGGCGTTAGATATGTTGCAGAACGTCTCTTGGTCCGTGTCGCCGCCAAACGGACTGAACCCCGTTAACAAAGCGTACGTTGTCACGCCCAGTGACCTATGTATAAGCGAATAGTGAATCGATTAACTAAGCTACGGAATACTATAAGTTCCTAGGTTCAAGTGTTCTAATATTAAACGAGAAGAAAGGCGGCGATCCACAGAAACCGTGAGGACCGCGTAATATTTAACGATATTTCACCGAATTACCGCAATATGTGATTACCTAACTAAATTGGACCTTTGATAAAAAAAAAAAAACAAATTATATGTTGATAGCGGATAACTGATTAATTCGAAATACGAAATTAAGTCCGAAAATAATAGTTTTATATTTTTATTGATTGTATTATAATAATAACTACTAAACAAATTACTTATAAAAACAGCCATGGATGATTAAATTGCACGGTGTATGAAAAAAAAAAAACTATACAAAAGTATGAAACACGAAAAAAATTTACAAAATGAGGTAGAAAATTTTGTTATATTATTAAAAAAAACGAAAGTACGAAAAAACGAATACGCGAATATGGTCGTAATTGATTGCCATGAGTACCATGGCAATCAATTATAACTACACGGCGAATAGTTGAATATTTTCAACTTTATGGTAATAAGTGTTAATGTGGATTATCGTGGTATCCGAATTACGGTTATGATATTACTCATATATCCATTTATATTGTTAGATATTACACGATACACACGGTATGCACGGCACATGGTGTCAGTGGAATGCCGCTTATATTAGATATAGATCGATACATAGATCGAGAGAGTGGATTACGAGTGTAGGTATATTGTATACCTACCTTTGTACTCGTGTTTATGTACTTTAGGTTGATAATTTTTATAAACATATGTGTAAAACGTTTGATTCGATCTAACGTTGAAATTTATAAAAAAAAATTGTATTTTAAAACAAGAGTTGTTAGGGATAGTGTATAGACAGTTCAGTATTGAGTTTTTAGATTCACTATTGCACTCTACTTAGCTATAGTAAATTAAAAAACCAGTTCGTCGAGATTTAATATACTTTGTGAACGTATCGCTGTAGCGCGTTAATGAATCGTTTTATCATGAATTCTAAATAATATGATGTATATAGACAGTTTGAAGGCACCTGTTTGATAATACGAAAAATCTAATTTACTCACCACATGTCCGCGGCCAACGTGATCGGTTCGTAGTGAAGTATCTCCGGAGCTATAATATAATACAAATAACATTTTTTGATTATAGTCGTAAAACCAACAAACATATTATCGTATAGACACTAAAATCGTACGTGACACGGTTTTATTTTTTTAAACATCGCATTCGCTATTACTTACCCACGTAATCGGGCGTGCCCAGTATTTCTCGGATTTCGGTACCCTCCAGGATCACGCGTGATATTTCGAAATCGCATAGTTTCACGTCGCACGTGGGAAACGCACCCATCAGCACCAAATTTTGAGGCTGTAAACACCAGAACCACAATATAATATTATAATAACGTTGTAGATACATTTACATTTAAATAATCCGTACAAAACGGTGTAATGGTGTATACAATATTATAATATTCAGTATAAATCAATATCGCCGCCACGCACGTGTTTGTTAATATGCTAAATTTTTTCGAAGTCGGTCACGAATTAGGTACCTATATGTATTATATTATATTATTATATCGTCCATTAGCATACCCGGTCTTAACAATGGACGCGAGACAGCTAGTGCAGTATAATGTTAATACGAAATTAATGGACGGTATTGTGGATTTACTAATACCGATCCGGGGTTGGTCCTTGATGCGATCCAGGACTATATTATACTATGCGTGTATCGGATATCGATCACTATATCTGTATAGTAGAGTCTAGATCGTGATGTCCGTTCGTTCGATCGTGGGTGGCGTGTCTAATGGTTTTTTTTTTGTACACACACACGTACATGATGCCGCATTTGGACCCGGACAGTTCCAGGAAACCAACGTGTCACCGATATAGTATGAAAAGCTAGTAATATATAAGCGGCTTTTTTATAATATTATATTTACGGGATTAAAAAAAAAATAAAAAAAAAAATGGAAAAAATGGAAAAAACCTTGACACGCTCGGTATAGGTATACCTATGTATATAGCTGGTGGTAGACCAGGCACGAAACTCACTTTAATGTCTAGGTGAGCGATTTTTCGCTGGTGCATGTACGCCAAACCTTCAACCACATGATGTATGAACTTCACCACGTCGGCCTCAAACGGCACGTTATCGTCGTCGATGACTTTCTGTAGATCGCCTCCCGGAGCGCTGTAAAACGTACAATATTATAGGAAATCCTTATATTGTAACATTTTCGTCACACTATAGTATCGCAATATAAATATAACGATACTTTTATGTTTACGGCTGTTGTTGAAAATTGGAGAATGTTAACTTTTCGTTCCGTAAAACCGATTTTATGCCGTTAGTTTTATCATTAAAATTAATCAGTCTAATATCCAACTTAAACGTAATAGAATATCTTATGTCTTTGTACATTGATTTTTTCCGACATTTAGATTTTTAAGTTAAGATATATGCATGCGAAGTATTTCAATTTAAAAATCTTCGTATTTCGCTTAGAAATTAAAATATCGGAAAAAAACTAACGCAAAAACACAGAATGTTCTTAATTTGAACTTTGATATTAGGCCGATTTATTTTAATATTAAAACTAATAGTACAAAATTGATTCTATTGAATGGAAATTTGATAGTATTAAATTTTCAACATTAGCTTAAAATGGTTATCCGTCAAAATATCTCCAGTAAATATCTCCTGTAAAAATATCGTCCTAAAAATATTACATTAATTTTTAAAATATAAATAAAGTTAACATTTTGTGATTAAAGTATAACACTATTTGTCGGTTATTATGGATTATTTTCTCAGTTATTTATTGAATCGGTTTCTTCTTTAGGTAACTGACAGAGATAATGACAATGATTGTACTTACTACTTTGTACTTCCGTCTATGCCATGGCCCGCTTACCAATACAGATAATTTAATTCGATTATAATCGATAACAGTTTAGACGAGAGATTGAATGAAAAATAATATATTTTTATATTTGTTTGTTTAATTTAGTTTTAAAAACGTAATAGTACTTTTTTGGTCGGATTACAATAAAAAACATTTTTTCTTCTTTTATGTATATTTTTCTTATTGAAGATAATTTTACTGAAACAATTTGTATTGGAGATATTTTGACGTAGAACCTAAACCGAATGAAAACTAAAACTCTAGCCAGGTATATTATCGTATATCAACATAACACGTACTATTCCATGACGATTATCAACTGTTTGGGCGTTTGAAACACGTCGTGCAATTTGGTTATCCGTGGCGACGGCGAGCACAGCGATAGCAATGCTATTTCGTGGTGAATATCGGGACTGCAATCCTCGCCGAATCTCGTGCGGTTGGAAAACTTGGCGGCGAACACTTCTCCCGTTTCGATCGAAGTGCATCGACGGACCGAAGCGAATTGGCCCCTAAAAAATATACAGGATACCGTTAATGTTAGGTACTTATTTATTACAGTCATTCGGTTTCGCGCGCTTAAAATGTACGCGAATTCAGCGAATAAAATACAACGCCAATGTCGACGGATATCATAATTTGCCTGTGCCTAAACATTCTAAACGGACACATATCTACACGGCGGAGTGCATCGAACACCCATCGGACAAAGATTTTGCTGGCCCCGTATAGTAGAATATTGTTCGAATGTTCGATAGACCGTTAACTAAATTTGAATGGGCTGTGATATTATGGAATAGTAAGCAATAGCCAACGACAGCTGTAGGCGTGATAACACTGTCGATCATCGAGGAATGTTTTGTACGACGGAAATATTATAGGCGCTAGTGCCCGTGCAAGATATCAGGGAGCTAACGCGTATGGAGGAAGCGCTATAAAAATAAAATATTTCATGTAGGGAATACGCTATCACCAATAGGCGTGCGAACGACCGGGGTAAAACTGAACGATAAGGGGAGGGGGAAATCGGGATTTTTTTTTATTTTTTATTATCGGAGCTTTTTTTTTCTTGCAATGTACGGGAAAATGGACGCGGTAGCGGACGTTCACGAAGAAACGGCTTAATTAATTGTTGACCGTTTTACGCGTTGGCGGTTTATCGAAATCATATTAATTCAATTAATTCGTACGTCTCTGTATCGTTACGATTTGTTTAAATACGAAAACAATTTGTATTACCTATTCGGATGTAATATATGCCGGGACGCGCTGTTTTTCTCGCTCTCTACTTGCGCTCGGCGCATTCCGTTTTATGTGTCGCATTAAAACGAACTCCGTTAAAAAGAAAAAAAAAAAAAGTAGAAGAAGAAAAACACAGAGGTAAGAACTACTCGCGCGTGCACTCTCGACGTAATACTATGAGTATTGAGTATATTGCCACACGGTACGAATGCGCGGCGGCGTCGAAAAGCGGTACAATATAATACAATCGTTTTTTTTTTATTTTTTTTTCTTACGTATTTTTTTTAATATTTAGTTTTTCTATAATAGATAGCGGTGTGGAATACATAAAAAAAAAAAAAAAAAAAAACCTCTCGAAGAAGATTCGCGACAATATTCTTGTCAGCTAATGCGCGGCAGCCTACGCACTATCGCGCTACCGAGAATTCCTCGATCGGCCAGGACCAAGGACAGTGTATATAAAATGCACGTGTTGTGCGTGTGTGCGTATGTATCTGTACAATAACGTTATTACAACGTCTTTGCGTCGGTGACGATGCGGCCGTATGAAATACGGTTTGCTGTATCGCACTGCTGTGGATAGCCGGCACATAGTTGGCCTGTCGGTCGGAAACGGGCCGCACGACGCGACACTAAACATTGACGTGCGGCCGTCTCACGCTGAACATGCGGCCACGTAAATCCGGCGGTTCACGTCATCTCGGTACTTTCGTGTGCCCCCGAACGTACACGCGGGTGCTTGAAAATCGAAAATACCGCCGTGTCTATGCGCGGTTCGTTTTTTCACCCGGCGCGAATTTCCCCGGTCCGCACGCTGTTGTTGCTCACTGTTATCGTGCACGTACGGGGCGTCCCGCGAAGACACGCCCATTGCAATATCTCCGGAGATAATAAAGACAATCAAAATTCTGGAATTTACATTGCTCACGGGCATAAGGAATGCAAATATTTATGTTGCGTTCGATTTTGTGTGCCTTTGATAAAAAAAAGCTTTGAAAAATAACATTTAATTTTAATTTTTTTGAAACAATGCGAACGCAGCCATTCTATAGAGTTTATTTTTCTAAAAATTTTGATGCATCGACTTTTTATTTTCATCAAATTCGTGATTTTTAATAATTTTTTAAAGCTTACAGAAAAGTACATATAACTATGCAACAGGCTGTAATCGCATTACCTAATTGATTATAATCATTACGATTAATTGACTGTACGCTTTTTTTCCCTGAACTTTAAAAAACGATTAAAAACCACGAATTTAATATAAATAAAAAGTTGATTCGTCAGAATTTCCAGGAGAATATAAACTTTATAAAGTGGCTTTTTCAAATATAATAAAATAAAGTTATTTTTTCAATTTTTTTGGAAAAACATAAAAAATTAACTACAATATAAATATTTCTAGTCCTTATCCCAGTGAGTAATATAAAAAAAAAAAAAAAAACAGAATTCGATAATAATTATATATAAAAATTATTTTTATAATCTCTGGAAATAATGCAATGAGTTTATCTTCGTGGGACACTCTGTATACCTAGTAATGATGGACTGTCGCTAAAATAGTTCTAAAATATATAGCCCGGATTTCAATGCAATGCATTTTTTTCCTGAGGAGAGGGGAGAGAGGTTATTTTAAATTATATTGGTTTTACGCTTATTTGCTTGTTTTTACCGTTTTTAGAGCATTTTTTTCTTTGGAACTTTTCGGCCATTTTGATTTTCCTTTTTTTTTTGATTTTTTTTTCGATAGAAACATTTTTGGTTCTTTTCAGAGAATTTTTGATAGTTTTTATGGCATTTAAGTCTCTATTTAAAATTTGTTGTATATTTTTGGTAACAACTTGTGCAGTGAAGAAATTTGTTTTTTATGTTTATTAAACCTTGCTTGAAGTTGTTCAAAGAAGTCGTCGCAAAAAGGAATAGCTATTATTATACGGTATTCCGGTGAATTTGTAACGACATTTAATGGATGATTTTGTTGTCTTGGTATTTTTATACCTTCTTCACTATCTACTGATACTTATTTTATACTGATTTTGCTTTTTCAAAAATCTTGGAAAATATAGTATCCATATTACTTCGCATGCCATACATATCATATGTATTTCGTGTAACACAGTATCAACGTAATCCATTGCTTAGGTCAAATCACAATTTACAGACTGTAAATTCTTACCACAGTGGTAATGTTTGGATAAAAAGTATAGATGCTGTGACCAAATACTTATAGCAAAGTCGCTATTATATACCTAATAGTTTTGCCAAATTGTAAATCTTTAAATGACGTTTCCATAACACGTTTCAACTGTAATTCCTCTATTGTATTTACAATTGCTTTATAAATGTATTAACTATAAAAAATGTCGGGGGGGGGAAGGGGGGACGAACTGCCACCCCCCCCCATTTACGGCCTTAGTTGACAAAGAACAATATTATAAAAAAAAAAGCAAATAGATTACGATCTATTTATCGAATACATATTTAAATGAGCCACCTAGATTTTAGAATATTTATGGTAATTTATATTCGTTTAATCTGTCGGTAATATTTCACGACGGACTCGTGTGCAATAGTAAAACGATATTATACCCCCACGTGGGGTCACGTGGTCGGCGTTCGTAACGATATTATCATATAATTAGTTGAATTTCCAAAATTAAAATTCTAGACTCCGCCCGCGGCGCAGTGTCGCGCGATAGTAGGTGCCTACCTATAAATAATTCAAATTTATTATTATTATTATTATTATTATCATCATGATCGGTTTTCTTCTCGACGAATCGCCGAGAATATTATCGTCCGACGACACGCGCATCGCCGATAGTCCATATCCGTCTATCGGAGTTTTCGTATAATTATTGCGTTTTTGGATTGAATCGGAAGACGACTCGCGGATTTACGACGTGGCGCCGCGCCAAACACCCGCGTAGGCGTCCCGCGACGGACGGAAGTCGGTGATTTATCGCGAACGCCCAAAATGTTCGGGTGGGATTGCCGGTCAATATAATCATATCGTGTGTACATTGCATAGTAGTCGAACACGACCGGTTGAAAATGTAACGCGTTTACACGCACCGAAAATCCTTATTCGAGCGTACACACAGATTACCGGGTGTCCCACGAAGTAATGATCACGTTATAGTGTACATTATCATCTCGGAAAGCAATTCATTTTTATCGTAATTTTTTCTTTTCTTTTACAATTCGAGAAACAAGTAGTTGCTAAGTTCTACATTACCTTTAGGTATTCATGGTCGCCATTGTTTTTTAGGGTGAAACGACTGGGTACATATTTTTGATTTTCAAGTGGCAACCTTTATTACAGATTCCACGATAAACCGATGGAGTGTTAGTTTAAATTAGTTTCGGCGTTGAAAATCAAAAGCAGACAGTCGGTTCGCTCCCAAAAATAATGGTAATGCGACATTTTAGAGGCACTTGGTTCTTAAATTATCAAAAAAAAATTCTGAAAATAGTAAATACTTTTCAATATATCGCATCGCAATGATCATGCGTTCGTGGGACACCCTGTATTTGATTTATTCTGTTCAGTTATAGTTTCCGTCTTTCGAGTCGAAGTAATTCGATAATACGGCTGACACGAGATCGACGATATCGCATGTACCTACCATAGGTAATGCGTGCGGTACGAACGAATCGAACACGAAATCGTAGGTTACATTACTTACGGTTTCTTGTTCGATTCGTTCGAATATAAATATGTATACACTCGGCTGCATATTAACCGCACTATAAAGATCGGAAACAAATCGCGTTGTACATGCAATGCATGTATGGCGTTTATCGAACGGCATCGTATACACGGGCGCAGAATAATCGCCTACCTATACTCGACCGATTCGTTTTCTGCAAATATATTATGCTCGGTGGACCGTCATTGAACGGTACAAGAAAAAGGCAATGAAAATGCGGACGCGGAGTAGTATGACGAGGGTTAATTGAACAGAAATGAGAAGCAAATCAAAAGTGTAATTAAATCAAGTAAGGGAAAAAGGTTTCTGACCAGTAATGCATAAAACAGAGGAGTGGAAAAATATTCGGTCATCTGTTGAGGCACAATTCGGTTCTGTCCCTCAAACATATTTGAGGGACCGTTATAAAGGAAAAGGAAATTCCAGGAAGGCAGAAGAGTGGAGATCCCGATTCGCAGCGAAAAGACACGCGCCTATAGGGAAATGAAGAAGAAGATGCCGGGTAGCTGAAACTACGTTTGATTTGCTCGAAAAACGTATACAGGCGTTTCGGAAACGGTCGTTTTGACTTGTCTGTACATAGTGAGCACATATGTTTTTGCAAAACACATCCAAAACTTAAAATAGGATTCAGTCACTTCGTAATATTATCGCAAAAAACGCGCAACAACGAGTCTTCAAAATACACCTTAAGGGCTTACACGCGTCACGCACTATGTGATAGGGTTATTGGACTGCAGATTTGCATTGCTCGAGAGTTCGGAGTGCGACCTCACACGCCTACAGACCGAAATGCGAATTTGTAATATTAAAAAGAAAAAGAAAAGAAAACTAATCTAATTCGTTATAGTACATTCGGCTACGCATTATAGCCCACATGCTGTAGTAAATAATTTTCACGGTCCGGTCCAAAAATACTGTCCGTTTCAAAACCGAGAACTTGGACCATCTGTCCGGGCACACGTACAGTAGGTGCCTATACAGATTTCGCACCCGTCTTGGCGATTCCTTAATCTTTACGACGGCACATAATAATATTATGCTTGTACACCATAACGGTACACCACTCTCTATATATAGGTATGTACCGGCGATTTTTTAATGCCGATACCACGAAACTACCGGTACGGGCGGGGAAATACCTCCGGTATAACCTTTACGCGATAACGTTTATTATAATATTATAGGCATTAAATTCCGGACGGTTAATACCTGTAATGCTTATAACCGCGACAGACTCAGCTGCGGCAGACTGCCACGGTGCCGACACACACGGATACGGTCTGGCGGTGAAATGATTTATACCGATCGAGTAACTACTGCAGCGCACCGGCGACACTGCAGCAGCTGTTGCAATAGTATTAAAATATAATTCGCTTCCAGCGGATTGTGTTTTTTTTTTTTTTTTTTTTTTGATAATCGGACGGATAGCCGTGTACGCGAGGAGCTCGCATATTTCATGCGCCGCGAGTATGTGTACGGAATATTATTAACATGCACACACACGCATGAAATAACCGTATAATAATATTATTATTATCATTATCTATATCTCGAAATGTGGTCGGGTAACAGTACTGAATATCGCTTAAGAGATCGTTATCCGCATCATAATATTATTCGGATTGCATAAAACGATTTTTGTCGGCGAGTTTATCACACGCGCCGATAAAGCAGATAGGCATTATACTTGGATAGGTAGGTATACCTATGTAATATTATTACCCACCTTTACAACGCTGTACGCGAATCGAGATTTTCGAGTTATTGTAGTACTCACATATAGTTATCTACGATTTATCTTTTTATTTTAATCATTACACGATATTATGTGTTATTATATAGGTCTGGCGAAAAAAATAATCGCTAAATCTCTATCTATGTGTACAGATTAATCTTATTAATCTACATTACACGATAACTTATACCCACAATAAAAATATGTGGCGTTTTACAAACATTTTCAAAGACCTTGGACCGTTTGCGTGTCCTGTGGCGGAAACGTCGATATCCTTATTGCGAATATATTCATACGTGAATGTTTCGGGAACGACCGGATTTTTTTTATCTTTCTAAAAGACCGCTACATTCGATTTTCAATATCTTTAACATGGGTTTCGTATCCATAATCCGCAAACGAAATTGTATCGATCGTGTAACGTTTTCAGAGATAGGAAGTTCGATTACAATGTATACTATTTGAACCGAAAGTCAAAAGAGAGGTCATCATCGTTGTACAAATTAAAATTGACACAACCTAAACAGACTTAATCATTAATACTTTTCGACATTTTTTACAAACGGACATTTTATCGGGAATTAAAAAATAATTATGATATCTATTCTCGTAGAACAAAACAATGTGGTTTATCGGAATGAAAATATTATTGCATTACGTAGTTTATTACCCGATGACGTAAACCGTTTACGTAATTCTTATTTTTCAAAAAAAAAAATACACTGATCGTGACTATTCGGAAAATGTACACAAATACACAACATTTAAAATCGGATGTAGAGTACTAAAGTGAGGAACTCATCATGGATGCATTAAGGAAGGTGAAAAAAGGTAAATTTGTATAACTAAATTTTCGTGTAAAGTATAATGATTGTCAATAATCATGTGAAATTGTAATAAAATAAACTGTAAATAGGAATAGACTATATTCATTGATGGAATGCAACTTATATACGAACCAATATTAAATTCGATAAATTCTAAAATATGTATGTGTACATCAAGCCCGTATCCAGGGGGGGGTTTAGGGGTTCAAACACCCCTCGAAATTTTTATAGTAGGTATATATTTATAATATAACAAAGACTAACTACAAACTCTATGTATAATTTATTTTATTAAAAATATTTTAACCCCATTAAAAATATTTTAACCCCCCCCTCCCGAAAATTGATCCTGAATACGTGCCTGGTGTACATATATTTGTTTTAAAATGTTAGCGGGTTTTTAAGGCTGTAAACGATGCCTATTTTGCTTGTATATAGATATATCAGACTCTGTTCCCTCTCCTCAATTTTTTTACACCAAGCTCAGGTTCAGTAAAGCAAGTGCTGTTTTTATTTCTGTTTAGTTCAAATTTTAATAATAATAATATACGCGTGATAGTATTTACATAAATTTATATGTTTCGCGTGGTTTAATGTTATAATTTACCAACGACGACACGGTATTTAAAGTGGGAGGATCTAATTGGTGTCAATTATAATAGTATGACGCAAAAAACGATATAATGCAACCGGTTAATAATAATAATGTAGCTGGAAGACCAAGACGAAACAAAATTTAAAACATCTCTGTATACCCATAAAAATATTAAAATGTATGTACCGTTTTAAAATTAATAATTACATTTTTAGATTCTGAGCATAGTGAGGAATGTATTGCAGGTTTTACTATAATGCGTGATTTTTTGTTATCTGTAAACGATTTTTCTACCGGAAGTTTCAAATATTGTTGTAGCTGATTTTCAAGTATAGTATTTTTTTTTATTAGTTATTCAGTTGGTGTATTAAAAAAATAATTGTTTAACTTTCCTTATTGTTTTTCTAATAATAAAAGATGATATTACAGGAGAGCAGAGACGAAGAAAAAATAGAGAGTTACAAGAAATATTCAACGAAAAGAACGTGGTAGAGGCTATCAAGAAAGGAAGACTGTGCTGGGCAGGACATGCAGTGAGAAGTCAGAATTCTCTACTAAAAGTGGTGTTAGAATAGAATCCGGTAAGAAAAAGACCTTTGGGAAGACCATGATTGAGATGGGAGGATACAGTTAAGAAGGATGTGGAAGCATTGGGAGGCGTATTAAACTGGAAGGATGTATAGGGAAATGATAGAGAATTGATTGTGAGACGGGATGGTCCTAGTGGCCGAATAAACCCCTTCGCCCCCCCCCCAAAAAAACTATACCTGATTGGGAATAACCAAGAAAAACAGAAAAGTTTATAAAAATAACAGTTGTATTATTTTAGATTTTGTATTTTTATTAAAAATAACCGTAAAGATCTAAAATTTTCATAAACACCTATATTAGTATTTTTTAGACATTGTAAACTGTTCTATTAATTTTGGCGATTTTTAAGCTATTTTTAGGCATTTGAGACATTTGTTTTTGAGGTTTTTTTATTTTTAATTAAGTTTTATGTGAATGGTTTATGGTTTTGTCTTCTTGCAAATTTCGCAAATTTTATAAAAAGTTTATTTTGAGATGAACTTAGTGGTAAAAACAAAAGTATGGCGTTCACTTTTGCTAAAAATCGTAAAAGTTACGACGTTTAAAAACATGTTTAACCGAATTTCGCTCAGAATTAGCAACGATTGCGTACATACATAAATTAAATAACTCTATGTATCTTAACTTTTCAACTTCCCACCTATAACAGTAGTACACCCATAAGCAGTGTCAGATTTTTTTTAAAATAATATTTTGATAAAAAAAACTCCGCTCGATCCGCTTGACATTATTATTTCTTTAAAGAATGTTGAACGGGGGAAAAAAAAAACAGTTTCTAAAATATTTAAGCCGGGCGTTTAGTGAGATACCCAGGACGTATAAGGTCACGACCACTTCCACACCGGATCTCGGTCACCCGTTTAGAGCAACATTCGGTGGGACTCAAACGCAAGTGCATAATAATTCATTTTAGGCTCGACGTAAATCCATTTACGGTTCTGTTGAAACAGCACTGTTATACGTTATATACGAAAGGTATTTCGGACATCTTCGACGGAGATCAATCGATCGACGGGTGTATCCAAAGGAGCTGCATTTATACAGTTTAGACCGTAGTTTGTATGTAGGTATTCTAGTGTATTTACTTACTACTATCGCTAATCGGCACTGTATGTAAGTTTTAAACCGATAAATTAATCATGCTGACACTTTTTTGTCTCATTTTTTTTCTTTTTCACTTTGGTAATCGTAGAATACTACGATTATTAGTCGAGAAACAAAATTATATTATTGTATATTGTTATTATAAGCACCAAATCTCGTTTAAATTTAAGTAAAAGAAATTACATCTATTTAAAACTAAGGTTTTAAAATGGTCTAAACTAAACCACGTTGAGATGACACAAGGATCTATGCAGGAGTTGATTATACCCGTAAGAGATATCTTTTTGTGATAAATGGAAGAGCGAGTGGTTTTTTATGGAATAGGAGGGAATACAGAAAAAGTTTGAAGATAGTAGATCTGGAATGTCAATGGCGCCATCAAGTACGGATCCAGAGCAAAGATCCAGGGGGGGGGGGCAACAATTTGTTTGCAACACAAATATAATTACAATGTCTATGGTTTTAATTATAGCGCCATTAAACTATTGTTTAATCAACTACAATATATTACTAATTGTCCGGGACCAACTTTACATAACGTGACGTGACTATGACGTGGCTACTCTTGCAGTGTCAACAATTAACACATAATTACGAAATTATAATATTGGAATCACAGTCCACAGATATGTATAATATATTATATTATTATAATACATATTTGTGATTGAAATATAGTAATATCAGGATCTATAGAGTTAAAAAAAAATTGGAGAAATAATATGTCTGGGAGGGAGGCCTGGGCCCCTAGCCTTCTACCTGGATCTGTCCCTTTCTCGAGGTTGCTCTTTAACGGGTTAAACTCTAATACTCTATGCAACATACTCTAATTTTTTCCAAAAATATATTTTTAAATATAAAATATAAAAAATAAAATTTAAAAATAAATGTTATTGCACTTTAAAACGTTGTATCCTTTGAGTATCTATCATTTTTTCGCTTTTTTTTGGACGAAATTCTAGTGGCCCCTTTATTGAACCAAATGAGCTCAATCTCGGTAATTAGAATTGTTGGTCAAATTGAAGTGATAAAAGTTTGATTTAATTTCAAAATTAATTTTAGTGAGGTCGTCTTTTAGTTTTCGCATACCTCTACGCAGCCTCGAATGGGAGATCTTCATAGGGAGATATAGTTTTGTAAATACACTACGTTAGTGTTGAGTATAATGTGTGTTTTGGTGATTTTAAATTTCAAGCTGCCATTTTTACGTAAAAATGTCGACATCTATTTGAATTTATTGTATTACAAAAAATATGTCTATAATAGAAAATAGGCAGGGGGAAATTTGACTGTAAGACGGAGATTACAGGTGTTTTTTTTTATAAACACGTTCAATACCAAATAAAGTTAAAGACGTATTTATTATCGTTTACATAATATTTGTGTAATTTTCGTATTTATAGGCCAAATGATTTATAGACTTATAGAGATGTGTATAAATTATAAAAAATCTCACAACCGATTATTGTTTGTACTATACAGATCCCGGGCAGGAAAATACAGATTTTCGTGGTTTTTTTCCCTGTTTTTTTCGACGACCTCGACCACGGTATGGGTACGGTAGTAGAACGATGTATCCACGTGTGGTATTCATAATATACAGATCATAATAATATATTGTTATTATGACAAACGGTTTTTTTTTTGGCGTATTGTACGCGAACCGGTCAATCGTAACTCACAGTTCTTTTTTCTGTGTAATAAAAAATATATAAACTACAGAGTGACCAACATAGTGTAAGATACTCATTTTCTCGGAAAGTATTAACTTAGCAGCAGCTCTAAAATATGACATAATCGTTATTTTTTTGGAGATGAAACCACTATTTATTTTTGATTTTCAAAGAGATTTTTACGGTTTAACTAAATTCAAAATTCCATTAATAGATATTAAATTTCAGCTTAAATAATTGTTTGTATTACATTTTCTGATAAATGTATTTCTGCCAACTTATTGACGAGATATTTATGGAATGGCGCAGCACACGGCATTTGAATAGTGCCCCACTACATAAATTTAAAATTGGAGTATTTCGTCAACAAGTTGACCGATATTGAAAGTAAATATCAATATTTATCTTTAACATTTTATCTCTTTATCGGATTTTTAACAAAGGTTGTTATTTGAAAATCAAAGGTATATGTTGTGGTTTCATCGCCAAAAGTAAAAGTGACAAAAGATAACAGTAATGTAACATTTCAGAGTTGCTTGTTTCATAAATTTTCTAAAGAAATTCGAAAAAGTTAACATTTTCTGAGATAATGAATGTGTTACGTTATGTTGATCACCCTGTATATATATATATATCTAAGCATCCCTCCTCCACGTCATCGATGACGACCCACATTTTTCCTTCGGTTAAGTTCGGTCATATTGTGTAAGCGGCTCGGGGACGACCCGACAGAGAAATCGCACCGTCGTCGTCGTCCTAATGACCGCGGGTATGGACGGCGGCGACAACAACATAATATCGTCACCTGTCGAGACCTCTCTCTAGTTTGGTCTATTTTTTTTCCCTTTGACGTGACGTGCCGCCACTCTTTACTTCCCGGCCCCCGACCGTTACTCTACACCTAACGTAACCAAACCTCTAAACCAGCTGCGGGCGACTTCAACTATAATACCGCACGGTAAAAGCACACTGCGCAATAATATACAAACAAAGTTGGGTAAGCTAACTAATTTTAGATTCTGAGTGGACGAGGAATGTATTGGTTTCACAATGATGTTTATTTTTTTTCTGTGGACTACTTTTTTACTAGAAATTTTGCTCCGATTTTTAAGTTGTGTAGCATCTTTTCTGAAAAGGAAATCGAACGGGGAGGGGGTTATTTTAAACAGATAATTTTTTCATTTTCCCATGAGTTTTCTCAAAAAATGACAAAAACTGAAAAAATAGGAGGAAAAATGGGAAAATGTACAAAATGTCTCTATATTTAAAAAGTTTAGTTAAAAAGTATTATGGCCTACTTTTTACCTGTGAACTACTTTTCTATCAGCAATAAATTTTGCTCCAATTTATCATGATAGCACTTTTTCTAAAAGGAAATCTTACTGGGGAGGTACTTTAAATAGGTCATTTTTCAATTTTCTTAAGAGTTTTCCCAGAAAAAGTGAACAACCGGGAAATACATGAGACACTTGGGAAAAAAGAGAAAATCGGTACTATATTAAACAAATATTATTAAAAAAAATATATAATGCCTATTCAATTATTTTACCATAATATGACGTATATATTGTTGAAAAAGTATCACTATCAACTGAACTCCTCTCAGAAACGTTTTTTCGTTAGTAATGGTTTATTGTTGCTTACAGATATACATTGTATTCCCTTCTGTATCCTACCTTCTCAACTCCTCACCTATAACAGTAACTGACCCACATGCGAAAAATAAAAGGTCTTTTTTTATCTGTGAACAATTTTTCTAACAAAAATCTTGTTCCGATTTACAAGTGTAGACATTTTTTTGAAAAAAAATCTCACTGGGGAGTTACTTTAAGGAGGTCATTTTTTGATTTCGATTATTTATAAATTGTACCTATGTATTCCGTCTATCTTTGGTATATTGAATAAAAAAAAAAAATTAACCTATATATTATTTAAATGAAAGAGAAAACACAATTTATTATACATGACACCGAATTTCGCTCATTATAAATATTATAACGAGGATATATTATTATATAATATATACATAGGTAATGATATAAACTATTATAATAGAAAATTTATTGTAAATTTCTTTCATAATCAAAGGAATAATAGTTTAATATTTTTTGATCCGACCAAAACTCGTCACCGATGTCGTTTAATCTGTCGAACCGTCAGACGCGTTCTGGAAAAATGCGATTGTTTTTTCAATTTAAAAAAATTCTCAAACATCAATCACTTTTTTCCGGGTACAATGATTGCGTACATCGATATCCGTCGACAATCAATAATATACCGACGGAGATAAAATGCCACGTGGCATTCTTAAGATTCACGTGCTCGCTTTATAAGTCACTCCGCAGTCGTATTCGTACAATAATATGGATTTAGATGCATTATTATGATAGTACGTTTGTTGTTTTTGCAATCGACTAAACGGTTTTGTTCTTATCCGGTCCGATCCACCTGTACAATACGCAAGATTTTTTTTTTTGTTCGCTTCTTGCTGACCACGTCTTTGTTATTTCTTCTACGTTTTTCTACGGTGACCCGTGTAACATTTTTTAAGCGATCAAAAACGCACGCGTAACGCGTACCGCAATTGAACCGTTTTGGTCTTGAAAGACGGGCGCCAGCCCGAGGCCAACACTGTTGCAGTTTCTATTATAATATTTAAATTAAATTCCGATAAGGAGTTTTGTGCATAGAAATCGTTAAACATTTTCGCGTCAATAATGTTACACTAAACGACATAAGTCATAATAGAATGTAAATTCTAAAGGTCTTGAGAAAATTGAAAAATGACCTTCCTAAAGTACCACTCCAAGAAAATTTCCTTTCAGAAAAAAGTCTACATCGTATACTTCGGAGTAAGCTTTCTGGTAGAAAGTGTTCACATAAAAAAAAAAAAATAATATCATAGTAAAACTAATATATTCTCATTCCACTTAGAATGTAAAATATTTTTAAATGTTTCGAAATTGAAGAAAATTTGAAAAACTAGCACGAGGTCCCTTAATAACTTTTCAACCAGAAATCTTGTAGTGCTGATCAAAACTGACAAATTGCAGGTGCAATGAGTGAATATATTAACGAGTAAATATTTGGTTATTTTTAAAATCTATATACTTTCTAGAGAAAATCATCTATAATACCTTTAGAATATGAAAATAGTTCCCAACTTCAATCGAACGATTTCAATATTTGGTACTCTCGATTTTCGTTTTCCAACTTCCGCATTTATATTGCGGTTATTGGAAAAACGTCGTGATAGGTAAGCATGTTATAAGTTACTCGACATTTTGCGCTTGGACGATCATTTCTAAACGTTCGTCGATAACGATACGTGTCTAAGATCGAAATATATAGCTCTTAACGAATCTAAAATATTCGAAAAGGCTACTTATCGGATTATAATATATAGTTGTCAGGTTGATAAATACGTTACGATACGCGATTACTCGAAAGCAAAACTTAAAATAATATGGCTGTTCATCCATGAATGATAATGTATTAATTTTGTGACCACAGAATTCAATCCGAAAATCAGGTGTTTCGATTTACTATACTAGCACTACTAGTAATTTGTTTTTACAGCTTTTTTTAATATTGTCACTACGATTTAAGACAATATCGATTATCTTGGTATCAATACCATGTTATTCAATAATAAAAACGCTTGATGACAATTGTTGAATATTTATTCGCTAAGAACATTTGGGACGACAAATCGAAAATTTGTATTGGATTTGTTGATTGGATCTGTAAGTCAGATTATCGCTGCTCGGTGGGCAACCATTTTAATACTTTAAATCGTGCTCGAAAGCTCGGCGGCGACAACAGTAGCCGATTGGTCGACGGTCGCGTTTTAGAGGACGGCAGCGGATTGGCGCGATCCGTGCGAGCATAAATCACTCACACCCAATACGAGGTGGACGAGACGACGGCGGTGGCGGCGCGGCGCGACGTGTCCGGTCGCTCGCGCCGTGCGCGTAATGAAATTGCCATTATTGTAATAATATATCGCGTAGACGTGTCTGCAATAAAGTGCGCTCGAGTCATTTTTACAGCCCCGCTGCAGCATTTACAATAATATTGTAGGTACGTTTATTTATGCCTATCGCACACGGCATTATATTATATTATACACTGACATTATAACGACCGTCGGATACAAAATATCTACTGGCCTGCTGTAGTAGTAATAATATAACAAACGCCCGCAGACCGGTCCTCCCGGAGACCTTTACCGGTCTGTCGGCTACTATTGTAATATATTATCGTAATTTATGATTATTATTATTATGATTATCGTAAAAATACACCCCCCCGGACGGATATAATGTCGAATGTGTATGTGTGTGTGTGTGTGTGTGAGAGAGAACGTTCGCTCGTTTTCAGCTTCGCTTTCATGTATAAGTTAGTCTCTATACAGATGGAGACTAACTTATATGCGATAGTTAGGACGGTTGTTACAAATTTTAGTAGTATTCTTACATAACAGCATGATATACTATATATATGTATAGTATATATACTATACTATATATATACTATGATATGATATACTAGGTTAGTAGGTAATCTATCACGCGAATTTCTGCATCAATTTTATCTTTTTGTATACGCCACAAATTTCTGGATGGCGAACAATTTAATAGTAAAATAGTGTAATCTGTTTTATTATTTTAAATAAAATGTTTATTATTTTTTTTTTAACAAGTACAATTGAACTACCTAAGAATTAGATGTATTGATATTTTCGTCATCCAGAGATTTGGATGGTAGTGTAGATACGTTTTTAGAATAGTAAAGACTAAAGAAGTTGAATTAACAGGTCGAATTTAAAATATTGAATTTATGTATATTTTCCATTTTTTTTTTCATCGTAAAATTTACTTTAATGTTTGATTTTGATTTTGATATATGTGGTTTTTTTTTGTCTATAAACAAATTTTCTACCAGCAATTTTGCTCTGATTATCCGATAATCAACCTCATGGGTGGTATGTAAATTTGTTGTAGCTCATTTTATGTAGTTGAATGTTGATAATATGTTAATAATTGGTGAGGTCAGTTTTTGATTTTGGAAAGTTAACACAATACCGGTGTTTATTTTTTCCGTTTTTTTAATTTTATATGGTTATTCAGTTTAATATAATCGTACAGATATAAAATTTCAAACTTCGATGAAAATCGTAAATTTCACTATTTTCCGGCTTGTGCGGTTAAAATTTTTAAAAATTTCCCGGTTTTTCCCATTTATTATAAAAAACCCTGAGAAAATCAACCATAAAGTACCACCCTAGTTAAATTTTCTTTTAGAAAATGTGCTACATTTGAAAATCAAAGCAAAATTTATGGTAGAAAAGTTGTACACAGAAAAAAAAACATTGTTGCAAAACTAATACATTTCTTTCTCTGCTCAGAATCTAAAAACAAAACATATTTTCTTTCGTAATTAAAAAAATAATTTAACACGCTTAAAGTTATAAACATACGACTTGAAATTTTCTTGACATAAAATACTTTGCCTGACCATCTTTTGATATATAGTTATTTGTATTAAATATAGCTATTACTATTTAACTACGCGTATTTAATTTTGATGGCGCATTCGAACGATTTGCAATCGCATTACAAGTACTTGTACATGCGATTGTCGAGTATATCGGTATAATGGAACGGACGGAACCGATTTAAATATCCAAAACACGATTTTCTACAATAATTTACCATTCCTGCACGTATAACTCGACATCGCCCGGAACTCATTCATTTACATACTCGTCTTTTACAGAGCTGGTTATTATATGCATCAAATGGGTCGTTCCCCAGGGTGACAAAATGACGTTAAACAGAAGAAATTATAATGTTTTATCGTCAGCTATTAAAGAGATGATTACACTAAACAACAAAATACATGAGATACTGCATGCATACGAGTGAACGGAAAAGTTAAAAAATAACAAAATAAAAACAGTTTTATCGATGATATATTATATATTATCGCTTTGGCAATACTCGATTTAAGCAGAATGTTGAAAGCATATAAGTACTGGAAGAGATCAATAAATCTTACCTACATGTACATTGCCATATCTATACTAATTAATAAGCATTTTGAAATATTATCACGATTCATAAATATTATTACAGATTGGCGTTTCTGACGTTTAATTTGTTAGGAATAGACGGCTTGTTAATTATTATTATTTTTTTCAGTTCGTTTAAACAGGAAAATTCGTCAATTCAGTACTCCGTGTGTGGTTTTTTTTTTAAATTCTGAGCGACGCACCGAATAATGCATAAGTTTTACAATATCATGTGTGCTTTGTTTTCTTTATTTTTTTTTTCTTGTCTATTAACAATTTTTTTACCAGAAATATTTCTCCAATCAAAAAACGACAAGAGAACTTGTTTGTAGAATTTCGGATCTAATAAGTGCATTAAAGAGGTCAATTTATAATTTTCCATACAGTTTCACAATTAGGAAAAATCGAAAAAGCGTGTAGGAAAAATGAACACATCTATTACAATAAAAGTTTAATTATTTTCGATTTGTTTTATTATAGTTAATCGGTTCAAAACAATCGTAAAGACTTGAAAGGTTCAGAGAATACTTATATTAGTTTTTTCTAGAAGCGATAAAATGTACAAAACATTCTTGTGATTTTTAATGATGCGTATGGGCATTTTACATTTTTGAGATTTTTTAGTTTTTATTTGGTTTTATGTGGATTTTGGTTGATCAGAAATACTTGATAATTTTGATAATCATGAGTTGTATTTTTGTTAAAATAAAAAATTGAACGTGATGTAAGTTTTTTTTAGAAGCTTTTTAAGTTCAAATTTTGACGAAAATCGTTAAAATCAAGATGTTTATAAAAACGTGTAACATTTTTTTTTTTTTGTTAAAGACGTAGGTAAATTTATTTTGAAAGATTTGATTATCACGGTTTTCAGCGAAACAATATAATATTCTATTAATGTAACCGTCGATGATTTTTTTTTTTTTCTATGAAATATTGTGAAATCTATAAACCGTACCCATATATAGGTATAGTTATTTACAAAAGAAGATTAAACTGTTGCAGAGTCGTCGATTGTCTCGCAATTAAATGTAATACCTATAAAGACGACAAAATGATTATAAAAAACAAAAATAAAATACTATTAAGACATCCCATTAAAATACTTCTATGAATATCATAGGTGTGCGTTCGTATAATATAATACTATTGATACGCGACAAAAAAAAAAAAAAAACGTTTGTCAAAACTTAACGGCGGCGTTTACGTACGTAATTGTGTACGCGGCAGAGGAAAAACAAACCTATTGTCGGACGGATTTAGTCGGAAAACTAGGAAAAAAAAAAATGGCGAATTTTACGGATAAACTGCGAACAAATTGCGCGTCGTAAATACTAATACGTGTGCGACGCGCATATTGTCCGGCATACGTAATAAATAATATAGGTAATAATGTAATTTCGTTGGCTCGTCTTGTGGGAAAATGTTCAGAAGTCATACAGCAGGTATATTAACCGAATATCGATCGCAGAGGAAAACGTGACATTGCCGACACACGATGACGTGTTTTTTTTTTCTCTATTCTCGATATATTATATTGTTATTATTATTATTATTATTATCATAGTATTATTGTTTAAACACGTGTGCCGCCGCCGCCGCCACGGCGGTTTGTTATTAGTGTAATAGGTATACTATGATAATTCTGGCGGCAGTGTGTATAATATTATTGTCTCACTATCTTCGTGCGTATTACCCATAAGTATCGGTAACGGAAAATCAATAATATTGATAATTACATAAAGTAAATTTATATAATACCTTATTTTCATTGCTTACAAAATGCTTACTAAATTAAAATTGCATAATAAAGGTTGTATAAAAAAAATTGTTCACAATAAATATCTAGTATACCGATTTCCAGGAAGAGTTACGTGTTTAGTAAATATTCGATAAACGTTTAAAAATATTAAAAAAATACGTAAGATAAGACAAGAAACAGTAGAAGATGTAAGAAGACAAGTACATTTTAGGATGCAGTTAAAATATTATAAGAGTTTAAAATCAATATAATGACAAATTGTAAGTGTTATTCCGAATGCGTCGTTTAAGATTTCCAGTCTTAGCTATTATTACAATATACTATTTAAGTATGTATTTTTTTTTAATATAAAAATTGATATTGGGTCAAAATATAGGTACATGGTACCTCGATATAATGTACGCATTTTTGACTAGAGAATTTACTTGAAAAAATCTATTTTACTTTCTATTGGAACGAACATTCGAAATTTTAACATTGTTAAATTTAAGAGCCCGTAACTATAGTGGCGTTTATCGCATTTGTCTTACTAAGCCGGGCGATACAGCTTAAATGTTTGCGTGAAACAAATTAAAAGGCTTTAAAAATCGGTTTCGCACACAGAAAAACACCTATTATATGTAAAAGACATTTCGAGGGCGTGTTCGTCGGCTCGTCGGGGTTGATGGTTTCTGTTGGAAAAGTATGTTGTGCAGTCGGTGCTTTGAGACGGTCATTTTTTGATTTTCTATATTGTTTTCATATTTGTGGAAAACGGAAATATTCACGGAGACGCGGCAAACGCCATTGCGGTGACTGACAACAATTATTGTTAAATTTTAAACGGTGACGGCTTCATGGTTTTTAATTTTTGTGTTTGTCGACTACTATACTGCATAATAAAGTGTTTCTGTAAATGGGTGTTTATCGATTAATAATATATTATGTTATGATTCCCCGAAAGTCTTTTTCTCGGTTATAATCGTATAAGTACAACCGGTTGTTTTGAAAAAAAAAATAAAAATTAGTAAAACCACGCGAACGTAATTTTTTTTTTACATTTTACACGTTGTTACTATACATACCTACATCATTATTTACGTCCTCTTGCAGCAGATAATAATTATATTTAATACACAATAATTTGCAAAATGCATTAAGACACTATATACTATATAATGCACTACTGCCTATATACGATACGATAATAATACGTTTCGAGTCGTGTTATTTTGTTCTTTGAAAAATTTAAATCACGAGTATTTAAACGATTTTGATTCGTACTACACACGTATATATACGTACCTACCTAGTTCACGTTTATTAGCAATATAATTAGGTACACGACTTTGATTTGGGGCGGAACAATTTATATATTTAAACCAGTTTGTTTATACGCACATCCAAGGTATACCAGTTACCTATAGGTAGGTACAAACTTGACGACATCAAGTACATAAGGTTTTACATTGGACTGCGGCATATCGGAACCAGAAGTCATTGGAGACCCTTTTAAACACTATTTTCTTTAATGAGTAATAATAATACGTTCATGAATCGCGTTTTATTTATTTTATTTTATTTATTAATCGCGTATTATTTTTGTAGTTTTTTTTTTATCAACAATAATTTACTATGGACATATTGATAAGTATTATGAATAATAGTGAATAAATATAGTTTAAGTAAGAAAGTTGCATTGAACAACGATTGTCGATTTTAAATATTCAATTTTGATGTTTATCAGCGTTTATAATGCTTCTTGAATCTATTAGAAATAAAATATCTACAAAAAAAAAAAAAAAAATGTATTTATGTATGGACATTTACGAAAACAGTAAAATAAGTGTTTGAAAGAAGAAGAAAAAAATCATCAATATAATATGTAAAATATCAGACAATATGCAAAATAAAATTTCGATATTTTGAATATAGACATCATGAAATGGATTTCTGTCTACGAATGTTCGCGCATTAATAAAAAAAAAAAAAATCACAAATATCCTAACCCTATAGAATTATTTATGTATAAATAGTATACGCACGTATGTATTTCGCATAGGATAGTTATCCTGACTTTTTCGCAGAATCGAATCAGTCGTTATAAGAGGCTGCGGCAGCACCTAATACGGTCGTTTTTTAAAGGATGTTCTTATAACTATTCTTCCGTGATCGTTTATTTGTTATTTTATTTTATTGAAGAAAATCGTGATCTATGTATAACCTATAATACCTCTGTAGCACTATACTTAATTTGTATATCACCGATTAAATCGTATTTAGAGGACATTTGTCGCCTCTCTTTATCCAACAGACAATACGGCAAACATATGCGTTTTTGTAATTCCAACAGTACTCAGGCTTCGTTGCAGGTTCTATAAACTTGTTTTCGGTGTCAGTATTAATATTAGAAGTAATACCCACTGAATGCTTATGGAACCATTTTTAAAAACATTTTTCATACCGATTTTATTTGAACTTAAAATTTCTATAATAATAAAAGCAAACAGTTTCTGTTTATTTGTGCGTAATACACAGCAAAATCTATTGCACGCATAGGTCTGAATATGGACCACAGAAGTGGATGAATGCAGGTCTAGATTAAGGGGTCATACTATATTATATTTGAGAACTTTTTTTAGATTTTGAATGGAGCGAAGAATCTTATGGTTTTACAATGATGTTTATTATTATTATTACTTTTTTTTTTCTGTGAACAACTTTACTACCAGAAATATTGATTCGGTTTACAAGTATAGTACTATTTATAAAAGGAAATCTGACTTGGGTGATACTTTAAGGAGGTCTTTTTTTGATTTTCTCAGGAGTTTTCTCAATATATTCGAAAAACTGGTTAAAAAACGGGAAAATGTACGAAATGTAGGTATTAGTTAAAATACTAAGGCATTTTTTTCACGTGAACAATTTTGCTCTGAATACAGTTATAGCACTTTTTCTGAAAGGAGATTTGACTGAGGAGGTAATTTAGGGAGGTTATTTTGTGATTTTCTTAATTGTTGAAAATTATTAGAAAAACCGAAAAACTGAGGAAAAACGGGAAAACGGGAAAATAAGAACAATATTAAAGAAATATTATTAAAGAAAATGTTTAATGCATATGTCATTATTTTATTGTAATATGACATATATATTTTTGACAAAGCAACACTATAAATTGAACTCCGCTCAGAATCGTTTTTTACTTAGCAATGATTTATCGTTGCTTACGAATATACATTAAATTCCCATATCTATCCTATCTTCTCAATTTTCCACCTGCAACAGTAGCTGCACCCACGTGCGAAGAATGTCCGTCCTTTTTTTATTGATTAATAGTTAGATTTAAACATACAATACAATACAATTTCAAGACTATAAAAATTAAATTATGAATTTTTTTGCGTATTTGTTTAATTTATATATAATAGCCAATATAGGGTCCTTTACTAATACGGGTCCTGGGCCTTCACAATAAGAAATGTAATTAGGCAAACTCATTTGTTTTACTATGTTGCACGTTAGACCAAACACGTATTCAGGATCAATTTTCGGGGGAGGGGATTTAAAATATTTTTAATAAATTAATTTGTAGTTAGTATTTGTTATATTATAAATATATACCTAATTCGAAAATTTTGGGGAAAGAGGTTGAAGCTTAAAAAACCCCCTTGACTTGTGTTAGACAACCAAAGACGGTCAATTATTTGACATCCTCTAAGAAGACGTAATATCCGCATTTAATATGTCCGTCTTACAACATAGCAAATTTGAGTTCATTAGAGGCTACATCGACTTGTTAGTTTTAAAAACAGAAAAAATTCACTTTTTATCACATTATTAAAATTAAATGTGTATAAGAAGATTTTTTTCCGTGAAACTAAACGAGATACATCTGTCGCAATTTTTAAATGCTTTTATCTCGCTTAAAAATTAATATATTGATAAATTACTTACAGTGCAAGACATATACGGTTACACAGGAAAAAATACTCTTATCATTAAGTTTAATAAGAGGTAAATTCGCACTGATAGCACAAAATTATCCTTTCTAAATACAAATTTGCTGCTGTGTTGTTCGTTTGTAAGACAGAAATGGTGCGTGTGCAGGTATCACGATCTTTTAATAATGTGTCTTTATAAACGGTTATGTTTTCGGTTCCTCTCATTTAATATGCTTGGCAGTTTTTTTTTTTTTTTTATAAGTAGAAAGCATAATATACACAGAACTGTGTTCGTTATTTTATATATTGTGCGTGCACTGTCACGTTTTCGGCGGACCCTATTTACGTTAATTAAACGCGGGAGTATAGCAGACAATACACCTGAGCACCTGTATACAGTGTGTCTCATCGTGTTCGACGGATTTTTCTAGCGCTGTTAATATTAATTTTTTTTTCAATCGGTTTGTCTTCGTAGGAGCATTGATTTGGAGAAAAATTAAATTTCAATTTTCATCCACTAAACACAAAAAAAAAAATAATAATAACTTTTTATTTATTCACTTCAGAATATTTTCAAAATATCCATTTTGTAAAAAATATTACTATAAAAATTGTAATGTATTAAATATTCACATCCGATTAATAGATTCTGAATTATAACCGTTTTAATTTCTAGAATATAGGCGTGAAAAAAAATTAATATTCAATAGAAGATACAGAAAAAAAAGGAATTCCTTATCGCATAACGTATTATTTTATTGAATATTTATTGTTTTCACGCCCAATTAAAACGGCTATAACTGAGAAATTATAAATGCGTAATGCATTCGAATTTTTTGAACAATATTTTCACAAAATGGCTATATTTTGAAAATATTCTAAAATGAATAAATAAAAAGTTAATTTGTTGTTGTCTTTAGGGGATGAGAATAAACATTAAATTTTTCTCCAAATCGATGTCCCTTTCGAAGACAACCCGATTGAATAAAAATATCGAATCAAATTTAATATTAACAGAGCAAGAAAAATCCATCGAACACCGGTGGGACACACTGTATTATACAGCTCGGGGTACATGATAATATTACGAGTATAATATTATATTAGCGAAGGACGTCTGTACAAAATGGTGGCGTCTATAGAGGAGACCGGCGACCAGACCACGACGACGCCGCGCGCCGCGCCGGCGCCATCGCTTTTGGTTGAAATTTCGTTACCGAGATAGAAACTAATATACATACCGCGATAATAATAATAATAATAATAATAATAATTATTATTATTATTGTGTTGTACGTGTGTGTATACGTAATTATGCACAGTAAATTTCGCGCCCGCGTCCGGTCTAATTGATTATGTTCGTAAGAAAAAAAAAAAAAAAAAAAACTACTTCTAAAATAATATAATAACATGTACCTACATACTTAATAATAATAATAATAATTGTCAACGCTGAATTTACAATAATATTTACTACGAATGACCGACATAAAATCCGAAATCCGTGTCAATGTTATATACCTCTACCCGTAATGTTAAAAAAAAAAATGTTCGCGGACACGCGTACAAAATAATATTTTCGCGTCCCTGGCAACCGCCGCCGCAAGGTCGTCGAGAGTGGTAGCAATACTAGTAGTAGTAGTAGTAGTAGTAGTAGTAAAAACCGAGCACGTACGCGCGATAAAAAATTGATATGTAAAAAAAAATTACTTTATTGTATCCGCGCGTGTAAGATGCTCGCAGCAGCAGCAGCGGCGGTCGTGTGCCCGTCAACCGTTTTAATAATCCTTTTTTTTAAGAGACGCACGTTCAATATTTTTTGTTGTCACAGTCTTAAGAAATATCGCCATAGCGAATTTGAGTTCATTAGAACCGATTTTGTGTCGTTAAACTAAAAACGAATCGATCTATTATAAAACTTAAAAGTTTAAGTAAGCACATTGTGTTTGTAGTGTTTCTACGTAGGTTTTTTTTCGATACTTCAATTTATAAACAAGATACGAGTACGAGTTATTGTTCTTAACGTGCTTATACGAAAAATATTTTTTAAAAAGACATTTTATATCGTTATATTAAAGTATCATACACAGTTTCCAAAGGAAAATATTTCGGAGACAATGCCATTTAGATTTGATAGTTTATTTTATGAATATGGAGCTTTGATTCAAAATGCTGTTTTATTTTTTTGTCATTTTTCAATTACCATAATTTATTTGAAAAAACGCCAATGATGTCGACTCTTAAACATTGTTTTCTATACATTTAGATGATGCTATTCTAAAGACATTTAAATAAAAGCCTATCGTGCGCTAGTTTTTACAGACGATTTTTTTTCTACGGGGACGGCCTCTTAAGGAATAGGAAATCGCGATCGAATCTCGTGTTATTCATCCGGCGTCATCGTCGTCGTCGCGGCCGTTAGTCATATATCGTTAAAAAAAAAAAAAAAAAAAACCGCGATCGTGTACACCGAAGTCGTAAGTCACCTTACTTCGGGCTTATATACTTACTATAATGTACTCACTAGATATTTTTCTACCTCTTAACAGCGCTGTGTGACGACGACGACTATTTATAATGGTTTATAAAATAATATGTTACCACAGTCGCCGCCGCGATTATCGCCGTACATGCGGATTTACGATCGTCGCGATCGAGCGACCCTGTCAATTCAATAGCCTATTAACGATCGTTGTTTATCTACACACTGTATTACGTTATACGCTTAGTGTTTATTTCGTTTCGATTGTTGTTGAATAGCTATTGGTATAATAATATAGTAATGGTACAGTGTACTAAAATTTATCATTTCCGCGTGCGTCTGTAATCGTGTCGTGCATGTATGTGTAAAACGTTTATTGATTCGATTCTGAACGTAGCGAAGAGGCTATATGAGTATTTCAGTTCTAATCATAAGCTTCTTCGTTCCACTCAGAATTAAAAATTTTGCGGGCCGAATTTTTTCGAGGGCCTTAAGCAGTGCTTAATTTACTTATAGGTTAATTCGACACAGTGTGTATGATTATTACAGCTATGCATAGGAAGTTCAGCGAAAAGGAACAACAACAACAAGGAAGTAAAACAATGTGCGTTGAATAAGAAGGGAACTTTAAAATTTAGCAATGCTAATAAAGCGGGACAATCGCGATGGACCCGTTTTTCAAGGTTCAGAAGCAATGCTACCTGATGATGCATCTGTCTACATGCGCTCACCTATAAACTACATGGAACATAGTTTCAATTGATACGACAGCATAATATTACGATAAAGATGTGGAATAATTTTTAATGAAATATTTATATATTGAAGTAAAATCTTATTAAAGTACTGTCGTTTATGTTTTAAACCGATTTTCAACAGATAAACAATACAGAATATTATCATAAAATTGGGTATCTATACGCTGGAGGTGCTGAAGTCGAGCTTATAGAATGCTTATAGAAAACAATGTCGGGGGAAAAAACTTATTTAAGTGAAAAAAGTTCCTCAGATTTTACAGAAGCCACCACACCAGTCAGTAAAAGATTAAGAATAATATTTTTTTTTATATCGAAATTCCGGGATTCTGGTTCGTCTACATAGATTATAGACAACGGAATTCGATTCTTTAGCAAGTCCCTACACGATGCGAGTAAAGTGATAACGTATTCCGGATTAGCCAGTCAGTATTTTTCTATACTCTATACGTTTCGTTCGTCACATATAGTTTTAAAACAGTTTAGAGTTGATAAGTTTTAGATTCGGAGTGGAGCGGGGAATGTATTGGTTTTACAATGATTTTTATTTTTATTTTTTTGTAGATGACTTATCTATCAGCAATTATGTTCCGATTAACTATGATAGCACTTTTTCTGAAAGGAAATCGGACTGGGAAGGTTCCCAATAAATAAGAAAAAATATGGAAAAACATGGGAAAAACGGGAAAATAGGTACAATATTAAACAATTATTATTAAAGAAAATATAAAATAAATATGCAATTATTTTATCATAATATGACGTATATATTAATAAAATAATAAAGTAAAAACAAAACTATTAAATGGTCAATACTCGTGAATAAATATATAAATAAATAAATGAATTCGTCGCCTGGAGTATTATAAAATGTGTATTGTACGACCGGTTTCGAATTGAAAGTTCATCGTCAGGTAAAATCAATCAAAAAGTAAAACGCGTTTAATAATAATAATACTCCAGGCGACGCGTTCATATATACATATATATATATTGTTAACAAAGCAACACTATAAACCGAACTCCGTTCAGAATCGTTTTTCGTTAGCAATCGTTGCCTACAGATATGCATTAAATTTCCCCTCTATTACCTTCCCGACTTCTCACTTATAACAATTGCTGAACCCGTCCTCATTATCCTTAGACAGATTTTTTTTTTTAAATTCATTTTTTAAACGCAATAAAGCAAAAACAACAAGACCCTGAAACGATCTCGGATACCTTCGTATATCTAATAAAAATACGGAAATTATTTTTTCGTTTAGATAAAAACGCATCCTCATCATATTATTACGTCGAAATAATAACTATAATACCGTACGTGCGAGCATAATATTCTTGTATTTATCGCAACGCGATTCCGCATATTTTACCGACATTCTCGAACAAGATTCCGTGCAAAAGAAAAAAAAAAAACGCCATAAAAATCTTAAAAAGTATACAACATGTATCCGCGTGAAAACTATTGCCGGATACGGTAACACCCGTTTTTTTTTTAAAAACGAAAACCGACCGTAAACCCCGTTACGAAAACAGACCCGCGTGCGTGCCGCTGCGGCGACCGTGGTATTCCGGTCGCGAAACGGGCCGCGTAACGGTCGGCATCGGGAAATGTATTTCGCCGCGGGCCAAATCGCGAGGGTTTCTTCGAGCGGCGCTCGCGCGGTTCCGAAGCGCGGCGCGGCCGGCGCGTAAACGAGACAGACGAACGGTGCCCGACCGACGCGTTTTGGTTGAAACGAATACGCGGGACCCGACACCATCCGCGAACGACGCGTCCGCGAAATGACGGAAACGGCCGCGGGACCCGGGAGTCGCGTTTCGAAACGGCCCGGAAATCATCACATAAAGGCGTGTGTTATTAGTGGCAGTCGGACGCGGCTTGCGGACACGACGGCGGCGACGAGGCCGCGTTTTCCCGGGTCGGGCGCGCGCACGCGCCGAACGGGTTCGGCAACGCGAGCGCGCGGCGACAGATTCGTACGGTTTCAACGACGGCGGTACACGCTCGCACGCGGGGACAGTCGTTGGCAAAACCGCGTCACGCGCGCGTGATGATAATACACGTGCGTGACTATACGCGTGGCGCGCAATAATATCACGATGACCGCGCGTAAATGGTCGCGAGGTGCACGCGCGCTTATACCGGTAAGGGCGGGCGGCGGATCAGCCGGCCGTCAATTTTATAATCGCATTACAGGCACATAAACGCATAACATTATAGTCGATGCCGAAAAAAGAAAAGCAAAAAAAAACAAAACCGATATCGGCTTTGCTCGCGAAATCTTCGCTTAACTTTTGCGTTTTGCGTCGTTCAGAGCCGGAGGAGGGCCGCGGTTGCAGACAGCAGTTTTCTATTCTTCGTTTTTTTTTTTGAAATTCGTATTACGTTTTACACGGTCCATAAATAATACTCGGCTCGTATATTCGAGTTGTGGCTTTTCTCGGCTATTGTTTTTTCCCCTTCTACACGGACGCAGCCTTTGCGTTATACTTCCCGGTAGATATTCGAAAAAAAAAATTACCCTGTATATTATAATTAATAACGTTGTAATAATAATAATCGTATCGTATCTTATTATCGTTGTTGTTGTTGCTGTTGTTGCATTAGTTGCCGTCGCTGTCGGTTTGATTCGCGCACATAATGACGTCGAACCTACTTTACGAACATCAATATAGGTATTATAACGATATTATCGTTTACCAGAGGAGAGCCTTGGAGTGGTCTAATTTACATAATTATTATTATTTAACGGGCGCCGCGCATTATAATAACGCGTGCACTGCTGCGCGCCACGTATTATACACGACAACCGGATGACAAAATAAAAATATGTATTCTTTTTTTTTGATATTAATATTTTTTTCTACTGAAATCCGATACGAAGCCGCCAACGATCCGCGGAGATCTATCGTCGCCGTAACCGCCGCCGCCGTCGCCACTTTTCGAACCTATTTGAAATCCGATCGGTTCTCGCGGGCGAACGTGACGAAATCGTTTCGCTATGAACGGCGGCAACGTACAAAAAAAGCCGTTCCTGCGGGGTACATTTTTTGAAATCGTTGTCGCCCATAAATCCGCCTGCGGTCTCGCGTTCGAATTAAACACGTTGTTCCACGTGGATATCTCGATAGCAGGAATCGCAATTCGCAGTTTAAATGTCGAACACGTCGTAATATCGCGCGAACCGCAATCTACATATAAAGTGATAAATTGTTGGGATAATACGTATTATATATTCGGAAATTTAAAATGTTTAACGCTCGGTATGGAAATTTAAAAGAAATTTAAAACAGAGTAGTGGTTTTACTATCACGTATAATTTTCGTGACAATAAAGGTTTATATTGCTCCGAGTAATATCAACTTTTGCATCGTTCCAGGTTAATTTTCGATTTTCCTCGTAGTTTTCTTAATAATTGTAATAACCCCGGAAAAAAGTAAAAAAAAACTGTAAAATTTACACAATTACGCACCATTTTAAAACCTACTAATGTACCTAATTACTGGACGTAATACAATTTTCAATACATTCTGGTGATTTTTGAGTCATTTATAACTTTTAAAAAAGTTTTATATAATTTTATACAATTGTTTTGACCCATCAGAAATGCTCGAAAATTGAACATGGGATTCATCATAATGGTTCTATTTAATAAAACGAAAAAAAGATAATCAATTTCTTTTTTTTTTTTGAAATTCGTAAAAATGGTAGCGTTTCAAAACACGTTTAACCGAATTTCATTCAAAATCGTTTTTCGTTAGCAATCTTTTTTTACTACAAAAAAAAAAAATCAATCATCTATTGATGATTATTCGGATGGCAAAAATTATACGAAGTTGTTTTTTTTCCTCGAAATATATCACTGACCCTGTCAATACATATTATGCACCTCTATATATTATTTATTATTGTAATAGAAATATGGGTGTGAACACGACAAGTGTCGTAGCGTCTCCGAGTCGCTGCAATTACAATGTGTATTACGCGGATTTATTAATAGGTACAATAAATATTTTATACTCGTGTCGAAATAACAATAAACTGTAGGAAAATGTCATCCGCAGATCGTACCAATCCTGCGACGAACGAGTGCACGCGAGAAATCGTTCGCGAATAACATAAAATTCACACTTTTTAATATCTACACACACACACACACACACACACACACACACACACACACACACATAATAATAATATGTAGTTCAATCGTATATTTATAGGTTCTTTATTTCATCTACTATATACGGAATATATTACGGCACGCTGCAAATAATTATATGTATAGGTGTGTCAATCAAATAACAGTTTCACAAAAATAATCCGACATCTGTGCCGCTATGCAACAATGATAATAATAACAATAATAATAATAATAATAAAATAATTTATATAAACGGCCAAATACGGTGTGCGCGTTTATACGTATTACGGTTCGACGCAACGTCGTTAGTGTATAGACTACAGCTGAATGTTACCCGGTATTTTCCCGGGCTCTGTCCGTTCGAAAACATAAATCGATCAAAGAAATATTCGACCTAAAAGGTCTCCTCGTTCACGCCGTTACCCCTACAGGTGATTGTAAACTGTTGCCCGGTAGTTTATCTTTTGAAAAAAATACAATTTCTTGTCGGTGACGATCAAATTAAATAGCAATAAGCGTAATTTTTTTTATCACCCGTGTCGCAAAGACAATAGTTTCATAGGCATTATACATTTTCTTAAATAATATTTTTGTTTAATATTGTACCTATTTTCTCGTTTTTCATACGGTTTTCTCGGTTTTCCCATATTATTTTATTTATTTACCGTATGGCGTATAAAATGTACTACGTAGTTTGTGTAACATAAAACACAAAATTAAAATAAAAAAAAGAAAATTACAACACGTATTTAAAGTACCTCCTCAGAGTCAGATTTCATTTCTGAAAATGAGCTGCTACACTGAAAAATCGGAGCAAGATTTCTTGTAGAAAAGTTGCGCACATATAAAAAAAAATATATATATTTGTAAAACCATGTTTCTTGGTTAAAACCATCTTCGCTCCATTCAGAATCTAAAATTAAATTTTCGTTCCGAAAATAGCGAAATAGCTTTGTCAGCCACCATTTGGTCGAATTTTGAAATAAAACGTAGACACCGATCTTCCTATTATTTTTAATATCAAGTGTGTCAAGTGCTTTAAAATTCGGAATAAAACTGCAGATTCGCGGACAATAAGACAAAATTTAATTTTATAAATGTTCAAATATAAGATATTAAAATATGTTAAACCGCGACTGGGCAGTACTTTATTACAACACTGTATACGTATGTTTATTAATGTACGAATACGTCATATTACGGTACTAACGGTTATCAATATATTGAACTTTGGTGGACATTATTATAGTTCAGACTACTGCGATTTATTCGCGAGGGTTGTGCACCAGAAAATCGCGACGTAGATGCCCACGAAGACTTGTACCCGCTTTTTATTAACACACAGTATGTGAATATACGAGTACATCCAGAGTGCACCCACGTGACGTGATTGCACGCCTGTCGTGCCGGACGTGGTTCGGATTTTTTACGTCCAAGACCTCCCAGAGTTTCTTTTGTAAGACTTCGAGGAGAATAGGTTTTGTCGAGGATAAGTAGCTACTTTTTTTTTTTTTTAACAGTTAGCGAAGAGTTCCTCGCGCAACACGTCGAAAAACGACAAGGAATTCGATTTGATCACGTCTTTCGCATGCGGAAACCTTTTTTAACTCATCGCGTGGAGCAACAAGTGTTCGGCTCCTATAGCCAGCACATGGACCTATTCGAGGGGAAATATTACAGTCAGGTATTTTATAGTATTTCGTGAGAAAACCGCAATTGGTTGCCCACAAAGATTTCTCGAGATTATAATATACCACCGAAGGGCTTGGGCACCCACACCGAGTCCGTGACACGCCCGTCGACTCCGTCGTCGCGGTTGTCATCATCGTCGGTATAATATAATAGTCAAACACGTCGTTGCCGGTGTTCGTCTCCGGGCAGAGGTTTTTTCTTTTTTTTTTCTTTACCTTTTGCGGACTCTCCTTTTTTTTTTTTTTACCGTATATTATTATTATCATTATTATTGGTCTTGACCCCACGCGCGAGCAGGTCGTGTGCAACAGGCGGGCGGTATGTCCGTTCGCGATGTTCGTAAGTATACATTTATAAATTATATACAATAATATTGTGTTATAATTCGTTAGATAAAAAAAAAATAAAATCTAAAAAAAAAAAAAAACACGTCCATCGTAATATTATTACACGCGTTATTTACACGCGTCACAACGTCCCCGAAAGGCGACAGGTGTACAATAATAATTATAATACGACGGCGGCGGCGCGATAAACGATTTTTTTTTTATTATTACCTATTACACTCTATCATATGTAGCTACCGAATTCTTCTCGAATGTAATTATTATTATTAATTTTTTACTATATGTTTTCCTGTCGTTTAACGTGTCGTCGCCGAACGAGTTTCTTTTATTTTGTGTCGATTGCGAGACGTGTTATTATTATTAACGAGTACAATCAACGACCGATTATATTATTATTTTGTACATTATAATTATCAGGATTATGACTATTGTACAGTAAAAAGAACTGATAATGCTGACGGGTGTGTCCGTTGTTTTAGCAGGAAAGTTGGAAAGGGGGATGTTTAAAGTAATTTATATCGGTACGCAACGAAAACAGATTCTTAGCAGAGTTTTGTTTTATTAGCCGTATTTTTCTCTTGTTACCAAGGTACCTAATTCAGAAATCAACCAAAAGTTATAAAAAAAAATTGCCGGTTTTCTCCGTTTATTAAGAAAACCTACTAGGAAATTAAAACCCACTTACTCAATGCAAAAACTAGACACTAAATGCTACAAGAAAATGTCTATAAAGTTTTTGATTGAAGTGAGATTTCTGGTAGAAAAATTATCTGATTACACACATAAAAAAAAAAAAAAAGAAAAACACATATTACAGTAAAATCAATACATTTCTCGCTACGTTTACATTAATTTAAAAATTGCGTAATTTTCTTTTTTAGATTTGTACTGAAAAATAATAGTTAAATACACATTGGAAAATTGAGAAACAGGTATGCGCTCCGAATTTCATATATTTTAATTATTTAATGAAAACTAAAATATAGGTATTTTTGTTCACAATTTATACTAATATTTGTATTCGAGGAGTTGCGTTGAATGATTGAACAACTACATTGTTTGTTTTAAATTTTTTTTACTCAAACTTTGCAATACGGAAGGAAATACCGGCAGTGATATATAAACAATAATTTTGTTATATCTTGTAAATCATGTTAAAATCAAATCGAACTCGGAATGCCGGTTCGTGCAAAATTATCAAGAAACCTATACAAGGGAAATTGAATATAAACGACCTCCTGATCGTACCGACTAGACAAAATTCGCTGTTGGAAATCACCGCCAAAGTCGACGATCGGATAGCAATAAGATATCAGGCGGAAAAGCCGTTTACATCATAGCGAAACCGCAGAAATCAGAATTAATAGAGATTAGGAGTAAACATCACGAGTAAAACCGAAAAACACACGCGAAATCGTAAACGCCCTAACCCTGTAATTATTATTATGATGCGGCGGTAGCTTTATAAATCGGCGGCGGCGATGAGTTACAAAAGAATGAATAATATTAATGATATTCAACGTACGGTTTTTTACGGGTCGTGTTGCGGCGACCAAACAGAAAACCGCCGCAATCTTGTTAATCGTCGCGCACGTGTTTTTTTTTTTAAATTGTATTATTATTATTTTTTTATTATTTCGACGATGGAGACGGCGGTAATTATTAGTTTCCGCGACGGCAAAAAACTCCGCCTTTTCTCCGCGGCTGTAATCGATACGCGCGCGGACCGGTCGACCGTGGACCGCCGCCGCCTTGTCAGGGGCTGTTTTTTTTTTCAATCGACTTTTTAATCTCGACGTAACGAGCCGTTCGCGTATAATAATATTATAATGTTATGATAATGTATTTTAATTTTGCAACAAGAAAAACACGCCGACGACAGGATCTCGTCATCACGTCTCATCGCGTATTTACTATATACGAGTATATTATTATAACAACTTTACATCGCCGCTGTCTATTTATTCCGCCGTGAAACTACCGGACGATACTCGGTGCCCGTCAGCTTTTCGTTCCGTTCGGTTTTTTTTTTTTCAATTGAATACGGTAAGATTAGATACTCTTCGCCGACTTTGTTTCGTTTTGTTTTTTTTCTTATAAAATACTGTAAATTCTATTCCCACGGCAAATATCGAAGAATATCCACGCCGGGCGTAAATTGTACGCGATATACGACTTATTCGGGCAACTTCAACGCGCGCAACGTGTCTTTTACGCCGCCAATAATTTAATGTCATCATACGGTATAATGGATAAATAAGTTTTATTGAAAAATAATAAAAAAAAACCTATTCAGATACGTGAAACGACTTTTTAATACACGCGACGACGTTCAAAGAAATGATTTGTATGTTTAGATATTATAAGCTAACAGTCTATGGTCGACCGTACATCGGTTAAACATAAACATTTTAATGTTGACTTAACTAAAATCTAAACATACTTTGCGAACAGCGAATATAAGCCACTTTTTTCGTGAAGTGTGGAACGTATATGCCTACCCGGATTTTCGATAATTATTTTTATCGAAAGCAACGGTTATAATTCAATACAATCTGAAAAATTATTCCGAGTGGAGATCGGTTAACTGATAAGGTTGTAATACTCGAGTGGTATTTTCTTCTCTTGTTGCCAAATCAACACAGAAAATAACAAAAAAAGAACATATTATTGTGTCGACATTTGTTGTCAGTTATTTAATTTTGTTTGAAAAAAGTAATGGGAACTTCGGACATTTCGTATCATTGTGCATCGAACGAAAAATCCGCATTTTTCGAAGAAAGGCCTGCAGATATCGGAGTAATTTTAGTGATTGAAAAAGTGTGGGAAAAAATCTTATCATTAAAATATTTATACAAAGTAAAGAAAAATACAAATAATTCGAGCTACGTTTGATTGCAATCAGATTTATCGTTGCTTTCTGCAATACATTAACTAGATTGTGCTACACATTTTCGCAAATAACTATAAAACAGTGGTATAACCATTATGCGAAAATGTCACGTCTTTTTTTTAAAATTAAAAATGAATGAGCTTTAACAAAGTGTGTATATTATATAATATGTTTGTGTTTTATTTTCCCAAAATATAATATGGATTACGATAACGGTATGCCATTTTTTAATTGCTCGCGACGAGATTTATTTTTAAAAAAACTCTGGAAAACGTAGCTTATCCGTCAGGCTCATAGTCAGGAGACGTTTTGAGTGTTACCCTCCCCCTCGCATCCCCAGTCACATTAGGGCCGCCAATATATTTTATACTTAATGCATTTTTCGATTTTTACAAAATGTATAGTTGGATTCAATTGAGGGGCTGAGTGCGAGAAAGATAATCTCACGGAAATGCCCCTTTTGCTTAAAATGTTTTTTTGAACTCAGCGATCTCTATTCTATATGTGTTTAGAAGCGTTTATGTGGTTGTGAGTAAATGCCTTTCTTGCATAGAAACACATACTATACACGTTATATTTATAACTAATATCGTTTTATTTTTCAATGATTTAAACATAATATTATGATAGATAACATTGTTATTTTTAGTTGTGGATTAATAGGTTTGGTAAAAGCCATTTCTAAATTATTATCAGTAGTCTTGTGTTTTCGTTGCAGTGTGTTACACTTCGTGACTATTTAGCATTAATAATTTTTGTATTTTTGTTTATTAAGTGACAGTTTATTATTATGTTCATATTATTCAAAAGTTGTGAATAAATTAATAAAATTCAAGTTCTTTAATCATTTTGATTGAAATAGAAGAGGAAATAACTGTTTGATGCAAGAAGAGCATTTTCATGTCCAAATATCTCTTTTATTTAAAATTTAGTGGACACAAACAAAGAAATAATTATTTTCTTTAAGATTCGAATTTTCATGAGACACACAATTTATAACCACGTGAGAAGATCCAAAAGAGTGCCACACATTTGAAATTTTAATTTCGTTTATCTCAAAACACGTTTTTTTTTAGAAAATGCCCTTCTTGCACTCAGCCCTTCATTTATTTTTAATTTCATATTTGTTGTGAATTAGAAATATTTGAAGTGATGATTTATTAATGTGATTTTATAACTCCGTGGAAGATGGGGGAAGTCCATCTCTCCTACAAGTTATATTTAAGTATAAAATTGAACACCCCCTTTTAAGAAATCCGGGTAATGCGTCTGGTTTTTGTACATAATATAAAAATCGAATTTTAAAATGTGTTATTATATTAGGTTATAAAAGTAGTGTAGATGTACAACAACGAGTGTATTAAATAATTGCGGAATATTTTTCGAACCGTAGAAACTATATAATCTTAATATATATATTATATTATATGTATATATAATGATATGCAAGTATCTAAAAAAAAAAAAAAAATAATATTTAACCGTTGAGTTTATACGAATTCGTTTGATCGTAAAAAAATGATTGGTACTAACTATACATAAATTAAAATATAGATAAATATTTATATTTATATGAACTTATTTTTTTTTTTTTACAGTTTTCAGTTTTTCACATACGGGTATTATATTAAAATTATATCGACGGGCGTTGAAATAATAATAATAATAAATAACGTTCTATAATCGTATGAAAAAACATCACACTGCCGCCGCGCGTCACCGAGCCGCGCAGTAGGCAATAGTTGCGCGTTTCATTTATTTTTTGATATGGGGAAAAAAACGCGGACAAGTTAATCCGTCTGACCACAACACATAAGTAATGTAGGCACTTACCTAATCGAAACGATTGAGTTGTAAAATAAATTATACCTACCTATATTATAATGCGCGTATGTTATTTTTCGACAAATAACCGCCTGGAATTAGTACCTAATAATAATGAGAATATTATACACGCGAGGCATGAGGATCGCGTGGGCGTCGTATTTATATTATTTGGCGGTCAGCGATGTTTACGATAATATTATGTTAAAAAAAAAAAAAAAAAAAAACCTCGTGGCGGCGACTAATGGACTATATAATTAATACGCGCGTGCGTGTTAAAAATGCAGTTAAAATAAGCTCGCGAATGACGGGGGTGTTTTTTTATCGTCGTATAATAATGTCGTAACGGCAACATTATAGGTAGGTATACTATAAAATATAGTATTATTTAAAGAGATTTTGGCACATCTTACCTTATTATTTATATTTTGTTTCTCGCGTGTTTACAGGATTGGGACATTCTTCCCGAATCAATATGGAAGGAAAGGGGAGGGGAGAAGAAGATATTATGCCAAACTAAAACGTGAAAACCTAACTTAGCCGCTTGTTTCGAATCCGAAACATTGATCCAATAAGACAGTCTGTGTTCCGAGTATAAACCTAAGTCAAAATAGTCACAACGCAACACCGCGTTGGTTTTTGGTCAATAAAAGGTAAGAGGTTGCTCTTTTGTTGCGATTCAGTAGGGAATAGAAGTCGTAAAAACTGGATGTTTTTACCGAACGCGTATGTCATCATTTTCCAGATGTCCAGATAATTTCCAAAAATATTATATTTTCTTGGCGTTATTTACATCTAAAGTTTTCGTTCAAACCACAACGCGAATCGAAAGAATCTCTATAGTGATATAATGTATACAGTTAAACTCCGGGTTTGTGTGAAAAAATAGCACCACCACCACCTCGTAACCACAGTATCGGTATACAATTTAATATAAAACAATAAATTATTGCACTTTTCGAACATCTGTTACGTAGGGTTATTTTCAGATGGGGGACAAAATAAACCTATCTATAGCATATAAACACTAAGTTGGTATTTCTTGAAAAGGAATGGAGACGAAAAAGTATGAAATCATTAAAACATTGAAAACTTTGAAAAACCTGTGAAGTGCTGAAATCAAGACGTTATAATATTCTTCGGTTTATAGTTTACACTATCATATATTTGAGTAGATAATTAGATTATTTATTTTTAAATAACAACACTTTACAAATAGCAATAGCAAATATCACTGTATAAGAATTAAAATATGGAATACATATTTTAAATTTATTTGTATGGATTCAAAGCATACATTATTATTTGTTGGATATTTTTTTGGGGGCCCCTCTTATCCCCCCCCAATGGGCGTCTATGTGCTGCGATATTTTGTAAGTGGGCGCAGACCACGACGACAGCTGTGGTAACGTAGGAACATAAACAAAACTGATAAAAAAAAACCACAATTATCGTAAGAAATTTTCGCAAAAAATACTATAAAAAAAAGATTCAATATTGTGTTTTATTCGCGAATGTAGGATATAAATATTTTTTAAAAAAACGGTGCTACACGAACATTTTATCGTCACATCCACGGAGGGGAGGAGGAGATAATATCGTGACACATCGACATGTCTCCGGCAAAGACACTCCCGCGTCGGCGAAGGTCCTCTTCGCGTGGCCTAACAAAACGATGGGCGTGTGAGAACACATCATCACGTCACATATACTTAATATAATATTATTATTTATTGTGTTATACCATTAAAACGCCGTCCCCGACCGATAAACGGGTTCTCCGCGAGCAACCTTTTACCATAGCTCTAATATAATACTACCAATAATACACAATAATATTGTGTTGACGGTCGAGTATTCGATTGTTTATTTCTATATAATATCGATTCTCTTCTCTTCGAATCGGATAGGTATGTAATTTTAATAAATCATGCTCAACTTTTTTTTATCTTTTTTATATATTTTTCTTCCGTGGACGACTTTTCTTCTAGAAATCTTACTCCGATTTCTAAAAGTAAATCGGACTGATTACGTACTTTAGGGAGGTCTTTTTTTAATTTTCTCAGGATTTTTCCCAATAAATGAAAAAACCGGGAAAAACTTAGGAAAAACGAGAAAATAGATACAATATCAAACAAATATAATTTAAAAAAATATATAAGACCTATATAATTATTTTATCATAATATGACATATATATTGTTGATAAAGCAACACTATAATCTGAACTCCGCTCAGAATCGTTTTTTCGTTAGCAATGGTCTATAGTTGCTTACAGATATGCATTAAATTTCCCCACTATCTTCCCAATTTCTCATCTACAACAGTGGCCCATCCACGTGCGAAGTATGTCCGTATTTTTTTGAATTACATTTTCAATATGAATTGTAACTTTTCAATATTTTCTTTGTTGTAATTTGTATTTCCTGTGATCAGAATAGTTTAGGAACTTTTTTTTTTTACGATTTTCTATACCTTACTTGAATGGTATCGATATTTTCTTCGATATGACATTTCTAAGCCCATAGGTCTGAAAGCGAGACGCCGCAGTCATATTTTACATATGAGCAACGTCCGGTTTTACAGGTTACGCATGGGACATCGTAGGAAATAATACAATATTATTATTTATAATCGCCAACGTGTTGAAAATATTATTCGCATTGTCGCAAGGTATATTTGAATGAGCATTACATAAAAAAAAAAAAAAATCATAATTGAATTTGTACGTATTTGGTTGCATCGAGATATCTCGCGAGCGAGGTCCTGCGGACGTCGCCCACCGTCATCCTCGTATCGACGACGTCTTATAAATTTGATTCCGTTCGCCCGGGGATTACCGGGTCACGCCCTAGTCTGTCGGAAATATTATTATTGTAGACGGACAAATATAATAAATAAAATCTAGACGTTTTCGCACGGGCTGTGCAAAAAGGAGTCGCCGAAAAGTCGGCAGAACTAACGAGTAGGCGATTTGTATTTTTAATACCCCGGAGCACAGCCACGAGTTACCCTGCAGATATTAGATAGATATCTTTTCGGCAGAAATCCAATTATTCTCCTGTTTGATAAATGTCGATCTTAATCCGACCATTCGGTGTACACACAGCGGGGAAATAACGTTTGACTATTGCCAGATAATTTAACTGGTTAGACGTGTTTTGAATTACGTACGATGTGTGCTACAAGCGTAGTGCCAAATTTCAGACGACATGAAAACCAATACGACCGAGCAGTGAAAACGTATTGCGTTGTTAAAATTAACAATGATATTCTCTTCGATTGATTGCCAAATGTGTAAGTCGGAAAATATTATTGTTTGGACAAGTACTAATTCCACAAACGCATCGAATTATAATATTATTTCTTCATTTTATTCAAACTTCAAACAAAATATTATAACGTTTATTACAATTTTAATTTTTGTCAATACGTATTCCACAATAATAACACCGTAATGTTTGATACGGTAAGTAACGTATAGTATTTTATAGTAATTCGCCGGATCGCCGATTCGTCGTAACCACGCGCGGTTACCGCGGTCGTGAAACTAATGGTATACGAGATAACGGTATCCGCGTTTGCACCATTACCGGTTCGCGTTAATTATAAAATGTACACCTCGGACTCGCGGTCGGTCGAAAAAATACTAATTACAATAATATATTATCACTGTATTATATTATAGGTACATGCACACAGAGTGTGGCAGTCGAGACGACTGGTGTCGGCGGGTCGTTAGTCGGCGTCCTGTTGCAGGCGTTAACGAATCTCTCATCACGGTCCGGGCGCGAAGAAAAATTGAAAAAAAAAAAAAAACCGACACTCGCCGACAATAATATATAATCGATAATCATATCAATGTCATCGTCGCCGCCGTGTAAGCGCGGACATTCCGGGGCAACGTAATAAAAAACACAACACGTCGGTATTCGGTGTACGTTCGGTGCGCGGTCGTAAATCTTTCGCCGGATCGATTTTCAACCGCTGTACCGCAGCGGCGGCGGCGGCGGCGGTACGAATGTACGATCCCGGCGAGATTTTCCCGTGACCGGAGAAAATTCGCTCCGGTAGTGCGTCTGTTTTTACCTACGATTGTTACGAGTTTACACAGAGTGCACACACATGACAGAACCGGTTCACGGTCGCGGAGACGCTTAAAGAAAAAGAAAAACGATTTTCTCGATTTTTCCTCTGCACCGCGACATTAACGCGTGTAGCACAGTAACGTGCGCAGTGCCCGTTCCTAATAATAATATTACAGTGATATACGCACACCGGTACGACGAGCGATACGATGTATTATTGAGTGTACACCCGGTATGATTGCCACAATTGATTTGCACGTCCTGTATAATACGTAACATCAAACATCGGTATATCATTTTAACGATATTATTTTATTTACTAAAACAATATCAACGCGTCGAGACCGTAAGATCATAAGGTGTTGATTTATTTATGCGCGTTTAAGTAATCACGCGAGATCAAAAGCAATCGGAAAAAAAATCAAAATCGTATAATATTACAATAGCGTTGAAGTGGGGTCTATTTACGTGGCCCCCAACCCCCAAATTGGAATTTTCATATTCTACCTAGGGCGATCATTTGTGCATCGTTTGCGTACAAATGTGCACGATATCCGGTTGTTTGTGCACGGTTAGTTTTGGTTTTATTCAAGAAACCATTTGGAGGAGGGGCACAGAAACCATCATAAGAATGACAAATTGTATGTGTCAATAACCGTACCAATTATTATAATAATATTGGGAAAAATAGCGTTCGATAAAACGGAACAAATTTAGTTTGATAACGATTTGTGCCGTCAAATAACACTAATATAATATGAAATCGTTTGAACATTTTCTCGCAAAAAGAAAAATATTCTAAAATAAGTGACAAAAATTATTTTTTTTTTTAAAGAATAAAATAATTTTTAAAAATATTCAGAATACAGTATTAAATACTACTGATAAAAAGTATTTTAAAAATATTTAGAATACTATCCATGTCTGTCGTATCCATGGTGTAAACAATATATTTTTCTTATCGTATATAATACAGATTAATGATAGATCATTTTCGACTCATAATCGTATTATTTTGTACGTTGTATCACGACCCGTAGCGGCTCTAGAGTTAAGCCATTTGACCTGCAGCCCATATATGGACCCCGCCAATCGGCCCAAAGCTACTTTAAAACCTAGGGTTGGGAAAATGCATACTCTTCTACCCCAAATGAAGCTCATGTGCAATACGCACGTAGTATATATTTTGTTTTATTAAAAGTGTTGTTATCGAAAACACAATTCGTTAGTATTTCATAATTCTTAGTACAGTATACGTTTGATATTCAATGGATCTAAAAAAAATCTAAATAAAAATGGATTTCATTGATTGGATTCGTATTCAAACACATAGCGATAGCATAGATTAATTAAATATTTTTTTATAAATTGTAGTCACTGAAAGTGGATATCTAAAACACACGTACAAGAGATCGGAAATAAAACCTTGTAAAGCAAAATGACTAGTTCTAATTGCTGTTTTAGAATCAGCAGGTCACACAGAAAAATCAATATCACTTCAGGAACTATAAACCACTATAAATAGTATTTCAGCGACACAAGGGTATACCCAATGTCATTGTAAAACAAATGTAAGACAAACAGGAGTCAATCGACACGGACTACTTTTAAATTGTCCTAACTAATCACAATATATGTGGATTAATCGACCAACACAGTTGTACAGACACGTTATCGAGTGTGTTTTACCGAACGCTTTTTCCCCCAATATTATTATAATGATTGGTACATAAAATTATTCTTACTCTAGTCATTCTTATGATGGTTTCTGTGTCCCCCTCCTCATTTTGTTTGTTGAATAACTCTAAAACTAATCGGACACAACAAACCGGATATTGTATACAAACGATACACAAACGATTACCCTGGGTAGAATATCAAAATTCCAATTTGGGGGAGGAGGGCACGGAAATGGATCCGTTGAAGTGTATTAGTAACTGCGTTATCGAAAAACTCTAAAACAAATAAAAAGTTATAACCTAATAGTTAATAAGTATATTACACATTGAAATAAAATCTAGTGACACGATATGCAGTATGACATTTAAAAGATTATAAATATTCTTATATTCTTTATATTTATTATTATTTATTTTGTATACGCCCTTGTTTTGTTGTTTATTCTTAGCATAAATGTTTTGATTATTGTAATAATATATGTTTTGGACTTTTGTTTTTCGTATTCAACTATCATACAGCGTATGCTTCCAACATAGTTTTTTTTACATAAAATTGTTGTCTAAATCGTATTTTACATCAAAAGAAATTTGAAAATTCACAAGCCTAACAGGTTGAATGCGAATTAAATGCTAAACAAAAACAAATATAATATATATAAAAAATAAGTGTCCAAATTGCATTCCACATACCAAGTGGATTTGTCCGAAATATCGATCATGATCAAATTAAAACTAAATATTCACATTCAGCCGTGTTCAAATATTTTTTTGTTTATTAATGATTTGAACCAAAAAAAAAAAATTCGAATTTAAGTGAAAATGCGAAGTTCTAATTTAATTAATTGACGCCGAGAAATCGTCAAAAGAGAATAATTTATAAATTCAATTGTGACTTAATATTTTGAAAACAGTGAAATAAGCAGATTGGAGTATGTAAAGAAATTAGTCTCGATAGTTTTACTAAAAACACAACATAATAGTCTACAACTTTAAAAGAAAAAGTAAATGACGTGATTAGGGAACAATTAAAATTAATATTATATGTGTTTATTAAAAGAATAATAAAACTGTAAATATTATTGTAACTTGATTATGAAGACGTTAAGAATGTAACAGGTTCTTATTCAAAAAAAAAAAAAAGATAAGATATGTACAAGTTGATAACCAGTATCACCTGTCCACCCAATGAATATCAGCTTAAATTTAATACGGTCGGTTGATACATTTGCGATTTTTTTTTTTTTATAGCCACTCGTCATTTTCATCACCGAACAATACCTACCTATATACTCGTAATAAACTGCCGGTTACCCGGCGAAACCTCGTAAGTCAAATTAAATAAATTTTATGGAAAAAGCGAAAAACCGCGGCACAGTTAAAAATGTACCAAAAATGGTCAGCATTTAAGCCCCGTAAGGTTTTGCTGGATAGCTGACAATATTTTATACTGTGTAATATTTGCCTGCGCGAAAAATATAGAATCGGCGATCGGCCGCGGCGACGACGTGTCTACGTTTATCCGCAGGTATACGAAATATGACGTAAAAAACGTAAATAATAATAATAATAATAAAAAAATTTATAATTACGATTAACGATCGTGGTGGTGACGACATGCGGATTCCCCCGAATCGCAATTATCGAGCAATTCCGAAGATATTTCCCAGCTAGTCGGATCATCCTTTAGATATTTATACCGTAACGCGACGGTCGGGTATGTGTCATTGAAAGCTAATAAGGACAAACAATATTATAACTACCATGACGGTATTTTATAATGATAATAATATACGTGACCCTCCCCTCGTCCTCCGGCGGTCTTCTTTCGTATTTTTTAGACCCTCGTCTAGGTTAGTATATTATGTCGTGGTTTCCGCACACGCGTCTGCTCGAGGGTATCGCACCGTCGCCTAAACGGACGTTGTCGTTACAATATCGCCGTCGTGCGTTGCCGATAGTTTTATTATTCATATTTCACGTGTTCATGATGATAACAATAATTATTTATTATCATTATCCAGTGTTTATTATAATATATTATTCAATAGGATGTTGTGCCCTCATTTCGTTTTCGCCGATATCGGTTATTGTAATATTATATTTTATTGTCGTCTCTCGCGGTCACATTGTATAACACACGTATACAACGGACGAGGCGAATCGGTTTTTCAATCGTGCAAGGACATATCCTTAATAGCGTTTTTCAGGAACTAAAAATTATCACCGCCGCCGTCACATCGTGATTATTTTTCTATTCCGGCGATAATAGTAATTATATTATACGCGTAGCAGACACTGTGACATTGCTACTGGGGTTTTTTTAAATTTTTTTTTCCATTCTTCGTACTTCCTTTATTACCATCGCCACGCCGCATCGGCACCCTGCCATCCCCATCTTTCCCAAGGTAAATGCGCGTATTTCGTTTCGAACGCCCGTGTGTATTGAATCCTCCGTGGCGTTTTTTTTCAATAAAAGGTCACACTGGGAATCGCGGAGTTCGTTTTACCGACTTCGACATTGTACCTTCGATACCTGGATATAGTTGTACGCCCGTTATACAACGGTTATGTAGATAGGTAAATAAGTTATATATACGGTTTATAGCGGTCATTTAAATGTTTAAAATGTCTAAAACCAAATACTGCAAATGTCTATGAAGGTAATTGTGTATATACGAATTATAACGAAACCCAACGTTTTCATCAAAATTTTATTTTATTGTTAACATTGAAACAATCAAAATTACATACAAAAATTGCTTAATGAATTGTAGATAAATTAAAATATAAATGATAGATCAGCCGACGATAATTCATTGAAAGTCAAATCGTGACATCTAATAAAAGTTGACTGCGACGACCAATACACTCTTGATGTGAATTCACAATTTAGGAAACAGGGTACAACGCTGCATTACAGCCGTAATGGGCATCGCCCATTTGTGCCAAAAATAATCGTTTTGGGTACAGTTCATTTGTGCCAAAATAAAAAAAGGTACTTTTTTTTCGACTGCCCATTCGCGCCAAATTTACCTGCGTAAATTGCACACGATTACGTATATTACACAAAAGTTATTTTAGATTCTGAGTGGAGCGAAGAAGCTCATGGTTTTACAATGATGCTAATTTCAAAGCAACACTATCAATTAAACTCCGTTTAGAATCGTTTTTTCGTTAGCAACGGTTAATCGTTGCTAACGAAAATAGGTACATTAAATTACCCATTACAGAGGTTACACCCGTCCCCATTATCCTAAAATGATTTTTTAAATTACTTTTTTTTAAAAAAAATGTGAAGTCTTGAATATTACTATTTATTTAAAAACAATTTGTGTATTTATTGACAATTATTGTAAAAATGTATTTGTAATTTTAAAATTTATATACTGCGTATTTATTTAAGTGATAAAAATAATAATAAAAATGTACCATTATGTTAATTTGACTATCATTTGATAACGTTTTTTTAATAAAAATCTGTATTTATTTAGCATTATTAAAGAAAAAAAATGTAACAAAATAATTTATAGATAAATAAAATAAAAATAACTCGTGTAATATACGCAGGTTAATTTGGCGCAAACGGGCGGTCGGAAAAAAGTACCTTTTTTTTTTTTTTGGCGCAAATGGGTAATTTCCGTCGTAATAATTACAAATAATAAATTATAAATATGTAGGACGTGAGTACATTAAAATTTTGTTGGTTAAGAGAATGTAGTACCCACATGTGTGTTGTCTCCGTTTCATTTACGCTCGATATAACAAAATTCTATTCTTTAGAAAAAAGTTTTATGTACAATCTTCGAAAAGATACAGACAGACAGATGAATCAAACTATTTATATGAAATTGGAGGACGAATCCTACGATTCTACAATTATTACATCTCATTTTGTCTCGGATATTATCATTTACAGGACACCGAACGAGAGATTGTCATTTTCGGTATTTTCACAGCTCATACCTAATGCGACGGAATCGATAAATTCTCGATTACAATATAAAAATACAATACGAACCGGACGTTTCGTCGATGTAGATATAATTTGGTATACAATTAAAATCCTTGATAAACGATTGCACTGTAGAGTGTAGATTGCAGTTTATTTTTCGAGTAGACATAATATAAGTAATATAATCAAATTAATAGCGTGTCCCCTACCATACCCTGCCATAGGTTGTCTAACACAGTAGCACCAACACTGTTAGAAAGAGATAGACAATACCTGTTTGGCATATGATAAGAGTTAAACTGTACGCTGCATTTTTATAATAATGTTTGAATTTTAGTTTGTTTCTTTTCTCTTTCACTGTAGTATTCTCTCTCTCTTTGTCAATATATAAATGGGTATGTGATGTACCCGTATGAGATGTGAATATGGTTTTACATTTTATGTTATCTAAGAATGTTCATCTCCATAATTTGTCTCTTTGCTATTAATTAGGTTATTTATGGGTCAATTTGGTTTTACGCCATAGTAACAAAAAAAGTGTCATTAGATTTTTGAACTTTTCACAACCGTAATATCATACACGTACAATCTTAATTCGTGCTTTTCGATATTATATCATAGAGATCGTATCCCACGTGGCTCCGGGGTTAATAGATCCACCGTAACTCCTGCTTATCGTAAGAAGCGATTAAAAGAAGGTAGCGGAAGAGAACCAACATTTGTTTTATGTATATCCTCGCGGTACTCACGGAAGGGCACCGCCGCGAAAAAAGTTTGGGAACCGTTGAGTTCAAGTTCGTCAAAAGAGAATGAATTATAAAGATAATAATAAATGTATTGCGCTTAAGAGAATAACGAAGAAAATGAAATAGAAAAGAAAATATGCATGCGACATACTCGTCTAGACGTCATCAGCCGAAACACGACCAAGTAGATCGATTTGTCGTCCGCACGAGCAAATAAAATGTACATAACTGCCGCAGGCTGCATTATATAGGTACTCGAGTATAATTCCAAGTTTGGGATGTCGCTTTGTACATAAAATGTACGACCGATCGTCGCGGAATTGTCGATAGGTAATTATTACCATTGTCGTCATTATCAGGGTGAATCCCTATAGCCGGTATTTGTGGCACGAGACAAAAAAATCCTGATCGGCGAGAGCCACGATGTCATCGATACCGTAACATCTCGCTAAACCGATACTCGACAATACGTACTGTACAATAATATTATATCCTTGTATATATATATAAAAAAAAAAAAAAAACCATAAGAAAAAAACCGTATTCGCGAATCCCATATCTTCAATAATCAATTAGTCAAACTGTGATAATATATACGAGAGTGAAAAAAAACTATCAGTAAAAAAAAAATACGGATTTTTTCCTCCTCGAACATTGACGAAAACGATTTTGAAATGTATACGCTATTAACTGAAAAAACCAGGAGCAACGCGCTCGATTTCCTGGTCGCTCCTTTCAGATATTAGAATATTAGGTACCCTATGCCTATAATGGGTGTGCGACATTCGTGTAAATATTTTATTCAAGAGCGAAATCCAAGTTAATTACATCTAATTATTTTAATTCAATTACATGTTAGGTACATATAGGTACGACTTATAAATTGTTATTATCGGGTCTCGGATTTTATAGCATTTGCTAATTATTATTTGATACAGATAAAAATAACAGAGTGAGCTTCACATTTGTTTTATACGCCAGGGACTTCAAATATGAAATTTTATAATGATTTTGTTTACATCTTTGAGGTATTTTAGATTTTTAGTGCTGTTTTCAAATTTTTGGTGCTATTTTTTTCTAACATACATAATATAATGATTTATTTTGTATTTTTCATAAAAAGTAGAAACTCTTTCATTTATGCGAATCTATAAGAAAAATACCTACACTCTCATTTCATATTATAATTTATTTTTAAGTAGTCCTATATACTTATTGACTCATCGAACAGTTAACATTTATAACTTTTTTCGGTTGTATTTATATATTATTTTTAAAACATTTTTTATTTTTAACCATTTTTCATGTTTTTAAGGCATACTATAGATTATTCTAAACCTTTTAAGATACCTTATAGCGCGTGTTTTAAGATTTGTTAAGACATATTGTAGCGCATAATACAGTTATTTTCAGTGCTATAAAATCCGAGCGCTGGTTATTATTCTTAACAATACGTTAATAATCATATCGAAACGAATATAGGTACGTTATACATATGCATAATACATATTTTTTTTTTATAATTATATAGGTACATTCTTATTTAAAAACAAAACAACTTTGAAGTTTCGGAACACAAAAACTATTACACGCTACATAATATATGATTAGAGTCTTGTTAATAAGCTATAATTATCATAATTTAAAATGTTTAATTACCGTACGTGTATCCAATTACGAACGTGAATTATAATACATATAAACGTTATTATTTAATAATGGTAAAGTAGTATGGGTCAAAATAATAATATTATATCCAAGGAAAACCGAAAGTGTCTAATATATTCGATCGTGTTCGTTAAAATATTATATTATGTATTATTCAAATCCATTATTATTCTCTCGTCCGATAAAAAAAAAAAAAATAGTAATAACAATAATAAGTACTGCGTGCGATCTGTATGTAGTTTATGAACGCGCAACAGTAATGATAGCATGGGTATACACATAGTCGTACTCATTGTGATGGTAATAGATAGGTACATCATATATTATCGTGAATGTCACAATATCGAAAAGTGGAATGAAACTTCAATAAAACCATGTACTCTTATTCGAGGGATTCGTGATTTCGTGTACCTACCTATATTTTTTCCACGTTTATATAATCGATTCCATTTTATATTCCGAGAGTAATAGCTAAGAAGCTATTGTAGTTTTACTAAACTGTTATTTTTTTTTCTCTCTCGGAAAACGCTTTTTCGGTCAGTAAAAGTACTGCAATTTATCCACGCAGTACCTTTTGAGTGATGCGGATTTTTCAATCGGGTACTTTATTTCATTGTTTGTACACACGTTTTCATAGATTCCCAACAGATTTTCAAAAAAATTTAATGAGACCGATGACAATATTAATATCGTCGATACAACGGTTTTATTTAAGTCACTTTTTGAGTTGCCTCGATTACAATATGGAGAAGAACACTATAACCTTATCGGTTTACTAAGCTCCGTTCAGAATTGTTTTATGCTTTCAGTAAACATATAAACCGAATTACCATAAATTGTATGCCTACCGTTTATACTTCTTCCCTATAACGGTGCCTACCCGTAGTGCGAAGTATGTCAAGCTTTTAAATATTCATTAAATAAAATTAGTAATTGATTAAAAAAAATTATAACGTCAAATTTATGTATTTTGACTTAAAAAAAAAAAAATAGTTTATAATGCATTTAATCGTTATAGTCTAGTTTTAATACATAATTACACCTTATATACATTTCGTTATTAAACTAAAACGTTGAAAATAAAGTAAACAAGTATTTCAGCCTTCAACTGAACAAAAATGATTAACCGTATAAATAATATTTTAAGAGGACGTGATATATAACTTGGAATTTAAATCGCGGCGTTTGGGTAAAAATTAAATTTTAGGCACAAGTTACAAAATTTAAAAAGGAGAATATTTTCGAGGGTACTGTGCATGTTGTTATTTATTTTTTAAAAATATTGTCAAATAAAAAAATACGGACATACTTCGCACGTGGGCACAGTCACTGTTGTAAGTGAGAAGTTGGAAAGGTAATAGAGAGGAAATTGAATGTACATCTGTAACCATTGCTAACGAAAAAACGATTCTGAGTAAAATTCAGTTTATAGTGTTGCTTTTCCAACAATATATATGCCATATTATGGTAAAATAATTACAACAATGTGCGTTTCCATGAAAACAACGATTGTTTAGAAAAGATTAAAATAATGAAAACTTAAGAACAAAAAATAAATAAAAACGGTTGCCGATGTCAACCTTAATTTTAATCTTTCAATCTTTTTTAACCTAAAGACTGTGGTTTTTCTTATTATCTGGAATATTAATGAGAATTTCAAAAAATGGTCTCTTTAAAGTATCACCCGTGTACATTTCCTTTCAGAAAAGGTACTATAATTGATAATCGGAATAAGTTTTCTAGTAGAAAAAGTGTTCGCATAAAAAAAAAAATATAAACATCATTGTAAAACCAATGCATTCCTCGTTCTGCTCAAAATCTAAATTAAAACTATGTTACCATGTAAGTTTTATTTTTGGTTTTTCTGTTTTTAAAGTAGCGGTAGCTTTTTTGCTTGGCAATATTTTAGAAATAAAGCACCACCGCGGTGCCCACAAAAATATTCTCCTCTAAATTCTTAGTTACGTAATTTTGCAACTGATGTATCCGTGACTGAATATCATTTTCTGTTAATTTTAAATATTATTTTAATTTTACTTTTCTTCTCAACTTTCATTATTTTCTAACATTTTCCTCTATTTTTCTCTCTCTTCAAGTTCCGCTTTTTGGGCGTGCGAAAAGTTCTTTAACGAAAAATGTCAACGACGACGTTTAATGAAATATCGCGATAAAAATTCTTGGTGAACATAATATTATTATCAAAAAATGTTTACCAATAGGTTGCAGGAAACATAGATTATATGTATCGTGTATTTTATGTATCATTATAGTTGTAGACAACTAATAATAATAATAATAATAATAATAATAAAAAAAATACTCGAAGACCGGCTGAGCCATACGTACACGCGTTTAGACATAGCATACCGGCCAAATAAAAATAAATCAAGTTTCTACAATAGGTAATACGCTTTTCTTTCGTACATATTTAATGCTCGCGCATTGTGTATTTGACATTATACGAATATATTAATAAAAAAAATCGCAAGCCTGCATTCGTTATTATCATTTTTTAAAACGAAATCAATTAAACTATAAAAATCATTCAAATACATTAATATTGATGAAAATAACGCGCTCGAACGTGTATCACATTGTAAATAACGAGGAAACTAATAAAAAAAAAAGAAGAAAACAATATATAACACAATATTATGTTATTGTATGTGAGCAATTTTATAATAAAACGTACCTATAGGGTGAGTCGATACTTCATCAATACAATTCTGTTGAATACATATTATTATAATTATAACTATAAATCGTTTTAGCGAAAAGCGTTAATTGTTTTTTTAGGAAATCGTTATATTTCCACTGTGAAAATGATTGATTATAGAGATTGTGATTTATCGATAATAAGAGTGATCAATATTAATCATAGCGGTTACGTTATCAAGTAGAATGCAAATTCAGCAACCCCCATCCCACCAAAAACAAAAAAAAAATCAGGATAATTCGCGTTGATAAATATAAAAAATTCGATTAATTTTACGGTAGTAGAACTAATATAATGCGTTAATACTTGAAATTAAAATCAATAATATATAATAACATGATATATTTCAAAATTAATTTTTTATTGATCAATAGCTAATGCAAGTTAAATTTTAACGTACCTAACTTTTAACTCGTTAACGCCCAGCCTTATATTTCGAAGGCGAAACCAGAAGTTTTATCATATTATTATATATCGCGCGATATGACAAACCCGGATCGCTCACGTTAAACGATACAATTTTTCAAGCCCGTCCGATTTCCAACTAACCGATGCTAATAATGACTTCAAATATTTTAACTTTTAGTCCCGGAGAGGAAGGGCTTAAGTAAATCATATACGGGTTTCAATAGGTATAAGCAAATCAAATTTTGAAAATTGCTAAATGACATAATAGCATATTAAATTAATTAATTCTAAGCGGCTAAATTATTAATAAACAACGACCTAACGTAAATGCAAGCGTTCTAAATGGCTTAAGTCATAAAATTACGTGACTGTAATACAAATTTTCATTTTCATTTTACCTAGCAATTATTAGAAGAAAAAAAGTTACAGTAAATAAATAAATAAATTTGTATAAAACGAAAAAAAAATATGGGTTCCGGTTATTCAAACATATATAAATCTGATCTCAGTTCTCATTATTTTAAGGGTTTTCGGGTTCCAGAACAGGATCTTTTCGGCTCGGTTCCAGTCTCCGGACATGGAATATAAACAGGTATACGAATACCATCATTTGGATTGAAAAAATAGGGGAAAAAAATTACTATACGCATAGGCATAGAATACGGGGGAGCTAAGGAGGCTATAAAACACGAAATATCCTCTAACCCTCTCAACATTTCTTACAGATTTCCTGAAAATTGGACTTAAAGAATAACTGGATATTCTTTTTTTTTTTTTTGCAAAAATGTACAGTACAAGTGCAGTTTAGCCCCTTTAGAACCCTCGCATCCTACGCCTATGGTTATACGTAAACCGGAATTCCCGAGAAAAAAAGAAATAACGCTGCAAATTGACTTAAGCCGTTCTTTCTCCCCCCGCCCCCTTCCGGTACCAAAGACACGTATTAGGTGCTGTGTTGCTAAACGTCACTTACTTTGCGAATGGTTCGCTGTCCAGCCGGTAATAGTTTTCGATGGGTTCCGTTTTGACCAGTCGCATAAGCTGTTTCTCGTCCACCATCACCACTCCCTGTTCGACGTCCGTGTGCTTCCACAGCACCGTCTGCTTGCCGCTCTGCTTGGTCTTGATGGCTTCGGCTTTGCGCTGCACCGCGCCTTTGGCCGCGGCCCGCGCGCCCTTTTGACCGCCGCCCGACGCGTTCATATTACGGCTGGTGATGGTCGCCCCGCTGCCCGCCGTCGGGTATATCAACATAGTTGCGCGCCGCGGACTTTGCGGACTTTGCGGACGTTGCGGCGACGTTCGGATGGGCGGGATGCGTGTTCTGTCCACGAATGCACGTTGTTCGGTAGGATGGGAGGGTAGGGATAGGGAGGAAAAAAAAAATATTTATAATACCGGGGAAAACCGTGTGCACGATAACAACGCGCGGGTCTCGAAAAACAATGTTATAAATTAATAATTATTGCCGGTCGGCGTGTCCTGGAGACCCCGGACTCGATAAAACCGCCGGTCAAACTCCGATGAAAATAAATAAACGCGCGTTTATTATTTTCGGTATTGTAATTGACGAGCGTTGAAACGTCCGGATTCGGGCTGTACGGGGCTGCGCGAAAAATGAGTTTTTCTATTTTGACGAACCGCGTAAACGTACGAACTACCGGACTTTGGTGTCGACGATTTTTTTTTTTTCGTTGTCTATGCTCGCGGATAATAATATTATTATTACGGTTAAACGGTGATTATCGCCGCGGACAGCGCATGTCGTCGTTGTCGTCGAGACGTGTCGACCGCAGCTGACCGAGTTCGCAAACACACTGCCGCGCGCTGCCCGATGCTGCTGCCGCGTCGGCGGCGACGGCGACGGCCGTCAAACGCGTCCCCGCGACTCCGCGGGGGGAGAACCGACCCGGACAGACTGCGGACTTCGGACACGACCGCGTGGCGACGGACGCCCGCGAGAGCTTTGACGCCGACGGCGGCTCGGTGAATTATCGTGCGTGTTATCGTTATCGTTATCGTTGTTTTTGCCGTTCGTTCGGTCGTTGTCATTCGGGCCCGAGTCGAGAGCGCGGCGTCTATAGCGGAGCGTATTCGGAACATTCGAACCGGCGTCCGCGGGCACGGAAAAATAGTATAACAGATAACGCATATTACCGTGCGTTACTTACACACACACACACACACACACACACACGCACACACACACATATATATATATATATACATTCAGTAGCGGATTTTCAACATATTTCTGGGGTGCGTCCTGAAAAATCATATTCATTTAAAATGGCGTCTATATTAACAGACGTCTCTTTTTTGGACGGCCTTTATTGAAATCGTATCGGTGCACTTTTTATAGACAATTTTAGTATTTAATATTATCAAAACAAATTAGGACGGTAGGACGTAATACAATACGTCTGTACGCGACGATAAACCACTGCTAATGAAAAACGATTCCGAATAAAGGCAGGTTTAGCGATTCTTTAAAACAAATTACAACAAAAGCCGTGGCTTAACGGCTAAACGCAAAAGTTGTACCTATTTACTTGGAGAAGTTTTAATATAGTTTACATTTTCACGCATTTTTCAAGACAAAAATTCAAAACATTCGAATACGTTTGCGATTTTCCATTGTAATTTTGTGAATATTAAATTGAAGTTTACTAATATTAAGTTAATTCTAAGTGACATATACCGACACGTTTTGTGTGGTGGTGAGTTGCGAAGCAATACGGGCAAATGAGCAATTTTTTCTCGACACTCCTTTGTTTCTATACGATATAATTATAAGGTTTCTGTTCTTTAAATTTTAGTTTGTGACGGATGTGGGTTCTAAAAGTTACATGACTTTTTTTTTACTCTTAAATTCAATATATCGAGTTGTTTTTTTTTTTTTTTTTCGTAGATTATCTATTGTATTTTTATGATATATAAAGCCAATTGGTTTTTGGAATTTACAGACCACAAATATCGGAATATCGGGTATGCAAAACGGCACTTTTGCGGCCTTAGATTTAAATTACCAAACGATAATTCGAATGCAACGAATTTGTGTTATTCGATGTCGTTTTCTGCCCGGCCCGTAACTCGGTAACCCGATAACCTACACGCAAGAATACGCTCGATTCACAAGCCACGATGCCAGCCATTGTTGTATCCCAGTCGCATTATTATTAGTACCGCCATCGTCTTTACCTGCGGTTTTTCTTTTCGGCACGATTCCCTTCAACACGGTGGGTGTTTTTTGCCGAGTTAAAAGCGATCCCATATAGAGCTGGCGGTATTAAAACCGAATACCGATAGTACGGTATTGTGTTCGATTCCGATTTGAACCGGTATACGGGAATACTAACAGGAACCGGTATACCGAAATACCGAAATGTACCGGTTAGGTTAGGTTATTTGCACTGTTGCGGCTATGCTAATCTATTACAGTTGAAATATGTATCGCCATGTTTCAACGCTTGTTAATTTAGCACCGACTTCGATGGATTTAAATTTTAAAAACGTCTTAAAAATACTTTGTCGTGTTTTTTGTCGGTTATCCATCTCTTTTGTTACTTGATTGAATGCGAATAGTATTATACGCGCTACCCTCGATACGTCACGCATGGACATCATTTCCACCCGTTAGTTCAATCAATTTGGAGTCCGAATTTCGGACTGTTGAGTAACACTCGGAATACGACGGAATTGTTATTATCGACTTATATTTGAAGTCCATGAGCGAAATTCGATCACGGATACATATGGGGTAAAATGGGGTAGTATACTCGTATTATAGGAATTTGTACATTCTTATACAAAAAAAGTAATTTAAATTAATGCTTATTTGACGAAATTATACGTAAACTACGAAAAAAAAAAAGAAAGTATAATGAATTTGAACCTCATTGATTTTTCTGAAATGTGTTTTTAAACGTACGAAAAACCCATGAAAGTTAGAAATTTTAACAATGTAATTTCGCGCAAACCATATGTAATGAATTAATAACGTTTCTTAATTTAGAATTCATTATTTTCACAATCGCTTGAGATATTCTCCGTCGTGTTGCTTTGCTACAGTTTTACCTATTCAGTATGTGTAATTTTTAACACGTGCACTTGCAAACACGTATGGGTGCCTGTTTATGTGAAGAATTTCACGGTTAATGAATTATTATGATATTAATCGTGCTCGTTGATTAACTTTGGTGCCGCATTGGAGGCCACGTGTACGTACTACACGGCGGATACTGTGGTATTGTAAATGCGTAGGCGGTTACATAACAATTATTATTTTGATGAGTCGGACAATGCGTATTTTATTATTGATGCAACACTTACACTAAAATAATAGGTATGCAGGTAATATCTCTCGATTCGACGTCATAATAATAATTGGCGGTTGCACGCATATATGGTATTCAGTTCATCTCGTCGTCGTTATGTCACTTTATAATTATTATCAGATTAAACAAGTTTGAACAGTTTAATCTTAAGCAAAAAGTGCAGTCTACATTGTAGGAAATATATCTGATTTTGTTTCCACGGCGTCTGATTGTATTATATTTGTTCCAGATGCCATTTCAAAACAATCCCATAATATATGAGTAATAATTGTACATGCGTATACAGAGTGATTATTTTATTGTTAAATACTCATTATTTCGCAAAGTATAGACTTAAAAAAAAAAAAAAAAAATTCACAATTTAAGAAACAAGCAAATATAATATGTCAAATCAACATTATGTTTTTGTTACGCTTACTTTTGGGGCGAAATAACTATCAACTTTTGATTTTCAAATGGTTCGTAGTTTTCGATTTCTGTCAACCCGTTCACGAGATATTCCATTTTTAAATTTGGATCGGAATAAAGTAGTGGAGTATCATTTATGTGGCGGCACGGCGTGTAGCGTTTGAATAGTGCTCCACTAAATGTTTCGAAAGTGTTAAAGTTTTTTACCAAGTCTATAAAAGTCAAATATATGTTTTCTGTGTAAATTTCATGTCTCTACGGATAATGTTAACATAATTACAACAACAATAAAAAAAAAAAAAAAAATGGAAATAATAAAAGCATTATTTTCGTAAATTTTCACATTTTTTCTGTTTTATTCGGTTCCAGTTATTAAAAAAAAAAAACTATGGGAAAAATCAAAAACGGCTTTCTTGCTCACTTACTAGATTAAAAATTCAATAAAAAAGGTATGTTGTTCGTAGGTAAGGTAGCTGTTTTTATTGAAGCAATATTTCTAGTAGAAAAGTTGCTCATAGACACAAAAAATACAAAATACAAAATCACATATCATTATAAAACCAAAAGATCCCCCGCTACGCTCAAAGTCTAAAATTATATAAAAAAAAAATGTTCATAATACTCAATATATCATTACATAAATTATAATAAATGTTGTTTTAAATTTTAATATTTTTTCTATACACTTCCATCATCTGTAGTTGTCAATTTCTGAATAACAAAACGATCCATAATAGTGTTCCAGTGAAATAAAATACGTTATCTATACATTTCGCGTTACTTAAAATATTATAAAATAACTACCCAACAATCAGCTAGAGAACAGAAAACTTTAATTTTACGATTTTGTTTTCCTGAACGCAAATCTGTTATCACACATGACGCATGCTATACCGTCTATACTGTATACCATACACCGATATTTTAAGACTTACTATTATACTATTGATTGAGTATACAATATTATTTAACAATTATGCCCCAGTTGTAGAACCGTTGCTTGTGTTTGACTTGTGATTACGCTATAATATAGTAGTGTATATTATCAATGTCGGTTATTACAGATATATAAATAAATGTTTATTTGTCAAACTTAATAATGTAACCACAGATTAAAACAAAAATTCGAAATTTTTAAATAATAGAAAAATTATGATAATTTTATTAGTGGACGGCCTGACTTAAGTCTAAACCTTAACATAATATTAAATTAATCAAAACACTTTTAGATCCGGAGCGTAGCAAGAGAACTATTGGTTTTACTATTATGTGCGCTTTTTTTCTTGAGTTAATAAACTGAGCTAATACGATTTCGTTCAACACTATCAATGTCGTAGACACTGCACAATATATTTTAGGCGATGACCTATAGATAAAAATTAACCCGTTATTAATTAATTGAATAATTCAAACGCGAGTTAATAAAAACATCAAAGGTTATAAAAGCTAAGTTAAAAATGTTACAATTAACTTGATTTGTACCTTTTTTTATTGGATTTTACCCGGTCTCGATTTGAAATAGATTAAAACACATTGAACCCAAATGATATAAAATATTAAACCGCCTAATAAATATACGTACTATGTTATTATGGTATCTGCCGGATACAGATCAAATATCGTACCTACAGTAATGCTAAAAATAGTATTTATTGAAAAATATCAGCTACAATTAATTTGCGAAAAAATCGCGTAATATTTCAATTGAATATTATTATAATCTATAGTGTATAGTGTATTATTACAGCTGTATAGTAGGCGCCAATATTATAATATGTTATAGTAAGTCGTATTCGCATGGAAATCATGAATGGAAAATATACGATTGCGGCCGGTTGTATATTATGTTTTACTGGTGTATATTAATATGATGGCGGGAGCACCCACATACTTAGGCATGGTCAGTTGGCGCACTTTCAAAATCTCGGGGTCATTGGTTGATTAATATACACGTGTCTCGTGCGTGATACAGAATACTGTAACAGAATTATAGTATTATTATTATTATTATTATTATTATATTATATAGGTGCCTAATACTTGTTGGCGGCACCCCGTCGTTTTTAGAACAAACATAATATCACAATGATCATAAGATAATGTAGTATATAGTATGAAGTGTCGTCTTATACGAATATATTATACAGATGACGCTGCGGGTTTGGAAGCTCTTCCAAAATAATTGAATTGAATTGTCTTTTCGTCCGATTGTTATCCTATCCTCCGAGTGGCGAGTATATTATATTATTATAATAATTTTGTCAAACACAATCGGCAATACGAACAATAATAAAAGAAAACTACGAAAACAAATAGATACAAATATTCAAACCAGTAGTTTTGTATTTATTTGTAAGGCGTGAACGATATAATTTAATTTAATTACAGAGATTATAGATTTTCAAATAAAATTGCATATTTGTCATCATTTTGTTTTTCTTTTGCACGTGACGACGTGCAATCATTTTCTTGATTTTTCCCGATCGGTATTTCGTCAGGGTCTCCGTATATAAAACAATCAAAATTGCACCAGATCCCGGCAAGTCTGTATCTTCATATAAATGTTCTATTGATTAGATATCCCTACAATCGCACTTTAGATCTTCTGTCAGAAATTTTCCCTAGTTCGAGCACAGCCATGACGGATTCTATTAATAACACATCTCGGCTTATATATTTATTAGCGCTCTCCAGATTCACCACTTCTTGTGTTGGCTGTATTTCCGACAGTCGGTTTTCCTATTGCCAATTAATATTACTATGACATGCGTACAATAAAATCCGAAGATGATTAAAGTTTTGAATTAGTTCTGCACGTTCTTAACATTCAAATACCGTGAATTGATCTACTAGCAGTGGCGGATTCAGGGGGGCCCAGGGGCCGCGCCTCCCCAAATTTCTAACTATACACAAGTTTTTACTATACACAAATAATTAATCGTTTAACGCATATCTAAAAAAAAGATTTTCAAGGGAAAAAATCTGGAGAGGTGTGATGAATGCATTAATTGTACTATGATGTATTTTTATTATTTTTTTTCTGTTCGAAAAAATTTTCCACCAGAAATCCTACTATAGTCAAAAAATATGTTAGCGGTGGTTTGTCGGTGCTACTGATTTACTACTAGCTTACTGATACAAATTAAGCAACCTTAATAATATATATCTTACATTCTCAACTTCCCAGCTATAACAGTGGCTGCACAGTCATTGGTATTACGTCATATTTTTAGATTCGGAACGTAGCGTTCTATTGGTTTTATTATAATGTGTGTTTTTTTTTTCTATCTGTAAACAATTTTTTGAAAAGGATTCTTGCTGCGATGTACAGAATATAGTACTTTTTCTGAAAGGAAGTTTTGTCTATTTAGGGCATTATAAAGGGTTGTTTTTTTTTAAATCCAAAGAGTTTTACGAAATAATTGGGAAAAACCCGAAAGAAAATCGAAGGTTACCAATTTAAAATTGTTTTTGGTTTTGTAATTTATGTTTTCTACTAAAAAACATTACTCGAATCGAGTAGTGACTAGAGTTCGATTCTATTTCTATTAAAATATAGCCACTGATAGAGGTAGTTATTTTTTGATATCTATCTACAATATTTTTCATAATAGTTCGGAAAAAACAAAAAAGGCGAAAAACACGATTTTTTCAAATTATGGCACAATGATTTTATCATTTTAAATTTGTACGGCTTAAAGTTTTTTTAATAATTGAAGCTGAAAACAAACATAAAAGAACGGAAAAATTTACGAAATAATTTTTATATTATTTTGTATTTTGATTTTATAATTTTATTCAGTTAAATATTCATAGAGACTTGAAATTTGGGCGGAAAACTTTTTAGCCTTTTCTAGAACGTGGTAAAATTTTAAAAACCTATTTATTTTTGTTTATATATAGTACATATTGTGTATTAGACTTATTAAAGTATAAGTAATTCTAGGTTATAGTTTTTCATTATTTCATTATAATTACATAACGTTTACGTTCACTTTCGGATCTTTCTGAGATTCATTTTTTATAAAATCAAATAGCTAATAAGAATAGAGTATTCTTTCACTTCGACGTAAAATCGTTTGCACATATATGTATTATTTTGAGTAAGTAGCTTCTAACTGCGGAGTTGTATAACAATTTTATGTGAACAAAAATATTTTTAATCAACTATAAATAGCACAAAATCGCAAGAATGTTTTGAAAATTTTACAACATCTAGAAAAGTCTAATATAAATCGTGAAAATGTCATGTTTATATGAATATTTTTAACCGAATTACAATAACAAAACATAATAGAAAATTACAGAAATCCTTATCGAGAGGATATATGTCCATTTTCCTATCTTTCTCTCGGTTTTTTCAATTATTAAGAAAACTAAAAGGAAAACAAAAAAAGCATCATTGATTACACTATTCAGACAAAATTTTCATAATAAAGATTTATAATGAAAAGGCAAGGACAACTAAAAAAAAGCAACGATTGTCAATTATAAATACAAGATGTAAAACTAATGTTTGCCCCGTGGGTCGTAAAACCACTATCGTCACTATATGAAATATTATTGTATTTATACATCCGTTAATCTACGAACCGCAAGTATGATCGATCACCTCTATCAGTATTACACCGTATAATCGACGACAACTCCAAAGACGGACAATGCTGCTGCCGCGTAGTGGTCCGCGATTCGCGCATTAATTTTATTCTTCATATCAAATAGTATAGCAAGACGATATACGTGTCCTATACCATCGAGAGTCGGGAACTATAAAATAAACGGGGATTTTTTTTAGCGCTCAATCCGTTCGGTATTTTATTGTCTCCGAGAAATTGGTAGTTTTATTTATGGCTGTATCCGAGTCCCGTCCCAATAACCTTTTTTCATACCAATTCCGTCCCGATTAAAAATATTTTTATCAATATTACAATACATAAGTGTTAGGTACAAACAATTTAAACGTAGTATATACTTTCACAAATAACAATTTCTTATTGAATTAAATTTATATGATATAAAAAATTAATAATTTATATAGACATTTTTCATATTAATGTTAAAACACAGAAAAAATTCAAATAATATTAAAGTTCGATTATTTAATGCAATAACTGAAAGCAATATTATCTTTATTTCTAAATAATGTACAATTGTAACCGCAGTCGTAAAAATAGTGTAGAAAATAGAAAACGGGACGGAACTCGTGCGACCAAATAAATTACACAGGACGGAATCAGTATATTAATTTTAAAAGACCGGGACGGAACTAGTATGTCCTTAAATTCAAATTTTTTATTTGGGACGGATTTCGGATGCAGCCTTATTTATATGTATATTACCCCCTCCCCCCTAACACCCCCAATTATTATTACCATCGTTGTCGACGACGACATCCAAAAGTGCGTACACACGCTCGGCCATCATTTTATATACGTGTATGTATGCGTACATATAACCATATCCTGTCCGCCCGTCGTCTTCGTCCGACCGAACGATTTATGCCATCAGCGCGAGTGTTGCTGCAGTGTAACAAACGTACTAAAAATAAAAGGTGTATGCCACAACAATATAAAAATCAGCCGAACCGGTTTTGGAAAACGTAAAAGAAAAGAAAAGAAAAGACGTCCTAGGATAATGGGGTCGGGTGCAGCCACCGCATGTTATAAGTAATTTAATGTGTACCTGTCAGCAACGACGAAGTATTGCTAACGAAAAAACGATTCTGAGCGGAGTTCAGTTGATCGTGATGCTCTGTAAACAGTATATATGTCATATTATGGTAAAATAGTTGAATAGGCATTATATATATTCTTTAATAATATTTGTTTAATATTGTATCTATTTTCCCGTTTTCCTATGTTTTTCCCGGTTTTCTCATTTATCGGAAAAAATCCTGAGAAAATCAAAAAATGGCCTCCCTAAAGTACGCCCTCAGTCCGATTTACGTTTAGAAAAGTTGATACACTTAGAAATCGGGGTAACATTTCTGGAAGAAAAGTTGTCTACAGGAAAAATTAAAAAAAAACTGTAGTCCGGTCGTTAAAGTCGCGCGCGCTCGTGTCCGCGACTATTCATCGATGCAAAACCGTCGCACATCGTTTTATCATCGGAACACAATATTATTTTGAATTAAGGTACGTGTCAGTGTATGTAATATACGAATATACGCCTATCTGACAGCAATAATAATATCATTAATTTTTTTTTTTTTTAATGTACGACACAGGTGTCCTCTAAACTCGCCATTTCCGCGCGCCCACCCGAAAATCTGTATACCTATAGGTAGGTATATACGAAAAAAAAAAAAACCGAGCGTCACATGGTCGCGGTAAATCCCGTGGGCAGACCGTTTGAACAGACCAGATCGAATAACGTAGACGCGTAATATTGACATAATAATATTATTATTAGGTAGGTATTTAAAAAAAAAATACACATATACACAATAACTTATGAGAATAATGAGATATACTTACGGTAGACGACGCGGTTCGCGGTATTTTTCCTCCGAGTATAACCAAGAAATCAAAATCTGGTGAGGCCATCAAATTGAAAATTTTAAAATTTTAAATATTTTTCTTCAAGATGTTATCTGCAGATCTTAATCCGTTTGATGAAGACCTATGAGTGCGCTATCAGTAAATTTGGTCCAAAACTATTCCCCATTTTACTTGACCCTTCGCCCTCGGTCAGATTTCATTATCTAGTGAATATTTAACCTGCCGATTAAACTTCATTACGAAAATTATATAACCCCTCGATTAACTGCTAGGGAGTATATATTTCATTATAGTTAATATTTACCTTTCGTTAAAAATTCACGGGGAAAATTTGATCGCGGTGGGTAAAATGTTTATAAAGATTATAAATTCCCCTAAAGTTCTATAATTTCGGTCAGATATATCACCGGGTAAATAATTACCGGGGTGTCCCAGTGTATACCGGTGGACCATACATTTTTTTGTAAATTTTTGGGAGCATTATCACTATGTGTTAACCTTTATATACTAATACTATTTAATTTTACTATAGGTAACATCAGACATATTTTTATTTGAAAGAATTGTTTTCTTAAATCTAGGTAAATATTCTTTTGGTCGATACCGTGTTGAAAGACAAACAGAATAAAACATATCATCCGCAGAATATAAAAACGTTAAAAAGTTATATGTCCGGCTGTCATTGGTTCGGTGTAGGTATTTATAACACAGGTGCTAATATTAACGAATAAACACTATTTCCTTATGCTTGGCGGTAGCGGTTGAACCTACTCACTAGGAAATAGTCACGTTATAAACGATAAAAATACACAAGCATATTTTTTTATACGTGAGAAAATTCGAACGCGTGCGAGGACCGAGTAACCAGCACACGTTCAAAACGCGGAAATGCACATAATTATGATGTGATTGATAAATGGTCTCGAGAGTTTTTATTTTTTTACGTTACGTTTAGGAGGTTTAGTCTCAAATATGAAATATATATATAAATATATTATATACATTTCTTTTATTTATCGTTTAACTACGTTTAATTTTTTCGAATAAATAATTACTTTGCGGCCGCCTCGTATGAAAGAACCGCAGTAGCATTCGTTAAAGTCTCCGAAGAGATTTATGTGCACTTTATATTTTATAATCTAATAATGTATAATGATTATTGTAATGCGTACGTTATTTTGTCATTAATGAAAAATAATATGAGGGTTACAAAACACGTTGATAATATATGTAGCTGTATGATAAACATGTAAATTACCTACATACAATTATAATAGTACTTAAATTGTAACAAAAAAAAAAAAAAATATTATTATATACATATAAATAAACACTTTTCGAAAGGTTAAGAAAATGTAAAGTTAATATTTTATAAAAATGCGTGGAAAAAAAAGGCGTCCTAGGATAAACGGGATAAGTGCACCAACTGTTATGGATAATTTAATTTATACCTGTAAGCAACGATAAACCATTGTTTACCAAAAAAACCATTTCGAATGGAGTTCAGTTGATAGAGAGGCATTGTCAACAATATATATGTTAATTTATAGTTATATAATGAAATAGGCTAAATATATTTCCTTAAATAATATTTGATTAACTTTGTACCGATTTTTCCAATTTTCCTACTTTTTACATGGTTTTCCTATGTTTTATCCCGGTTTTAAACATTTGCTGGGAAAACGACTGAGAAAATCGGAAAGTAAACTCGTTAAAGTACTTCCCAGTGAAATTTCGTTTTAGAAATATTGCTATCAATATAAGTTTGAGTAAAATTGTTGATTAAAAGGAAGTTGTGCACAGGAAAAAATAAACATCTCTGTATAACCAAAAGCTCCATCGCTACAATCAAAATCTAAAAGTTAAAGGTTACAAATTATGATAACCTAGTTTACAATATTAATATACAAATTAAAACATTTGACGCATACATGTTGAATAAAAACTGTGAGGTAATAATAGTAAAAATGATTGTTTCATAGGTACTAACATATACATACATTGCATTTTTATTCGGTAATATAGGTATGCATAAAACTATTTTACCAAACATACTTGACAATTTATTACAAGGTTCATTATTTTATAATTAGTAAATAGTATTAATGTATAATAGTTTTTTTTTTTTTTTATAATAATTGTTTTATGATCAAATTTTGACGAAAACGTTCATCTGGATAACTAAACATATCTAAAAATTTGTTTATATTATACATGCGATAGCGTGTGCATGTAAATCTACTTAATAGGCTATTTAATATTTCGTGATTTATGTATCGGTCATTTCCACATTCAATTTTTTTTCAATTTATAACATTATTTTGGTTAAACTATAAANCCGTTCATCTCAACATATCGACATTTCAAAAAATTTGTTTATATTATACATGCGATAGCGTGTGCATGTAAATCTACTTAATAGGCTATTTATTTTTTCGTGATTTATGTATCGGTCATTTCCACAGTCAATTTTTTTTCAATTTATAACATTATTTTGGTTAAACTATAAATTCGATAATATCATAGTAGAAAAACACTACAAAAACAGAAAAAAAAATACTAAATAATGTTCACANAACATATCAAAGAATTTGTTTATATTATACATGAGATAGCGTGTGCATGTAAATCTACTTAATAGGCTATTTATTTTTTCGTGATTTATGTATCGGTCATTTCCACAGTCAATTTTTTTTCAATTTATAACATTATTTTGGTTAAACTATAAATTCGATAAAATCATAGTAGAAAACACTACAAAAACAGAAAAAAAAATACAAAATATTGTTAACAACGGTATTGTATTTTTATAAGGTTTCGTAAAAATACATTAATTCAAGCAGAATAGATAATAGAAAAAAAAATCTGATCCAAATACCGCTGTCGACCCGATAGAGAAACAACGCAGACATCTGCGAGAAAATACATTTATATTTCAGTTTTAAGACGTTCGTACGCANCCCGATAGAGAAACAACGCAGACATGTGCAAGAAAATACATTTCTGTTTCAGTTTTAAGACGTTCGTACGCAACAATCTTTTATGCATCTTCAATGAAACATCTCGTTGCAGGCTTTAAATCATAAATAACAGAAATATAAAATTTGAGATTACAGATAATGATTTATAACATTATTGATATTTTCACCTCGAGTTCAAATTTTAATTTTTTGAATAAAATTTCCATTTCAAATTGGAACTTGAATTTCAAATCCGGTTGACAGTATAGTTCATTCAAAAAGTATAATACATCCAACGTCCACGGGCTGATAGTATTAAACACCTATAATGAAACAAAATAGAATTATATTATACCAACGAATTATCAGCAATTAAACCGATAAAAATGAAACGTATCCGACATACTGCGTTGTAAGCACATGTTTCCAGAATTCCGGTTACAAGCGGTAGAGTGTACATCAATTTGCCCTCTCCTCCTTGATACGCCATTATCAATGATGTCGTCGAGTCTTCAGATGTCGTACTAATCGGCTTTTTCTTTGCCAGGGTCATCATCACGTACCAACTTCTCAAATTGATCAAGGTTTTCCTACAAACAGAACTCAACTCGCCCCGACTCAATAGTGCCTAACGAGATACGCGAGATATTATTTTAAAATTTACCGTATTCATCATCATTAGGAAAGGGATTTACACAAACTTGAAATTTACAAAAAGGCGCTTAAAAACATCAAAAAAGCCCTGAAAAATAGCGTTTTAAATGTTTGAAAAAGAGATAATAATAGACAGATTTTAAAGTTCCCCTATCCAATAGCTTTCACTTAACAACAATTGTTTTTAACACCATACAAATTATTAGAATCAAATTATTTTTTCAAAACAAATTTGTAAGTGTTATTAAAAAAAATACTTCGTGTTAATTATTTGTTAGTGTTAAACAATATTGTTTAATGAGCTAGAACAGATAGAGTAGGGAATTTTTAAAACCACTCTACTAAATTTGCTTTTTTAAATACTTTTTTAAGTGTTTTTTGCGGAAATTAATCATATATAAATATGTTCCTTAATTATAATGTAAAAAAAAAAAAATAGAAAAATAGTCCTACTCACCTTAATATTTGTTTCGGTTTCCAACGTTATTAATTCCGTAAGTTTGTCGTTTTTTAACGAGTTCAAAATCACTCTACCGCTTTTGCTTTTCTATAATATTTTTTTAATGGTTTTTAGCGGATTTAAATTGCATATAAATCTGTTCCCTAATCATGATATAAAAAATAAAAATAAAAAAAAATCTTCCTTCTCACTTTTATGGATGTTTCTGTTTCCAACGTTATTAACTGTATGAGTGTTTCGCTGTTTAACGAATTCAAAAAATTTAAGTATATATTAGTACGGTAATTTGATTTGATATTGATATAGCTTGTTACAATATACCGTGCTAACCACGGTATACACTTTTCTTCAGTTTCGACGATTATATTTTTTACTTCATTACACTATAAATGATATAAAATAAAATAAACAAATTATTAACGTATAGTATTACACCGGCCACAGCGTATTTGACTAAAATTATTCGTACTAGTTTCAATTCGTGTAAGTAAATAACAATATAATAATATTAACCTTTGTTTGTAGATTATGTTCATTCATCATTTTGAAAATAATATGTATTGTTTCTTTGCAGCGTTTTATAGATTTGACCGTTGCAGCTGTGTTGGGTTTTTGAGAACTCGACACATTCACACCTAATAAAAATAATGTATAATGTATACAAAAGGTATTTCTTTTATTCGTAAATTATATTCCTGCGGATATCTTGACCGAATATCATTTTAACTTTAAATTCCGTAAACTATATTAGGTATATATGTAATGCTTGTGTTCGGAAAAAATTTTAGATTGTCCTTATTTTTACGGCGAAGAAAACTCCAAAAATATATACAATTTTTTATTAATATAGGCATTGCAAAACTACTTAAAAAATAACATGTCTCACTAACTTCCCCTGATTAAAATCACAATAATAATGTATCTCCATAGTCTTAAGAACAATATTGTGTAATTAATAAAGACTAATAGTTGAAGCTTAATAGTTGAAGCCTTACCTACTCAATAAAAAAAAAAAAAAATATATGTAGATAGTATTTTAATCGGTGTAAACGAATATTTAACTTTCTTTATAATATACAAACGATTTAATTTTATAATAATTTGCTGTACTCACTTGGCGGATCAGTGCTAACGGGAGATTTTGTATTGGCCGGCGGTAGAATGCTTTGCGTATTACTGCCGGTCGAGCTCGGACCGACTGTGGCATTGGGATATGATGTTTCAGTCATGTTGGCGGACCCTACTTCTGAAAAGTATAATGAAATTTATAATGTACACGATTCAATTTTTATAATAATTGCTATTCTCACTTGGTGGATCAGTGCCAATGGGAGATTTAGTATTGGCCGGAGGTATGATGCGCTGTGTCGTACTGTCAGTCTTGACTGGAACGACACTAGCATTCAAACGCGATATTCCCGTCATTATGGTAGACCCTACTTCGGAAAAGTATAATGAACTTTATAGTGTACACGATTTAATCTTATAATAATTGCTATTCTCACTTGGCGGATCAGTGCTAACGGGAGATTTTGTATTGGCCGGCGGTAGAATGAGTTGCGTATTACAGCCGGTCGAGCTCGGACCGACTGTGGCATTGGGATACGTTGTCTCAGTTATGGTGGCGGACCCTACTTCGGGAAAGTATAATGAAATTTATAATGTACACGATTCAATTTTATAATAATTGCTGTTCTCACTTGGTGGATCAGTGCCGATGGGAGATTGAGTATTGACCAGAGGTATGATGCGCTGTGTCGTACCGTCAGCTTTGCCTGGAACGACAGTAGCATTCAGATGCGATATTCNGAACTTTAGAATGTACACAGTTGCGATGTTGAGAATTTAGTTTTATAAAATAATTATTGCTTTACTCACTTGACGAATTGGTAATTGGTTGTGTTTTGACCGTCGGTAAAATGCGCTGCGTCGTACTATAAGTCTTGCTCGGAACGACAGTAGCACTCATATGCGATTTTCCAGTCATGGTGGTACACCCTACTTCGGAAAAGTATAATGAACTTTATAATGTACACGATTTAATTTTATAATAATTGCTATTCTTACTTGGTGGATCAGTGCTAACGGGAGATTTTATATTGGCCGGCGGTAGAATGCGTTGCGTATTACAGCCGGTTGAGCTCGGACCGACTGTGGCATTGGGATACGTTGTCTCAGTTATGGTGGCGGATCCTACTTTGGGAAAGTATAATGAACTTTAGAATGTACACGATTGCGATGTTGAAAATTTCGTTTTATAAAATAATTATGGCTATACTCACTTGACGAATTGGTAATTGGTTGTGTTTTGACCGGCGGGAGGTTGCACTGTGTCGTACTATCAGTCTTGCTCGGAAGGACAGTAGCATTCAGACGCGATATTCCAGTCATGGTGGTAGACCCTACTTCGGAAAATTATAATGAACTTTATAATGTACACGATTGCAATGTTGAGAATTTAGTATTATAATATAATTATAGCTATACTCACTTGACGAATTGGTAACGGGTTGTATTTTGGCCGGCGGTAAGATGCGTTGCGTTGTACTGTCGGTTGGTCTTGGACCGACAGTAGCATCCGGAAATAAAGTCGTAGGGGGCGTAATAGTTGCTACTTTGGATTTATCAAGAATAGCTGCCTCTGTTTCTACGTTTCGAAGAAATGCTCTGTAAATAAATTAACGATTTAATTTTAAGAGTATACAAATTTCTAAAACACTAAATATATCAAAAATAATATAATAATATTTCTGTACATATCTAATAAAAATCATAAAAAATATACAATTTCACATACCTTATCAACATAATTACGAATCGTATCAATTCCACTGCGCTTCGTAAAATCATCACGACTAACGACAGGAGCCACAGGTTAATTTTTGCGATATAGCAAACCAAACTTACCGTAGCAGACGTCATTATAATTGTACGAGTATAATACAAGAATACAGTATTGAAAATATTTGAAACAAATAAATTAATAAATATTTTATTAATAACAGACGAGAAAAATGTCTTTAAATCAATTGATGTTGTTTAATAAATTCTAATCAAGTTAAGCTGAAATGCGAAATATGAACGAAAACAAAAAACAACTTTTCGGAATTGACGTTAAAGGCNTAGAATGTGTTGCTTCATAGCAGTCGGATACGTTGTTTCGGTCAAAGTGACAGACGCTATTTCGGAAATGTATAATTAACTTTATAATGTACACGATTCAATTTTATAATAATTGCTGTACTAACTTGGTGGATCAGTGCGAATGGGAGATTGAGTATTGGCCGGCGGTAGAATGCGCTGTGTCGTACCGTCAGTCTTGCCTGGAACGACAGTAGCATTCAGATGCGATATTCCAGTCATGGTGGTAGACCCTACTTCGAAAAAGTATAATGAACTTTATAATAAACACGATTGCGATGTTGAGAATTTAGTTTTATAATATAATTAAAGCTATACTCACTTGACGAAATGGTTACGGGTTGCGTTTTGGCTGGTGGTAGAATGTGTTGCGTAGTAGCAGTCGGATACGTTGTTTCGGTCAAAGTGACAGACGCTATTTCGGAAATGTATAATTAACTTTATAATGTACACGATTCAATTTTATAATAATTGCTGTTCTCACTTGGTGGATCAGTGCCAATGGGAGATTGAGTATTGGCCGGAGGTATGAGGCGCTGTGTCGTACCGTCAGTCTTGCCCGGAACGACAGTAGCATTCAGATGCGATTTTCCAGTCATGGTGGTAGTCCCAACTTCGGAAAAGTATAATGAACTTTAGAATGTACACGGTTGCGATGTTGAAATTTTAGTTTTATAATATAATTAAAGCTATACTCACTTGACGAAATGGTTACGGGTTGTGTTTTGGCTGGTGGTAGAATGTGTTGCGTAGTAGCAGTCGGATACGTTGTTTCGGTCAAAGTGACAGACGCTATTTCGGAAATGTATAATTAACTTTATAATGTACACGATTCAATTTTATAATAATTGCTGTACTAACTTGGTGGATCAGTACGAATGGGAGATTGAGTATTGGCCGGAGGTATGACGCGCTGTGTCGTACCGTCAGTCTTGCCTGGAACGACAGCAGCATTCAGATGCGATATTCCAGTCATGGTGGTAGACCCTACTTCGAAAAAGTATAATGAACTTTATAATGTACACGATTGCGATGTTGAGAATTTAGTTTTATAATATAATTAAAGCTATACTCACTTGACGAAATGGTTACGGGTTGTGTTTTGGCTGGTGGTAGAATGTGTTGCGTAGTAGCAGTCGGATACGTTGTTTCGGTCAAAGTGACAGACGCTATTTCGGAAATGTATAATTAACTTTATAATGTACACGATTCAATTTTATAATAATTAATAAATAAACTAATTATAGCTCTACTTACCTGACGAATTGGTAATTGGTTGTATTTTCGCCGGCGGTAAGTTGCACTGTGTCGTACTATCAGTCTTGCTCAGAACGACAGTAGCATTCAGATGCGATTTTCCAGTCATGGTGGTAGACCCTACTTCGGAAAAGTATAATGAACTTTATAATGTATAAGATTCAATTTTATAATAATTGCTGTACTAACTTGGTGGATCAGTGCGAATGGGAGATTGAGTATTGGCCGGCGGTAGAATGCGCTGTGTCGTACCGTCAGTCTTGCCTGGAACGACAGTAGCATTCAGATGCGATATTCCAGTCATGGTGGTAGACCCTACTTCGAAATAGTATAATGAACTTTAGAATGTACACGGTTGCGATGTTGAGAATTTAGTTTTATAAAATAATTATAGCTCTACTCACTTGACGTTTTGGTAATGGACTGTGTTTTGACCGGCGGTACGATTCGTTGCGTTGTAGTGTCGGTTGGTAGTGAACCGACAGTAGCATCCGGAAATAAAGTCTCAGGGGGGTTAGCAGTTGCTACTTTGGATTTACCAAGAATAGCTGCCTCTGGTTCTACGTTTCGAATAAATGCTCTGTAAATAAATTTACAATTTATTTTTAGAGTATACGAATTTCTAAAACACTAAAAATATCAAAAATAATATAATACTATTTCTGTACATATCTTTACATTCCCCGTGAAATTAACGACAAAAGAATTTTAAGAAAATAAAACCATACGAATTGATTGGTACTAATGTATGGTTTTCGAAATTATATCACAAATGAATGAAAATGTGTGTATATTATGAACAAATGCATAAAGTCCAAGTAGTGTATTGCATTGTTATTTGTATAGTGTATTTATTCTAATCGTTTTAAAGACCCGGAAGAAAAACTTAGGGAATTAATTCTGTACGGCTGTTTTAATTTTAAAAAATACACAATTTCACATACCTTATCAACATGATTACGAATTGTATCAGTTCCACTGCGCTTCGTAAAGTCATCACGACTAACGACAGGAACCACAGGTTAATTTCTGCGATATGGCAAAACAATCTTACCGTAGCAGACGTCATTATAATTGTACGAGTATAATACAAGAATACAGTATTGAAAATATTTGAAACTAATAAACTATTAAATATTTTTTTAATAAGAGACGAGAAAAATGTCTTTAAATCAAATGATGTTGTTTATTAAATTCTAATCAAATTGAGCTGAATTGCGAAATATGAACGAAAACAAAAAACAACTTTTCGGAATTGACGTTAAAGGCAAAGTGTCAGAATATCCGTTATGAAAATTACAAGAGCTAAAGAAAAACCGTTGCCAAGTGATAAATAAACTGAAACGTAACTTAGGATTGAGTTTTCGTGTGTTTTCCCAACGTACATTGTTAATACTTCCAATATATTATTGCAACATAATAATATAATAATATAATATAATACCATAAGGTTTTTATTTCTGTAATAACGTATTCGTTCGGTTCGGCAACCAAACTTTGGCCCAATATGAAGCGGCCCTGTGCTTAATTTTTAAAAGAATTAATAATTAAGCCCGAACTCAACATTGGATTTGGCGCCACTTACTGCCGTACACTCCGATAATATTTACTCTCAGTGCGGGCCGTGTGTTTCGTATATTATCGTATTTCACTACGCATTATTGTTACTATATTTTGTCGCGCACGGCACTCGTGTGAATCACGTGCAGTCTTTTCGTTAAACGCTACACTGTAACGTTCCTCCATTTCTCGCCATTCATTTGCTCGATCGATCCCTCATCCAACCCTTACCGAACCCTCGCCGGGAACTTTCGACGACGTTGTAACAAAATTGTTTTACATAGTCGCTTCTGAATCATATTTATTACGTATATTACGCAGAGATATGTTCAAAAAGAACTGATGCTGCCGATGGGTGCACCACTATAATATGTTGTAAAGTGGGAAGTTTAGAAGGTGGGACACGTACTGTTTTTTTGATTTATATTTACATACAACGATAAACGGTTGGTAACGAAGTATGATTCTGAGCGAATTCATTTTTAACATAACTTCAAAAGATGCGTAATTGTTCACCCGTTAGTACTAAACCGAAAATATTTTTCGAAATTTCCAATTGTTAAAATATAACGTATAACTATGTTACTTATCATCATTATAATATCTATAATTCCCTTAAATAATCCTAACCTTGACCTTACATTTTTTTGATTCTGAGTGTAGCGAAGAATGTATTGGTTATATAATGATTTTTTTTATGTATCGTGTACGAAAATTCTACCAGAAATCTTGCTCCGAAGTGTCACGTGTAGCATCTTTTTAGAAAGACAAATTTCTTTGCATAGTACTTTAAAGAGGTCGTTTTCTCAGGAGTTTTCGCAATAAATAGGAAAAACATGTTAAAAGCCAGGAAAAAAATTCAGGAAACTAAGGAAAATAGAAACAATATTGAATAAATATAATCAAAGAAAATATATAATGCATATGTAAATATTTTACCATAATGTGATACATAAATTGTTGACACAGCAACACTATTACCCGAACCCTGCACAGAATCCTTTTTGCATGGTTAATCATTGCGTACTGATTTACATTAAATTTTCTCATCTACCTTCCCAACTACTCACCTACAATAGTGACCCATCCAAATGCGAAGAATGCCCGTCTTTTAAAACGTGTATTCATAAAATAATATTGTTGTAAAGTATTTAAATACATATTTTAAATACTATTTTTCAATAGTCTGCCAGATCTTACAATAATTGTTTAATTATTTAGACAACTATTTTTCAAATATTTATTCTGAATAATTTAAAACAGGATTTTTACTCAAGTCTGATAATCACACTTGGCCATAAAATTATTGAGTTTATGACACCCAATGTAACAATAATAATTACAATTTCGTATCGTTACGATGACGACGACCGTGTGGTATGCCCATTTGGAATACTACGATAACGTTAATTAGACGGGTATGAAAAATAATATGACAGATGACAATAACGGACGACAGCTGATTGCGAATTAATAATTTATCAGCTTTATGGCGTCTGAACAGTGTTTTTCACTTTGGTACATGTAGCACTGCTGCAGTATATGCAAATATTATTGTTGTCGTCATTTTATTACCGTCGTAAGTCGTAACCTAACATGAAATCGTTTGTGTGTGTGTAGGCCGCCAATGTAATATAGTTGCATCAACGATTCGTTTTGCATCAAATAATAATTGTACGTGAAAAAAAAAAAGAAGAAAATTTCAGCAAAGAACGTTTCGAATAAAGTACTATCAGACGGATTATCTACGTCGTTTAAGGTATTGCGTAAAAAATGTGCAGCATTTTTACTCACCGAAAAATAGTTTTCTTAGAAAAAAAAATATACATTAAAGAAAGTGGGTGGGTACATAAGGATTAATGGTGCGTTACAAGTATGGTCAATATATTAAAAGGTGGTCGCTCTCACATTGGACAAAATTCGTAGAAAAAAATACAATATTTTAGTTTAGTTACAGGATCATAAAAATAAAAAATTTCGTAGAAAGTAATTTTTTTAAATTATTTGTTTGGTTTACTACTTTTGTGCACAAAATGTGCTATGATATTTACATTGAGGATATTGTACTTAGACTATCTGACAGGCATCTACAAAAAATTGTTCATAGATTTTTTTTTAGGAGACTTTCCAGCCAACCTCTACTTGATGTACTCCTTGGTAATGTAAATAGGCTGTAGTATTACATTTTTAACAGAGACTCAATTTACCCCATTCAACATTTTTAAACGGGATTCAATTTAGCTAATATTTTCTAAAATGGGATTCAATTGTTCAAATCCGTCAACTTTAGCCGTATTTTCTTGTATAAAAATATTATTTGTTCAGTGCATTATGGAGGTAATTTTGTCATTTTCTATGTAAATTTCTTAACAATGAGAAAACTATAAATTACGTCGGACAAATGGACACATTTAATTTACCGAACAAGAACAACGGTCTATGTTAAAATCGATTTTGATTTTGTATTTGCAATGAGTAATGAAATTTTGGGTACAAATATGTCATTCAAATGATATAAGACAAAGAAATTACTCAATTCAAGGTTGGACTTGAGTTTGCTTCAAACCAAAATTTGGACCTCTTTGTCTGCTTACTCCGGCACTGGATTCAAGTATATAAATATAAGTTATATCTGCCTTAAAAATTATAATATTATGTGATTTATCACTCCCGGCATTCTGCATTTTTGTACGAAGCTCTCGCGGATATTAATTTATTTAAATTATCGAAACAATCATAATATAATTGTGCCGGTCAATTACAAGAACGGGTTTGCAAATGAAAAATTACAAATAACAATAATGCATTGTCGTGTGAGGTAATAATAATAGCCATTGCTTGTTTCATAAATACCAACTCAATATCCACCATACAGCTACTACCTACACAATATATGATCGAAATGTTATAATATCTAATCATAGACATCGTCATATTTATTTATTATTATTATTTTTGCGTTCGCAAGCATTCAGACACAATTACATTTAGGAACGTATAACTGACAGATTCGTAACTTAAAATTTTTGTATACCTAATTATTAACATTCGGTGTAAGTAAAAAGCAAAAGGAAAGTTCTGCATTAAAAACAGTTAACAAACGTTTAATAGGCTCGACTTTCGTATAATTGCAGTAGTGACTTTCTGACTTTCTGAGTGAATTCTGTCCAAAACGTTTAACATATAGATATTTCGAAAAATTTGTTTATATTATATATGCGATAGCGTGTGCATGTAAATCTACTTAATAGGCTATTTATTTTTTCGTGATTTATGTATCGGTCATTTCCACAGTCAATTTTTTTTCAATTTATAACATTATTTTAGTTAAACTATAAATTCGATAATATCATAGTAGAAAAACACTACAAAAACAGAAAAAAAAATACTAAATAATGTTCACNTACTAAATATTGTTAACAACGGTATTGTATTTTTATTAAGTTTCGTAAAAAAACATAAATTCAAACAGAATAGATAATAGAAAAAAATCAGATCCAAATAACGCTGTCGACCCGATAGAAAGAAGACGCAGACATGTGCGAGAAAATACATTTCTATTTCAGTTTTAAGACGTTCGTACGCAACAATTTTTCTATGCATTATTAATGAAATAACTCGTTGCAGGCTTTAAATCCTAAATAACAGAAATATAAGATTTGAGGTTACAGATAATGATTTACTATATGATTGATATTATCACCTCGAGTTCAACTTTTAATCTTTTGCATAAAATTTCTATCGTATAACTTCGTATAANCGCAGACATCTGCGAGAAAATACATTTCTATTTCAGTTTTAAGATGTTCGTACGCAACAATTTGTCTATGAATTGTTAATGAAATAACTCGTTGCAGGCTTTAAATCCTAAATAACAGAAATATAAGATTTGAGGTTACAGATAATGATTAACTATATGATTGATATTATCACCTCGAGTTCAACTTTTAATCTTTTGCATAAAATTTCTATTTCAAATTGGAACTTCAATTTTAAATTCGGTTGACGGTATAGATCACTCAAACAGTATAATATATCCAACGTCCACGGGCTAGTAGTATTAAACACCTATGATAAAACAAAATAGAATTATATTATACCAACGAATTATCAGAAATTAAATCGATCAGAATAAAACGTATTCGACATACCGTGCTATAAGCACATGTTTCAAGAATTCTCGTTACAAGCAGTAGAGTATTCATCAATTTGTCTTCTCCTCCTTGATACGCCTTTATCAATAATGTCTTCAAGTCTTCAAACGACGTACTAATCGGTTTATTCTTCGCTATGGTCATCATCCCGTACAAACTTCCCAAATTAATCAACGTATTCCTACAAATAGGACTCACCTCGCCCAGACTCAAAAATGACTAACAAGATACGCGAGTTATTATTTTAAAATATATCGTATTCATCATTATTAGGAAACGGATTTATAAACATTTAAAATTTACAAAAAAGCGCTTAAATACNCAATTTTTTTATTTTATAAGACCTTAAATTATAAGTTCTGATTTTAATGGAAATCTTAAATATTACGATCCTTCAAATATTAGGTATAAACGATCTACTCTCAAAACCGTTTTTCATTGTATCGGCTTTTTTTTTTTTTGATTTGGCGCAATTTTAGATTTTAGACTTCTCGGGTTTCAAAACACGGTGATATTATATGTAACTGTATGATAGACATATAAATTGCCTACATACAGTTATAATTGTTTCAAAATTGTAATAAAAATAAAATATATTTTTAAACATATACACGCCCTCAGGTTGAGAAAATGTCAATGTTATGTTTTATAAAAATGCGTAGAAAAAAAAAGGCATTCTAGGATAATGGGGACGAGTGGCGCACTGCTATAGATACATTAATGTATACCTGTAAAGACGACAAACCATCGTTTACCTAAAAAACGATTCTGAGTGGAGTTTATTTGATGGTGATGCTTTGACAACAATAAATATGTAATTTTATAGTTATATAATAAGCTTCATCGCTCCACTCAAAATCTAAAAGCTATACGTTACGAATTATGATTATCTAGTTTACAACATAAATATATAAATTATATCATTTGACGTGTATATGTTTAATAAAAACTGTAAGGTAATAATAGTAAAAATGATTGTTTCATAGGTACTAACATATACATACATTACATTTTTATTCGGTAATATAGGTATGCATGAAACTATTTTACCAAACATAATTGACAATTTCTTACAAGGTTCATTATTTTATAAGTAGTAAATAGTGTTAATATACAATAGTTTTTTTTTTTTTTTTTTACAATAATTGTTTTATGATCAAATTTTGACGAAAACGTTCATCTCGATATCTAAACATATCAAAGAATTTGTTTATATTATACATGAGATAGCGTGTGCATGTAAATCTACTTAATAGGCTATTTATTTTTTCGTGATTTATGTATCGGTCATTTCCACAGTCAATTTTTTTTCAATTTATAACATTATTTTGGTTAAACTATAAATTCGATAAAATCATAGTAGAAAACACTACAAAAACAGAAAAAAAAATACAAAATATTGTTAACAACGGTATTGTATTTTTATAAGGTTTCGTAAAAATACATTAATTCAAGCAGAATAGATAACAGAAAAAAAATCTGATCCAAATACCGCTGTCGACCCGATAGAGAAACAACGCAGACATGTGCAAGAAAATACATTTCTGTTTCAGTTTTAAGACGTTCGTACGCAACAATCTTTTATGCATCTTCAATGAAACATCTCGTTGCAGGCTTTAAATCATAAATAACAGAAATATAAAATTTGAGATTACAGATAATGATTTATAACATTATTGATATTTTCACCTCGAGTTCAAATTTTAATTTTTTGAATAAAATTTCCATTTCAAATTGGAACTTGAATTTCAAATCCGGTTGACAGTATAGTTCATTCAAAAAGTATAATACATCCAACGTCCACGGGCTGATAGTATTAAACACCTATAATGAAACAAAATAGAATTATATTATACCAACGAATTATCAGCAATTAAACCGATAAAAATGAAACGTATCCGACATACTGCGTTGTAAGCACATGTTTCCAGAATTCCGGTTACAAGCGGTAGAGTGTACATCAATTTGCCCTCTCCTCCTTGATACGCCATTATCAATGATGTCGTCGAGTCTTCAGATGTCGTACTAATCGGCTTTTTCTTTGCCAGGGTCATCATCACGTACCAACTTCTCAAATTGATCAAGGTTTTCCTACAAACAGAACTCAACTCGCCCCGACTCAATAGTGCCTAACGAGATACGCGAGATATTATTTTAAAATTTACCGTATTCATCATCATTAGGAAAGGGATTTACACAAACTTGAAATTTACAAAAAGGCGCTTAAAAACATCAAAAAAGCCCTGAAAAATAGCGTTTTAAATGTTTGAAAAAGAGATAATAATAGACAGATTTTATAGTTCCCCTATCCAATAGCTTTCACTTAACAACAATTGTTTTTAACACCATACAAATTATTAGAATCAAATTATTTTTTCAAAACAAATTTGTAAGTGTTATTAAAAAAAATACTTCGTGTAATTATTTGTTAGTGTTAAACAATATTGTTTAATGAGCAAGAACAGATAGAGTAGGGAATTTTTAAAACCACTCTACTAAATTTGCTTTTTTAAATACTTTTTTAAGTGTTTTTTGCGGAAATTAATCACATATAAATATGTTCCTTAATTATAATGTAAAAAAATATTCCTACTCACCTTAATATTTGTTTCGGTTTCCAACGTTATTAATTCCGTAAGTTTGTCGTTTTTTAACGAGTTCAAAAATTTTAAGTAAATGGTATGTTGGCTTGGTTCAATGTTAATTCGATTAGTAACAATGTACCACGCTAACCACGGTAAGCATTTTTCCTTGGTTTCAACGATTAAATGTCTTAATTCATTACACTATATGTAATATAAATAAATAAAATAAATAAATTATTGACATACAGAACTACACGGGCTACAGCGTCTTTTACTAAAATTATTCGTTCTAGTTACAATTCGTGTATGTAAATAAAAATATAATAATATTAACCTTGGTTTGTAGATTACGTTCATTCATCACGTTAAAAATAAAATGTATTGTTTCTTTGCAGCGTTTTACCGATCCGACCGTTGCAATTGTGTTGGTCTTTTTAGAACTCGACACTTTGACAACTAAAAAAAATAATGTATATGGTATACACGGGGTATTACTTTTATTCGTAAATTAAATTCCTGCAGACGTTATGACCGAATATTATTTTTAATTTGAAGTCCGTATAAAAACGGTCGTGTTCGGACGGTAGATATTAACGAAAAAGAATTATCGTTTAGTTGGTCGTTAAAAGGTAAGAAATAACTTTCGAATTTAACGAGACTGGAAAAATTTGAACAGTTTCTGTACCTCCCCTAAATATTATATTCGAAATATTATTCTTTCGAATTTCCGATAAACGATAATAGTTATATATATTGTTCGTATCGGGAAAAATTTAAGTTTGTCGTTATTTTTTTGGCGAAGAAAACTCCAAAAACACACACAATTTTTTCATTGACATAGGTATTGGCAAAACTACTTAAAAAAAAACATATCACTGATTTCTCCTGCTATAAATCACTATGGTAATGGATCCCAATAGTTTCGAAAACAATATTTTGTAATTAATAAAGGTTAATTACCTCAAAAGTTGAAGCCTTACCTATTCAGAAAAAATTAATTTGGGTAGATATTATTTTAATCGGTTCAAAGTTGGTGTAAACAAATAATTAACTTTATATTATACACGATTCTTTTTTAGAATTATTGCTGTACTCACTTGGCGGAGCACTGCGAATGGGACATTTAGTATTGGCCGGGGGTATGATGCGTAGGTTACTACTGACGGTATGCCTCGGACAGACAGTATTATTCAGATCCGATATTCCAGCCAGGGTGGCAGACCCTATTTCGGATATGTATAATTAATTTTAAAATGTACACGACTGCGATGTTGGAAATTTAGTTTTATAAGTTAATATAGCTCTACATACTTGACGAATTGGTAATGGGTTGAAATTTGGTCGGCGGTAATGTGCGTTGCGTAGTACTCTCGGTCTGGCTTTTACCGACAGTGGTATTCATATGTGATATTTCGGTCATGGTAGCAGACCCTACTTTAAAAAATGTATAATTTTACTTCAAAATGTACACGATTCCGATGTTGACAATTTAGTTTAATTATATAATTATAGCTCTATTTACTTGACGATGTGGTATTGGGTTGTGGTTTGGTCGGCGGTAAGATGCGTTGCGTAGTACTCTCGGCCTGGCTTCTACCTAAAGTAGCATTCTTATGCGATATTCCAGTCAGGGTTGCAGACCCTACTTCGCACATGTATAATTAGTTTTAATATGTACACGATTGCGATGTTGGAAATTTAGTTTTATAAGTTAATATAGCTCTACTTACTTGACGAATTGGTAATTGGTTGTGATTTAGTCGGCGGTAAGATGCGTTGCGTCGTACTGTCAGTCGAACTTGGACCGACAGTGGCATTCATATGGGATATTTCAGTCATGGTAGTAGACTCTACTTTAGAAATGTATAATTTACTTCAAAATGTACACGATTCCGATGTTGACAATTTAGTTTTATTATATAATTATAGCTCTACATACTTGACGAATTGGTAATGGGTTGTGATTTGGTCGGCGGTAAGATGCGTTGCGTCGTACTGTCAGTCGGACTTGGACCGACAGTGGCATTCATATGGNTGACTATATCCGTGTTTACATTCCCCGTTAAATTAACGACAAACGATTTTAAGAAAAAAACTCCAATACGAATTGATCGGTACCTATGTATGGTTTTGGAAATGACCCCGCTGGACAAACACGGTATTTAACTTTTTATGCGTCGTATACGCTGTATTGTGGTTCAGTGGAACATTAAATAATTACAATTTTGTTTTGTGATTGGATTGAAATAAAATTGTTTTCTTCTATTTTAAATTGTTTTTCACACGTAACCAACAGAAATCCGCAAACAAACAATAAAAATGCAATTTTCATATTTTAAAAACAAAACTCCCGTGTAATTCCTATTTTTACTATATAGAAGTTGAATTTCTATTGGGCCGTAGAGATGATGAATCGTTACGTGTTATCGTTGTTCTTCAGGAAATTGTGTCACAAATGAATGAAAATGATTTATCTTTACGAAGTTCATTGTGTGGATTGTATTGCTATTTATACTATGCATTTATACTAATCGTTTTAAAGACCCGAAAGAAAAGTTAGAGAATTAATTTATGTACGTCTATTTTAATTATAAAAAAATATACAATTGCACGTACTTTATCAATATGATGACGAATTGTACCAGTTCTTCCGCGCTTAATATAATCGTCACGAGTAACGACAGGATCCACAGAACAATTTTTGCCATACAGCAAACTAAACGTACCGCAGTAGATTCCATTTCTATTGAACGAGTATAATACAAGAAGAAAATATTGAAAATATGTGAAAAAAATAAATTATGAATTATTTTATTAATAATAGACGAGAAAAATGTCTTTAAATCAATCGATGTTGTTTAATAAATTCTAATCAAATTAAGCTAAAATGCAAAATATGAATGAAAACAAAAAACAACTTTCGGAATCGACGTTAAAGGCAAAGTGGCAGAATATACGTTAGCAAATTTACAAGAGCTAAAGAAAAAATTGTTGCCAAGTGAAATATAAACTGAAACTTAATATATGTTTAACGAGTTGTGTATTTTTCAGTGTATAGTATTATTACTGCCTATATATTAAAACAATATGCTAATGTAATATGCGCTTTTTGGACTTGTATTAATGGGGAAAGTGGAGGGAACTGTTGTGGTGAATTTTGAGGTAGCGGCTAATTTTGCAAAAAAATTAAAAATTTTTTTTTTGTATAATTGCTACATTTTAAAGGATTTAATTTCACCTTTTTAATTTTTTGATATTATAGGTATGTGTGTATACATATATTGTGGTCTGACCTAACAGGTTTCCGATATTGAATATTTAACAAGAAGTCCATTATAATAGTGACGCTTAGTGATAAAATAAAAAATCGGAGAGTAAAAACCTATTAATTTTTTCTAAGACCTTAAATTATAAAACCTGATTTCAATGGAAATCATAAACATTACATTTCTTCCAATATAATATATGTATTCAAAATCATTTTTCACAGTATCAGCTATTTTTTTATTTTTTGCTCCAAAGCATTTTTAGTTATTTTAAATATTTCGGGAGCACTTCTCGAGTTTCAAAACATGTTAATAATACATGTAACTGTATGACAGACATGTAAATTACCTACAATAGTTTCAAATTTGTAATAAAAAGAAAATATATTTTTATACATATACACACCTTTCGACAGGTTTAGAAAATCTAAAGTAAATATTTTTATAAAAATGCGTGTAAAAAAAAGGCGTCCTATGATAAACGGGATGAGTGCACCCACTTTTATAGATAATTTAATTTATACCTGTAAGCAACGATAAACCATTGTTTACCAAAAAAACCATTTCGAGTGGAGTTCAGTCGATAATGATGCTTTGTCAACAATGTATATGCAATTGTATAGTTATATAATATGCTTCATCGCTCCACTCAAAATCCAAAAGTTAAACGTTACAATTTTATAGTACCTAGTTTATAAGTTTAATATACAAATGAATTCATTTGACGTATACATATTCAATGAAAACCGAATTGAATACAAGTTGCTATAAACGAATTAAAATAAAGTATCTATAAGTTTTAAAAAGCGAAAATCGTGGGTTCAAGTTTGCACCGCACTGCCGCAAACCGTAGACGTAAAATCTTTTGTTCTTTTAAGTCCAGGGATCAATTATTTTCTGATTTTATAAACTGATTTAATTGGCGATTGAGGAAGACCCTATGGGGTAAAGATCTTTAAGGTATTTGGTGAGAATACCGTATTAACCTGGACACTACATTAGTGGTGCCGGATATCCGGAAAACGTAGTGGAGAAAAGCTATAGAGAACACAGATCCGTAAAGCTAAGCATAAAAAGAAGAAAATAATGTTCTAATTTATCGACTTTCAAAAAAAAAAAAAAAAAAAAAAAAATAAAATCTATTATTTTACATAAGCAATATCGATATTAGCCCATAAGTACTACGTATTGACTTTTCAATCAAATATAATGTACAAAATATTGTTTTTCTTATCTTTCACACGTCTTGCTGATGTAGACCCGACATATAATTTACTCCCGCATTCCGAAAGTTTTCGGTTAAAGTCGCAGTTGTTGTTGTACGCTAATCATAATTTTTTGGCAAATTGAATACTTACGTACTATATAATAATATAATATTTTCGAAATACGAGTACATTCAATTGTATTGTGTTGTTGATCGTTTTCGGATTACCGCTCGGGGATAAAATATCGGTTCGTTCATTATAATATCTCAATTCCATGTAATTAGGCGAGTATAACAATATTATGACGCACGTAGATACACCACCGATGCAATTGAATTGTTGATATAGAATCTTATTACTTATTTAAGTGTATACAAGGTGATTTTTGTCCGTCGAGATCCAGCGTTTTATTCTATTAGGAGTGTTTATTATACATGGTGAATTTGCAAATTTCAATATTTGTTTTTTTTTTTTTTTTCAATCATTATGGAATTGTTTAAGTTTTACTTTAACATCACTGTTTTCAAAATATGTTTATCCCTATACTCTTCATAACTTCGAATAGTATATAATACGAGTATATACATTGGATTTGTAAATCCAAAAGTCATTGGATTTGGTATCCCACCACGGATTCGAATAGAGAATGGTTTTCTAAAATTATTTACATATGCATATAATACGAATATCAGATATACCGCGTTTATATGAGTTATACGGTATTTATAACAGTTAAACAATTGGACAGGAAGAATGAGGAAAGGTAATTAATTTCATATCCATATATTAAATGATGATTTGTACGGTAGTGAAAAATCTAATGATGTACGAAGTAGGGGTGAACATTTGAAAGCAGTGTTAAAACAAAACTTTAACGATTCCAAAATGGTTAAAAAAAAAATCTGAAATCAAATTCACTAAAAATCCACCGTAAAAACACCGGTGCACAATAAAAAAAATTAATCACGCTATATTATACTGCAATATTATCACCGTACACGCCGTAAACGACATGTATACCAACTAAACGAGGAAATTCGAGTCGGATGATTATAATATGTAAACACAATGAGCGGAAAAAATAAATACAAATAAAATTTACCTATGATTTTTTTTTTCAATACGATCATTGAAATTCCTATCCTACCGCACCGTTCTATCGTCTCGTGTGCACCAATCTCCAACGTACATTATTCGTCACGACTCGCCGGAGACTCCGATTTACCATGAGAAGTGATGTACTTGTTAAATTGTTTGTAATTTGAACTATATAAATAACACGAATTTACTAAATTAATTACATTTAAATTTGTATTCTGTATTGTACATATTCGTATTGGTTTGCAATGCAATGCTCGAATTTGGGGGAAGCGGCGAGGACAAAAGAAGGCGGAGTACTTATCTTCGTTTAAAAAAAATTATATTTTAGTGACCTCTTTTAATTTTTCATAATGGACATTACGAACACACCTATATTATTACATACCTAGTCATTTTTACATCTTTTGCACCCCCTTCTAATTGTTTTCAGCAAGTTTCGATTTGTTCAGCGTCCGGACGTACTTGTCTTGTTTTCTTGTTAATGTATACCTATCTACCTATATTAAAACGTATTTATCATCGCTATTTATATTAACCCATTATTATATTCGGAAACGCATTATTTAAAGTGCCTCGGTAGTAAAACCTGCAATAACATGTATATGTAGTACATTAATATTTTATTAAATATCGTAGAAAATGCGATTATACGATTTATGAAGGTCGCGGAATACATGCGGTCAAAGTACATGGCGGGTAAAAAAAAAATAAAAATCATATCCATGTTATTATATAATTTCATATAAAATAAATAATATTACACTTTTTATTATTTTTTTTTTATTAGAATAGGTACATACATAAACAATATGCGGTACGGTGACGCACACACAAGCAGGTATAATATTTCGATTAATAAGACGCCTAAATTGATGACACTGTAATAATTTTCATTTAAAAAAAAACATAATCTATAATTTTTTACGATTGTCATGCCCGATATAAGTATACACCGTTCCACGACCAAATAACATCCACCACCGTCTTTTGACTGAATATTCATCGTAGAAGGGGCGTATACACTGGCACCGATGTCCTAAAATTGTGGTGGGGCGAAATAAACTTCTGAAGGCCCCGATAACCCAACACAGCCCATTTATGTCCAAAATTATGGTTAGCGTAGGTTTTTATTTCTGTAATAAAGTATTCGTCCGGTTTGGCGGCCCGATGATGCTTTCGATGGGTGCACCCCTGTAATAAGTGTACGGTGGAAAGTCGAGAAGGTGGGACACATACTGTTGTTTGATTTATATTTATATGCAACGATAAACAGTTGGTAACGAAGTATGATTCTAAGCGAATTATTTGTCTGGTGTACTACATTTATGCACAAAATGTGCTATGATATTTACATTGAGGATATTGTATTTAGACTATCTGACAGGCATCTACATAAAATTGTTCACAGATTTTTTTTTTTAGGAGACTTTCCAGCCAACCTCTACTTGATATCTC